AAAAACAGAGCGTCACGTCTTGCAAAACCCCACCTAATACCGAACGCATCTTTACTGCACCGCGCTGAGGTTTGGAAGACGATGAACGGCATTTTTGAATAACAAACCCAAGTTCATTTCAGAACAATGTTGCTCTGAAATCAACGGGGGTTCGGAATTACGCTTCCCGTTCCTATTAAAATTACCACTATAGTAGAATTTGCTAAAAACCATTCCACTAGACGACTTTCAAATCCACTACCACTAGAGCTAGTATAAATTCTACCGAGTTGGCAACGCTGATCATGTATATTTTAAAGAAAGAGAGTTTCCCACATGGTTGCAAACATTTTAAATTCCGTCTCCACCAATCAAATCAATTTGTTCACAAACATTGCTGGTCATTCGCAAAGCAATCGTTTTGCACGCTTGGTGGAAATGCACCTTTACATGACCGCGATGTACGATGCCGTTCCGGGTTGCCAGATTTCCATGTTCTTGCGGTTTCGATTCCAGATTTCAGTAATTTTGCGTAACGTAAATAGGATAATTTTTTTATGTAAAATGGAAAGTTTGTAGGTACCTATTAACCAAAATCGCAAAAAAAATATTTTTACCGGAAAATTCTTTGTACCAGTGCTAAATTTCGGGGGGGGGGGGGTTTAACCCCCAAAACCCCCCCCTTGGGTGCGCCACTGGTCGACGCAGTCGAAGGCCTTACTAAGATCACAAAACAAGACTGTGCTATATTGCCTATCCTGAAAAGCTTCCACGATGCCCGAGATGAGGTCCAAAATACCCATCACCGTATTTTTACTTTGACGGAAACCAAACTGACAGGGTGAGAAAAGACCACTTGCTTCGAAAAACTTTGCCAGTTGCAAAGCTATACATTTCTCGGATTTTTTGGAAATAATTGGCAACAGGGATATCGGTCTGTAGTTTTTAGGCAAGTTGGTATCCCCTTTTTTTAAAAATGGGAATCACTGTGGCTTTTTTCAGAACATCTGGGAGCGCATTCTCTCTGAAACCCAAATTTATAAGCTTTGTTAAAGGTATTAAAATAACGTTTTTGACAGTTTTTATCATTTTCATATGAAGACCAAAAATATCCCTGCTATTTCTCATTTTGAGACTATCAATCACCTCCCGCACTTCGTGATATGTAACTTGTGAAAAGCCAAAAGAAACCAGAGGTGGAACAAGAGAAGACAAATATGCATTTGGTGGGTTACCCACATTTGGAATACCTCCAACTACATTCTCAGTGCTTGAGAAAAAGTCATTGAAATCTTCCGATGACAAGTTGGTCACATCTGATAATTTTTTTGTTTCACATCTGTGTGCATTTATAATCTGCCAAATGGTCCTAGTTGGATTGTTAGAAGTATAAATAAGATTGTCATTAGACTGCACTTTAGCTTGTTTGATAGTATTTTTATAAACAGCTTTATAGTTTTTATAATGTTAAGTATACTCATATGCCCATATTGTCTACTTAGATCTCTCAAAAACATTAGTCGCTCACGCATGGCCTTCAGCTCCTCACTGAACCAAGAAATGTTATTTCCTTGGTCTGATCTGACCCTATAGTACCTTTCAGGAAATGAGTGCAGGCAGACTTGCTCCAAAATTTTCATGAATTTATTAAATTTTTGGTTCGTATTCATACCCTCCACAGTGACAAAATTCCAAGACTCATCATCCAAGATACCATGGAATGCAAACAGTCCTCGCTGTGTTATGGGCCTGCATACTTTTTTTTTCTCCACAACTTTTGGGGGCCCTTCCATCAAAAGCTCCAGGATCTGACCCCTGTGATCTGAGACTCTCAAGTCAAATACCCCAGAATCACATACCTCGACTCCCAAACTGACAAACGAATTATCCAGACAGGAAGCTCCCCGAGTAGGCTCATAGATTGTTTGCGCCAGACCAAAGCCACCAAAAAAGTCGCAAAGTCGAACACAAGCAGCTTCAGAAGTATTGAAATGAACATTGAAGTCCCCTGATATTACTATTTATTCACATGACCCCGCAGCCTAGTAAGTAAGCCCTCAAGCTCCCTTGTGAAGGTGTCAAGACATCCCGAGGGAGACCTCTATAAACATTTAAAATAAAAACATTTAAGCTTTTCACATATACACAACATAATTCTATACATTTTTCAATATTAAAACTAAAAAATCTTTGGTGAATATGGCAGTCCCACCTCCATCTGACTCACATCTTGAGCTTGAGGAGTAGGCTCTGAGTGCATGAATAGCCCTGTATTTGAACAACCTGTATTTCTTCTTTGGTCATCCAGTGCTCCGTCAGACAAATTATGTCAATTTCCTTGTCTGCAATAAAAGCTTCTACCTCATCAACTTTCCTTCTCAGAGAACGTACATTGATATGGAGGATATTTATTTTCCTTTTTGATGTGCTGCTTGAAAATCATATAAACAAAAAGACTTTGATAAATTAGAAGGTGGAAGGAAGACACAAGGACTCAAGAGGTTAAGGCGTCTCTAAAATGTCGTCTTTTAGACGTCTTTTTTTGGTCTTCAGATGTTCAAACGTAGTTAAAAAAGACGTCTTTAAAACTTTGTGTGCTGTCTGGGTTTGTTACAAGTTGGAAAATAATGAACAACAAGGATTTTGGATTTTAAAAAATTGGAAGATAAAAAATAAAAATACTTCAAGGACCAGTAACAGACGTTAAGAGAACAAAAAGAAAAATACGCCGATGATTTTTGACAGAAATTGTTACATAGAAGATCAGGAAGACTTTACTAGACGTTATTGAGTAACCAGACAGAAATATTATTATTATTATTATTATTATTGTTAACAGCAGTAGGCGGTTTAAAGAAAAACCGATGAGACTGCCGTATTTGTTTAGACAGCTATCGCATGCTTAGTTCTGATTGTATGGTCTATAGACAGTAGTGCACAAAGGAGGTTGTAGCCCAACTTGTCATTTCCTGGTCGAGGCGATTCTTAAACTGATTTTTGGAGGAGAGTTTATGGTGTCAGCACTCAGGCGGTTCAAATTGTAAACAACTCTATTGTTAAGGAAATTCCTCCTCAGGAGCTTATTGCATCTTTCTTTAGAAAGCCTTTGATCGTGTCCTCTCAGATTTATGTTGTGGCTTAGGTGGAAGATGTCTCTCAGGTTACAGGCATAGTGACCGTTGAGTATTTTATGTGTTTCAATGAGATCACCTCTGATTCTCCTGTCTCTTGAAGTTGTGAGGTTCAATCTCATTCCTGCGGTAATCTGGTTATTCTTCTTTGAACTTCCTCTATCTGTTCTATGTCTTTAATGTAGTATGGATTCCAGATCGTTTGGGCAGACGTTGAATAACCAAACAGAAAAATTATTCGAGAGGAAAAGATTTTTCCACTCTAGGAAAAAACAAAATCAGACGAAGAAGATGAAACTTATGGAAGACGTTGAAGGATCAGAAAGAATAATAATTTGAAGATTTTTTTTGGAACTTGAATATCATAAACCAATAAGACTTTAAATTAGAATATGAGAGAAAGACACAAAGACTTTTAAAAGAGATTAAAAGAATCAGTAGTAAAATCCTGGCGATTTTTAACAGAAGTTGAAAAAAGACAAAAAAAGTTTTGGATTTTAAAAAATTGGAAGATAAAAAGTAGAAATACTTTAAGGAATGGTTACAGACGTTAAGAGATCAAAAATCATAAATACGCTGATGATTTTCGAGAGAAATTGTTATGGAAGATCAGAAAGACTTTACTAGACGTTGAATAATCAAAACAGAAAGAAGATTTTTCGTAGAACTTGGACAAAAAGACTTTGGGAAAAGATAAAATCATGCAAAAACCTTTGAAAGATCAAAGAGGAAAACTCCCTGATAATTTCTAACAGAAGATGGAAGAATGGGAAGTTTCAGAAACTGGAAGAAGGAAGAGTTTATGGACCTTTAACACGTTGAAAAGAAGAAATGTATTGTCAATGTTTCTATCTTCTCTGTCTTTCAGTGTCTGAGTTTTGAGATGGTGGATTTTTCAAGGGCAATAATAATTGATGAAAACTTTTAGCATTTTTAAGCAATCATTCTAAGTAGAACAAAATTACATATTTGTGCCCTGTCATTTCTGAATCACTTTTGATATACCTACAATCAAATAAGATTAGAATTAATTGAAAAAATCTAGCGATATACCTACGCTGAAATTCCTTGGGAATAAAAATATTGAGGACATCTCACATTCCTCAACAAAATTTGTTGAGGAATGTGAGGAGGTCGCGGTCGCGACCCAGAAATATTTTTGTTGGCTTAAAAAAAAAATAACTCAAAATGTAAACTTTTTTCAGTTTATTATTTTTCAGTTACGACCTCTATCAATAATTTCTCGACATGTTTACGAGCGATTTTAGAAAAACCAGAGTTTTTAGATCGTTTTGTGTATTTTCTTTAAAGCTTTTTAAAGGTTTGAGGTCTCTATAGCTGTTTTGTCTTTATTATGTGTAATGATTGTTAACATACTTCTGTTATTTTATTATTGTTTTTTTACAATGTCTGAATACATGTAAACGCAAATGATAATGTTTTAAACAGGACATTCATATTTTTTCTATGCCAGGCTCTTGAATTTTCCACAAATTCAAGAGAGAGAAAAATTTAAAAATAGAGAGTAGAAATTTAGGAGCAATTGAAAAAAAATTGTTAGACAAATAAACTCAGAGTAACTAGTTTGTTTCTGTTCCAAGCTCTGGAATTTTCTCTATTTAGAGACAGAACAAATCGAAAATTCAAGAGCCGGGAATAGACAAAAATTGAGATCGAAATCCTTAGAATTGAATATATTATATAAGATATGTAGAAAGATTGAGAAAAAAATGGTAGATAACATGTTTTCTCTATTGCAAGATCTTCTTAAATTTTCATTATATCAACAAATTCAAGATCCAAAAAAATTGAGAAAAAATTGGTAGACAAATACACACTACTATCATTTCCTTTTAAGACTAGGTACACATTATTAATTTTTTGTTGCAGGAAATGGACAGATTCAATCCTCCAGACGCTTTCGTAGTATTATATTCCGTGGTGGACAAGGCCAGTTTCCTGAAAGCCGAAGCCGAATTGAACAAATTACAAGATTTAGATTTACTAAGATCCAGACCGGCAATATTGGTAGGCAATAAAATCGACTTAGCTAGGTGTAGAGCCGTATCAACTCAAGGTAAGAAATTCCCTGCAAAGATTTTTTGAAAAATTCTTCCATAGAATATGCAGAAATCAATAAACGCTCTAATTGCCCTTTGAATGCGGTTTGCATTGCTTGCAGAGAATTGCATTGCTTGAATATCGAATCCAATTTATGCAAAATATTAATTGGAATTCAGCTACTGCGAGGAGGAGATTTTTTTCTTTGGAAAACATACATTTCGAGACTCATTAAGAAATTTCATTAAAAACTTTTCCCTTTTAGGTTGAATCGCAAAAATATTAAATTGAGCCTCTCTAAAAAGGAAAATTACTCTTTAATTCGCGCCTAATTATTCACAGAACTTGAATTTATTTCCACATTGAACGTTCTAAATTAAATTTGCATTTTCCACCTTTTATCCGTTTCACTAAATGTACGGGCATTTGGGAAACTGAAATCAACATCGCGGAAAACAGAAAAAAAAGATTAATTTTAAACTAGGGCCGACTATTATAAATCAAAAAAGAGTCTAAAGGGAGTTTGTATGAGGATAAATGAATTTAATATTACTCCAGTTTAGAAACGTAAATCGAAAACGCAACAGATAAAAGACCAACTTGGCGTTTACCGGTAACTGAAAATAGAATTGAAGCTGGAACTGAAAGAGCACATAAAATGTAGGTGGCGAGACAACGTGAACAAAAGAGCCAGAGAACCGAAGCTATTTTTAGCTGTTTTAAGCTAATAGATTCTCATTTTATTAAAGAAATTTATCACGGTACTTTCTGGGGTTCCCAATCTGAAAAAAGTCAATACAGTAGAACCCCAATTATTCGAGTCGGAATTATCCGAGCTCTGAATTAACCGAGCCAGTCTAAAGACCCAAAAATCCTGATTATTCGAGGTACGCACGTCCAGTTTCTAAAATATACAAGGTGTTTTTATATATTGACACCCCACCTACAGCCTTTAGCTTTACAGGTAGAAGAAAAGGTGTAAATTCAAAAGTTGTACAGTTTTGGCTGAATTTTTAGAAACCATGGTCAGAAACAAAATTTTGAATGTCAGAAATGTGAAATTTTGCATGCTTCCAGCTTTTTTCAAATGGAATGCCCTATATTTCATTCTATATTCTTGAAGAGCACAATGCCCCGATTCCAAAAATATATAGTTTGTCTATATTTGATTGAACAGTCTCTCATATATTCGGCTCCAAGAATTGTAAAAATACTATCCTACTAGGTACTGATTTTGTGAACCATTCTGCCTGTACCTATAGGTAAAATTTGAGGTACCTACTTGGTTTCTCTGATAGTATTTTTAAAATTTTTAGAACCAAATATGTTAGAGACGGCTCAACCAAATACAGACAAACTATATAGTTTTGGAATCAGGAAATTGTGCTCTTCAAGAATCTAGAACCAAATATTGCGCATTCCATTTGAAAAAAGCTGAAAGCATGCAACATTTCACATTTCTGACATTCAATTTTTGTTTCTGACCATGGATTCTAAAAATTTAGCCAATACTGTAAAACTTTTGTATTTACACCTTTCATCTACTTGTAAAGGTGAAGGCTGTAAGTGGGATGTCAATATATAAAAAAAACACCGTATACTTGAACAATAACTTAATATATAAAGTTAGAATTTGTAAGATTATCCACTTTTTGTCAGTAATTATAATGTGACAAGTTATTCAAGTACAAACGAGTGGATTGTTGCGGAACTTCTGGGTGGACCTCTGCGGGACGAGCGCAGCGAGTTCCGCAGCCATCTATTTATCAATATTATGTTCTTTAATTACGATACTAATCTGACTCACTCAAATGTGAGTTATTCTCATTAGTTTAAAAACTACACGTGTTAGGTGAATGTCTTACTTGAACAGTTCAACAGTATATTGGTGAGTAGATGGCTGCGGAACTTGCTGCGCTCGTCCCGCAGAGGTCCACCCATAAGTTCTGCAATAATCCACTTATTTGTACTTGTACTTAAACAATAACTTATTAAGTATATAAAGTCAGAATTTGTAAGATTGTCCACTTTTTGTCAATTTGCCTTTTAACAGGAATAAGTAATGTTACTTTACCAAACTAGTAATATAATGTGACAAGTTATTCAAGTACAAACGAGTGGATTGTTGCGGAACTTCTGGGTGGACCTCTGCGGGACGAGCGCAGCGAGTTCCGCAGCCATCTATTCATCAATATGTTGTTTAATTACGATACTAACCTGACTCACTCAAATGTGAGTTATTCTCATTAGTTTAAAAACTGCACGTTTTACGTGAATGTCTTATTTGAACAATTCAACAGTATATTGGTGAGTAGATGGCTGCGGAACTCGCTGCGCTCGTCCCGCAGAGGTCCACCCATAAGTTCTGCAATAATCCACTTATTTGTACTTGTACTTGAAGAATAACTTATTAAGTAGGTATATAAAGTCAGAATTTGTAAGATTATCCACTTTTTGTTAATTTGCCTTTTAACAGGAATTAATAATGTTACTTTACCAAACTAGTAATATGATGTGACAAGTTATTCAAGTACAAACGAGTGGATTGTTGCGGAACTTCTGGGTGGACCATCTATTTATCAATATTATGTTCTTTAATTACGATACTTATCTGACTCACTCAAATGTGAGTTATTCTCATTAGTTTAAACAGTACACGTGTTAGGTGAATGTCTTACTTGAACAGTTCAACAGTATATTGGTCAGTAGATGGCTGCGGAACTTGCTGCGCTCGTCCCGTAGAGGTCCACCCATAAGTTCTGCAATAATCCACTTATTTGTACTTGTACTTGAACAATAACTTATTAAGTATATAAAGTCAGAATTTGTCAGATTGTCCACTTTTTGTTAATTTGCCTTTTAACAGGAATTAATAATGTTACTTTACCAAACTAGTAATATGATGTGACAAGTTATTTAAGTACAAACAGGTGGATTGTTGCGGAATTTATGGGTGGACCTCTGCGGGACGAGCGCAGCGAGTTCCGCAGCCATCTATTTATCAATATTATGTTCTTTAATTACGATACTTATCTGACTCACTCAAATGTGAGTTATTCTCATTAGTTTAAACAGTACACGTGTTAGGTGAATGTCTTACTTGAACAGTTCAACAGTATATTGGTCAGTAGAGGGCTGCGGAACTTGCTGCGCTCGTCCCGCAGAGGTCCACCCATAAGTTCTGCAATAATCCACTTATTTGTACTTGTACTTGAACAATAACTTATTAAGTATATAAAGTCAGAATTTGTAAGATTGTCCACTTTTTGTTAATTTGCCTTTTAACAGGAATTAATAATGTTACTTTACCAAACTAGTAATATGATGTGACAAGTTATTCAAGTACAAACGAGTGGATTGTTGCGGAACTTCTGGGTGGACCTCTGCGGGACGAGCGCAGCGAGTTCCGCAGCCATCTATTTATCAATATTATGTTCTTTAATTACGATACTAATCTGACTCACTCAAATGTGAGTTATTCTCATTAGTTTAAAAACTACACGTTTTAGGTGAATGTCTTACTTGAACAGTTCAACAGTATATTGGTGAGTAGATGGCTGCGGAACTCGCTGCGCTCGTCCCGCAGAGGTCCACCCATAAGTTCCGCAATAATTCACTTATTTGTAATTCCAGCTTTTTTCAAATGGGATCCCCTGATCTATATTTGATTGAGCAATCTCTCATATATTCGGCTCCAAAATTTGTAAAAATACTATCCTGCTATTGATTTTGTGAACCATTCTACCTGTACAGGTCAAAAGCATTGGTGAAATTTGAGGTAGGTAAAATCTGTTTTTTTTTTAAAAGATAATTCCCCAAGTCAAAAATTTAGTAACTATGTTGGCAACACAAGCCTTTTTTACATAAAAAATTTGAAAGCATTGACAATTTTACATTGTATTGCCAACATAATGTCATTTTGACTTTTATCTTTAAAAAAAAAAACACACTTTACTTAGTTTCTCTGATAGTATTTTTAAAAATTTCCAAAGGGGGAAATTTTTTGCAAGCATTTTCAGCATATCAACTTCAACCCTCTAGGCGGGGTAGGACTAACCCTCACTATTTCAAGTGGAACAAGGGGTCGAGTGATACACGTCTTTCAAAAGAGTGTTCAATTCTCTTTTATTTGATGTCATTTGAAAGAAAATTGAGCGCTTTTTTTGAAACAGGTATCACTCGAACCCCTGTTCCATTTGGAATGGTAAGGGTTGAGTTAGTGCTGAAAATGTTTCAAACACCCACACAATCAAATTACGTATACGAACGATTTAAAAAAAAAATAAAAGTGACATCATATATTTAGTCTGTTTCGTTTTAAATGGTATACCCTGTATACATATATATATATATATTCGGATTATCCGACTTTTCAGTTATCCGAGGTGGGTAGGTACCTACCCCCCCACCTTACCTCGGATAACCGAGGTTCTACTATAGGTCTGTTCCAACACGTCAAAAACCGTCCCATGAACGATTTCGAAACCACTCAGTGAACGAATTTCGGTTTCTACGCGCAAATTTTACAGTTTGCGCAGAATCATGACGATAAATTGTACGGTTTCCTGTTGTGTTGGAACAGACCTTATATTTGCTTAGAAAAACTACCAAAATTGTATCATTTTTCTGAAAATATGTATCAATATTACAGATGGTAAATGCTTGGCTTGTACAACAAGAGCAAAATTCATAGAAATATCTGTCGGCATCAACCACAACGTGGACGAGCTTCTAGTTGGAATCCTGACGCAAATTAGACTGAAAGTATTAAATTACGAAGAGCACGGACATCAGCAACAATGGTAAAGTTAACAAATAAACGAATTTATTCGTACTAAATTCAATTTCTAGGTACAAAAGCCGAGGAATGATCAAAGCCAGCATGAAGGCGCGACAAATGTTCACTTGGCTTTTCGGCAAAGAGGATTCAAAGTTTAAGAATTGCGAGAACCTTCATATCCTTTAAGATAACTATTATAGTAGTTTATTTTTATTTATTAGTTATAAGATTTTGAACAATTTAAGGGCAAGTTTGACTTGCTTTAGTTTATAAGCTCAAATATAAATCAAATTTACAGCAACCTGAGGGCCAATAAAAGTTTAATTCTGAGCCAAAATATACAGGGTTAAACTAGTACATATTTTGTACCTACTAGCAAGTTTCTGAGATCTTGTTAGTTATTATAATTTCAATAAATAAATGTATTTGCTGGAATTCTTTCTCAAAAACAAAAGGTTCATGTTGTCCAAGTGTAATTTTTGTAAAAAAATATATTTCTCTTGATTGAAACCCTAAATCTTTATACCAAGTAGCAGCAAACTCCTTGTTATTTAATGGATCCAGATTCTACTACTGTAGCTATCTTCAATCTTATTTATTTCAATTATTTTTTTTTTTTTTTGTATTTTCTACTTCGTGCCCAATTTTATAAATCTAGTAAGTATAACATTATATCAATATAATATAAGATATATTTTCGGTAAATTGTAATAATTATTACCTACCTAGTTCTAGTAGTAGATTTTAGTATCAATTTAAATATTTAATAATTATTTGTATCGTTATTTTTTTTGTACATCTATTTCACCTATATACTTTTGACAATAATAAATGTTGTAAAAATATGTTGTATAAATAAATCATGCTAAACACAATTATAATATACTTTCTTATGGAACCTGAAATAATGCAACAAATGTTCAGATCTATATAATGTATATTGATGAATATATAAAAATTAATAAAATAACATTAAAATTGCACAAAAAAATCTAAAAAGCCATATTAAAAAAGATTAATATTTTGTATATACCAATTAAAAACAGACTAATAAATATAAAAAGACACACACAAACAAGTTAAAAATACAGTCTTAAAAAATCTCACATTTTACATTGTAGATTCAACCAATCAAAAGATCATTTTTCAGATCTACTAAAATCACATGCAAAATAAAAAAGTTGCTACTTCAAATCGTAACAAAAATGATAATGGGGCGGATCTGCGGGGATCACTGGAGGATCCTGCGGAATGGCAACACCCTCAGCATCCAAAAGCCTCAACTTTATTTCCATACTGAGCAAAGTGTCCAAGTCCTTTTCAGTTTCTTTGCTAGTCATTCTTTGTCCCAATAAAGCATTTATACCATCAGTCCAATAGGCCAAAGTCAATTCGTCAGGTGCTACACAATCTAGACTTTGTAAGTCAACACCTAAGAAAATAATTAATAATATAATATAAGACATATATTTTTTTTTAAACAATATTGTTTTACCTTCAAGTGCCAATGAAAAAGCTAATTGTGTATGTGAGGCCTTTCTGCCACGCATATGAGGACATTCACGGCCAATTAAAAGTGCCTTAATATCACTGACAGCTAATTTCGACGTCAATTCTTCAGCAGTTGGGGTTGATTTTTCATCGCAATCCCCATAATGAATTACTTTATGGTTAACTGATAAACGCATAAACCAAAATTTGTCTTTGATTCGTTGTCCTCGTGTAGAATATTTTGTAAAACGCGTTCCCTCAACTAAATACCCTAAACGTTGCTGTTTGATAAGGCCCATTATTTCTGGAGTTATTAGCTCTCGAAGCTCTACAACAGGTTTTGCATGGCTCTCCCATTCTTCTCTAGTATTCCTTTCCAATTGCCACAATTGTGTAATCTCTGAGTAAGTCAAAGATTGTAATTTTGTTTTTAGTTGGTCTAAAGATGTAGGTGAAGTATCCAAAGCTCTGCTTATTTGCTCTCTAACAACACTGGCAACTTTACCAAAATCTTCAGCAGTAGCACGCATTTCTTTCCAAGTTTTATTCAACAAAACAATACAAATGCAATAGCTTTCCTCAAAAGGATGATCATGGGTGAAAAACAATGGCTGATAAGTTACAGATTGTTCAGATGGAGTTTCTCCTATTTTCAACAACTCGCATAAAATCTTTACAAGTTCTACACTGGCTCTACCAAAAGGACATTCATGCTCGTCAGCTCTACAACTATTCTCTAGCACCAACTTTGTATAGTTTTCAGCATGATTTCTGGCAAAGTATATCATACAATCCAAAGCTAACAATCCAGGAGGTGTTTCAATGAAATCCAATGCTGGATTAATATCATTTTTAAAGCCTAATTTCTTATAATCCCTTGTATGTCCTTGGATGCTTCTCAAACTGCCAGCTCCTTCACTGTCAAATGCAATGCGTCTCAACTCTTTAATTTTATCATGTCCATCTTGATCTTGTGGATCCATTTTAGTCATCATTCTTTGTTCTAGTAAACCAAGCATTAGCATTTGTAATACGTAAAGTTGATGAGCCATTTCTGCTCCACTGGAAGCACCAGTTTGCAAGATATTGTTTTGGATAACCAGCCTAACTTGTTTTGAAGTCAGCGTTTGCGCTAGAACGCGTCTTTTGGCTAAATCTGCTCTGGAAAGTAATGCATTTATAAGCGCTATGGCGTTTTGTTGCACTACTGGTATTGCTTGAAGATGTGGAATTAGTGAAGAAATTGGAATTTCTCTTTCAACTTGAAAATAGCCTTCAGTGCTGTTTAATATTACGTTTTCTAGAATAGATAAAGCTGCTTGGGTTACTTGGGCTTCTTGTTGGGTGTTTACTAGATTAGCCACTCTAGTTATGAAGTCACCATTTAAAATATCCCAAGAAACAATACCTGGTTCCATTAGCTCTACAAAGGAGAGTAAGGTGTGCGCTAGCACTGTACCTTTACAATTGCCCTTCTCTATTTGTTTGATTATTAAAGTTAGGCCTTGTTTATTGATAAATTCTAAAGCAAAGGTCATGTCAGCACTTAAAACTGAAAGCTTGCCCATTGCAGTTGCCTTCTCCTCTGGACTGCCATTGTTTAGCTTGAGTAAAATATCCTGAGCAGTCTTTGAAGGTGAAAAATTCAATCTCAAAACGGACCCGTTTTTAATCTCATTACGGTTCTTTTCAGTTATGTAATTGTTGTTGTTACTATCATTGAACTGCAACGCATACTGGTCCGGGTCCGTTAAAGTCCAGCCGTTGCACAATTCCTGAATTATAGCTGCCAGGGGTTGTTTTTGATTGAACTCGATCAATTGCGGGACTTGATCGGTCATTTCCACCGCGATTTTCACGATGTAGGAGTCTTTCATGGCCGGCATTTCGATTGGGGATTGTATATTGTAGGCTTAATGATTTCTAGACATAGTATTGTAGTTTTTTTGGGGGATAGTTTTGTTAAAACGTTAATTATTTACCCAGTGTAGTGGCACTCCTACAAACAGATCATCGTAAACAATTAACTAAACAAAGGCCATGACCCATGACGGCCATGTTCCGTCATGACGTTAGATGACGGAACTCTAGTTACCAACAAATCTGGCAACGCTGGAATTGAACTGAGTTCAAGTTCTTTAGGTTTGTTTGTGTGTTGTTCGGAGCAGCACTTCCTGCTTTGTGTTATGGCAATGAACTGACGAGCGCTTGTTTGTAAAATGCTGTTTGTACGAAACTGTTTGGTTCATGTTTAATCTGCACTTGCTTTCGAGGAGGAGTAAGATAAGGAAGCCTAAAATTAAATATCAAAAAGCGCTACATTTGACGGTTCCCTGATCCCTCCATTATTTCTTTGTAGTTGAGATCGGAATGGGATTCTAGTGCGGTACTAGAGCGGTGTTCATGTAGCGTAGGGTTATATCACGTGATGAAGGTGTAATAGGCAGTGTAACACCGAATACACCATCATTTTGTATCGAGTAAACGGTGTCCCACCATCTTTACACCATTCGGGCAACAAATTATTTCCAAACGCAAATAAAGTGTACACAAACTACCAATTAACGAACGCCACAATGTCAATAGTGTGAAAAGTGTCGACACTTTGTACCATTCCGAACTCACCTTGTATAAAAAAGGCTAGCAGCCTGCTGCAACGTCACAGTCCTCTCCACTGTCCTCATCACTTGATCAAACAAATTCGATTTCGACATCGTTATCCATTAAAAGAAAAAAGCAGTAATCAGTTGAACTGGTAACACCACAAACGGAAATATCTTGCGCTCAGTTCAAGTTAGTGCGACACAAACAAACCTACATAAATAGTGCACCGTGTAGAGTTGATTGGTGTATGATTAGTGAACACCGAATACTAGCTTTGCCAGTTCTAGAAATTTACCAAGAATAATTTCCAGAACGCTGATGCTATGGGACTGATTGTTTCGAGTTTTCATTACCTGTTCCGAAGTTCTTCGCAATAGAATAAAATCCTGAACGTGTTCATAAATCGCGCTCTAGGACAATCCAGAACTAAAAACTTTGTCCAACGAACCTACGAAGTATGATAGAGTGAAAATGACGCCCAGGTTTACACTGAACACTGATTTATGCCATTTATTTATTTCAAAATCTTACAAAACATCACTCTACAGTGTAAAGCGGGCCGATAAATGACCAATATTAACGAACCTTTTTAAAGGGTTTGTTGTTTTTGACTCCGTAGGTTGGTTGGACAAAAAGTTCCAATTCTAAGGTGGTTCGAACTACGTTCAGAATAGGGAATTCAGAACTTATAGTGCCTTGTTCGTGTTTGTACAAAAATGGATTCCGGATCGATTTTGAACTAATTTTAGATGTTCTAGGGATTGAACAAGAACCATGTTTGAGTCAAATGTCAAATCTAGAGTCGTTCTCAGTTTCGCGCAACTGAACTGTTTGTTTCTCCTCCCCTTACCCTCTCAAGCCACCGCAGTTTTATGGGTGCATCAAAAAAACGACGCTTAATTACGGTGCGTTTTAGTGAAACAACAGTTGTTTGGAGCACCAGAGTGTGAAGCTACGGGTGTAGAGCACTTTTAAAATTCGTCACTGGAATGCGGCTCTGAACTAGTTCCAGTTTCAAATTGGTTCGCTATGCGTTCGTATTTGAGCCGTGAAGAAAGCTATTAATTTGGAACATGGTAAGGATTCAGAACTGATTCGGAATAATTCCAATGCGCTAAATGCATTCCTTCCAAGAGTTTAGAACACCAGAGCCTAGAGCTACTCGCTTCGGTGTTAGCCGACCCCGATTTGAAAGAAACAGATCTTAGAGCAGGTAAAGTGCTGTCCTACAGACATAAGGAGTAGGAACGTGCCATTCTGGAGTGCGTTTAGAAATAGAGTGTGAAGGTAAAGTTTTAGTTGTTTGTCAGAGTGTTCTGACTTCATCATTTGGAATGCATTCTGGGTGCGCTATTTCTGAACGTATTGGGGTTTTGCGGTAAGTGTCAATGTCATGAATCACGTCAAACCCGTTTAAAACCGCGGGGCGTTTTTCCACCCAGTCCCTGATTGAGATAATTTGGGCGCACTCTGCTGGGCACGTCAACTTTCGATTTCTGAACGATTCCAGCGTACGCCTCGAGTAAGCACCTATTAATTTATGAACGGTTTAGAGTTACTCTAGGGTCACTGTCACACCCAGAGTGCTATTTCTAAACGCAACCCTGCTGTATTTTGACGTGGAGGCGAAGGGGGGATTTGTTCTAGACAGGCCTTATGAGGATAGGCTATCCTGTAGTAGTAACACGGGTAGTAGTGTGTATCATCCTTGGGCTGGGATCACGTAGTAGAATTCTACTTTCATCGTCATCCGCGACCTATTTTTCGCGTACAGTAAAGTCCGTCGATTTTAATCTGATACTCACAGAACATATCACCTATAGAAAAATATCTCAAATGGGAGAATCGCGACGAAGGTTTTTAGTTAGGTTTTCAATCAACGATGGCGACACTGTCGGGAGATAAGAGAAATTTACAGGTATCTGTGGTGTGGACAGTGATTTGTGTTGGTTGGTTTTGTCATTTATTTTGTCATTTTAAAAGTCAAAATTTGAATTTTTGAATTGTGTTGTTGTAAACCGTGGTCCCCACGCGCGTTAAAGTGAAAATTCAAAAAGTTTTGGTTGAAAAAAACCCTTATATTTGTTCGTATTTTTTTGTATTTATTCGTTTGTTTCGTTTCGTTCATACTTGTATTTATTATTCGTATTTACTTTGCGATCTACCTATAGCTGCGTGTCTCTTTGCTAACTTACTAACTCTTTTTGCACTATGTTCGACATCGGAAACTTCCTGCCAGTCATAGCTTTCAAAAAAATGAGGCGAGAAGAGCTAAAAGGAGTCAGCAAGCCATATGCAGTTGAACATTAAAAATTATTTAAAAATAATAAAAATATATGAAAAAAATCAATTCGCCTTTTTGTCAAGAATGCTCGATTAGTTGGGTTTTCATTCAACGATGGCGCTGTAATTCATCACCGGTACATAACATTGCCGATACTTTTCTAGAGGTGATATGTTCTGTGCTGATACTCCAAAAAAATGTGAGCTGGTGGCTCCCTACGTTAAAACGCTGGTTACCTGACGTCACACCTGGTGTGAGTTCAGGAATGACACACCCAGTGTGAGTGTGACACCGGTGCGATGCCCTAGCTGTTCAAAAATGGTAGACGGTGCTATGGGCCCAATGGCCAATTGTCAATTCAGGCACATCCATAAAATCGCACTCGCACCCTGTGCGTTATTTCTGAACTCGGCCCTGTTTTTGCGTGGTTTTTGCTCTATGCTTCACCCTCTCGCTCCTCATACGGAAAGTGTCAGATTAAAAACGACGGACAATACAAGCGATGATGACGATTGCTAGGCAATCTGACGTCATGAAAGTAGAATTTTAATAGAATTCTACTTGTCGTGATCCCAGCCCTGAAAAAAACTGCTTCATTTTCGAACTCCATGAAATGGTTTAGTTTGGGCTTAAGCACTCAGGTCAACTCAGGTGCAATACAACTTGTGCAAACTATATATATGTAGTACCTTCTGCCAATCAATAAATAACGAATTTCTAATCATAGTTCTCTATTCGCGGTTCAACTAGAATCGATTTCGGATTGGTTCTGAACTAATCCTAGTATGAAAGGTAGTCACAGAAATCACAAACTAATCAGAGCAAATTTCATTGGTTGAAAATAGTCAGAAAACTGGTTGTTGGCGATTTGCACCAATCAAAAACGCTTTGTGATTTCTGAGAGAACAGACCTAAAATCGAATTAGTTGATAATTAGGCATACAATTTATAACAAGAAGCGTTCTATTTAAATCTCCGAATGAATCCGAGCGACTTTGATTAACTTTTGAACTTTCTAGGCAAAGCTTCTTTCCTTTCTCTCGAAGAATACTTAACAGAGTCACTTTCTAGTGACGTACTTCAAACACTCTTGAGTTGCTCTAGAGCGCCCCGGGCTGTTTATAGGCGTTCCAGTGCATTGGAGTTTCGCGCAAAAGACCTGTTCATTTTTCCTCTCCCCTGTACTCTCAAGCACCAGTAATAATGGATGCATCTAATGCATCAGAACACGACGCTTAAAGTAGGGTGCTTTCCAGTGAAATAACAGTTGTTTGGGTCATTTTGTGCCACCTTAAATATATTAGTTGTATTCCTTTCAAGAGTTTAAAACACTCGAGCTACTCGCTCCGGTGTTAGTCGCCCCCGATTTGAAAGGAACAGATGTGTGGTGCAACAAACACTTTTCGAAAGGAATAAGCGCGTAACGCCCCGGAGCTGTTACGGAACTCTTCATAAGTGTGAAAGGAATACAACTATAGAGCACTAGGATTAAATAACTTTCCTGCTTTGGAGTTACTCTGAATGACTTTTAGCGTTTTCCATTTGTCGAACCAGTGCAAAAAAAATGTATCCTTATCCTTACATTTTACATGCTTTTAGAAAAAGATGCGGATACACTCAGTGCGCACTGATTGACAAATGGAAATCGCCATTTATTTCCTTGACTATCCTTGCGTTCGGTATTTTGCTCAAAGAGCAAAGCGTGCTGAGCGGAGCAGTATACACGTGACTAGCGAGCGAACAGAGCAGTTGAACGCTGTATCAGAGTGCTAGAAATTTTAATAAACGAACGAGAATGAGCCTGCACCAAGTACACTTTTCAAATAAACAAACGGTAAATTCAAACTCAGAGAACTCAGATCAAAATACCGAATGCACGGCAAGTTTCAATGAAATCTCTTATATTTTTTGGGTTTGAAACGTGAACCACATTTTGAGCCTTGTTCGAACTATTTCAACCCTTAAGAAAACCTTGTTCCAGAACAAACAAACCTCGTTGAACTTCTCAGTTCTTTCGTGAAGAAAACGCCTTAAGAGTTCAAAGTTCAAACTGACGTGTGTGTTTATTTCTTATCAGCTCAGCTGATTGTCAAAATTTGCTGTTTTTTTTTTCAATTTTGGAATCCCACAATATTATTTTTTAATTTCTTGTTTTCCAACATTATGCCTACTCTAGAAACTCAGTATAGCTCAAGAAGTCCAGGTTTAACATCAATAATTCATAATCCACCTAATTACATGAAATAAATAATTCTAGGTGTTAAGCGTCTTATGAGAGAGGCAATTGAATTGGCCAACGCCACAGAAGATTACTATGCCTGTCCTCTAGAAGCTAATCTATTCGAGTGGCATTTTACAGTGAGAGGCCCTCCGGAAACCGAATTCGAAGGTGGTTACTATCACGGCAGGATTTTGCTACCCCCTCAATACCCAATGCAACCACCCAATATCATTTTGTTAACAGTAAGAATAAATGTTGCGTCTAAAACATGTTTAATTGATATTGTTTTAGCCAAATGGAAGGTTTGAGATTAATAAGAAAATTTGTTTGTCAATTTCCGGATACCATCCAGAAACTTGGCAACCTTCTTGGTCTATAAGAACAGCACTACTTGCACTGATTGCTTTTATGCCTACCAAAGGTACATCCATTTATTAATTAATTGTTTAAAATATTAATTTTCATGTATAGGTGTTGGTACTATTGGATCTTTGGATTACACTCCAGAAGAACGGCAAGTTTTAGCAAAAAAATCCAAAAGTTGGGAATGTGTGACTTGTGGAAAAATTGCTGAAAAACTTTTGTCAGCTGAAGCTGCCTCAAGTCCTGCTCTAACTAAAGAGGAATCGAGTATGCTGGAAAATATTGCCTTGAAAGCTGAAGAGGATGCCAATCGCAAAGAAGTAAATAATTTAGAAGAAGCAGAAGAAATTAAGCCTAAAGGCCGTTCAGTACCATTTATAGAACCAGAAATAAGCCAAGAAGATAGTTTGAGGCAAAGGAACTTGCCTACTACTTCACAAGCAGCTGAATTATTGCAAAACGAAATAACAGATGAACTTTTAAGGGCTAGCATTGAACGAAGTAAAAGGGACAAATTGTGGAAAATGGTCGTATATGGAATAATAGCAGTTATACTGCTGCTGATAATAAGAAGGCTATTTTTTATTTAGTTTGAAATTTTGTTGTTCCTAGAAAAAAACTGATTGTGTATTTGCATGGAAATTTATTTGATGTTAAATAATAATTAACTTGTAAACTGTACTGAAATTATTCCTGGAAAACCTGCTTTTTATACACAAATGTGATTTGATATTTAAATAAACCTTTTAACTTTTGAGTGTATTTAAATTTACGGTGTTGTCAGTATTATTTATTTGCATCTAACTATTTTCAATGGGTTTCTTTGAAATTACTTTTTTGTTAGGGAATTATATATTATATGGATTTTATTGAACTTTTTGTTGATTTTTTTTTTTAAATTGCTGTTTGGATATTATATGTTAATAAAAATATATTGGTTTAGATAAAGGTGAAGTTTTCATAAAAATTAGCCCAGCCACATTTTCTTCTGAAGACAATTTTTATTTGCACAGATAACAACAATATACCTAACACTAACAATAATTATACCATAAATAAATAACTGAATAAATTTAACAACAACCTACTATATTTTGCACAACAGCTTTGTGTTTAAGATATACACTAATCTTAGAAGAATGAATTTTTCTGGAATGATTTTCTTTTACACTAGACAATATTTTTGTACCATCCACTTAAACAATATCTAATTTGTATTTTTCTGCTGCCTCTCTTTTACCCATTTGTGTATTTCAGTTTTCAAGGCAGTATCAGAAATCACTTGGTCCATTGATAGAGGTGACCGATTGAATGGATCTGATTGGTCACTGAGGAGGTGCCTAAGAGCATAATATGATACAATTTAACAATTACCTCTATGCAAATTACCTTGCAATAGTTGTCCTATCAACAATTTGCTTGGAACTAGGCAAAATAACAGGATCCATCATCAAAGTAGACATAATAGGATCTAAAAATTGCTCTGGAGCTTCGGCCATGGCTTCCTCATTGGCTTTGTACTCCTCAGCTTTCCTAGCCACTTTTTGGGCGACATCTTTCAGTTCTCCCAATAAATTACCACCACCCACTCGCACCAAAACATCTTCAGCCAAATTAAACAAAGTAGGACTGTACGAACGACCATCTTGAGATACAGCCAAACAAAAACCATCATGTTCTTTCAAGTTGACGTAAATTTTAATTATTTCTAATACGGTGCCTTTTGGATCGAAGGCGTACTCATCTAGATTCTTGGCTTTGAAATTTTTGCGGTTCGGTCCTACAAGGTTTAGCAGAAAATAGTTTAGCATCGCAGCTACTCTGTCTACCATTGTAGGATGCGTGAAAACGGAGCTAATTTTTGAGGTGAGTTTTTCTAAGGTGGTTATAGTGTCTCGGCCTAGAACATTATCAAACCGTGCCATCATGCCAATGTGGTGCATGTAGCTCATGTTTTGAGTTCTTTCTTGGAAGCCTAAAGAGTCCCATTCACCATTTTCACTAAAAAAAAATTGAATAGAATCAGTGCCACAACACAAAAAAAAAAACTTACTGTGCAGTTTGCATTTCCTTAAGTTTAGCCATATTGGTTAAAGATTCATCAAGCAAAAATATGGCATCATTGATTAGTAAATTAACAAAACGTAAAAATAATGGTGGATGTACTGCTTCCATATTGGCTTCAGCTTCATCAGCTAAAACTCTAAAAAAAAATTCTCAGCAAAAACAAAAATAGCTTCAACTTTGACCTACTTGAAACAATTTGAATGCTCAGACAATTCCCACAAATAATCGAAAATTGCATACATAGGCCTCCTGTATTTGAACTTTTGCTCAAACTCAACACTTTGACCGGTCATTTCAATTCCCACGAAAACGCTCATGAGCATTTTGACAATTTCCATGCGTCGAGGATGCTGGGTGAAGACCAACTCCCTCTGAAACCCGCCCACTTCGGCAATTTCGTCTTTGTGATGGGGCAACAGGGATTCTAGGCCTTCGGCCAGCCTGGCTCTAACGTGGGGATTTTTCATGTGATCAGGCGAGCCCATGTAAATCAGGAGAAAAGTTAAAACAGGCGACATTTTATCGTAGCCCATTTCTTCGAAAGTTCTAATGCTGTAGCGACGCAAAAATACTAAATATGATACTAGATTTTCTACAAGGAATTCTGGAATGCATCTAAAATCAAATGTGAATAAATTTTTTCTTAAATTGTTTCACTTGCACCTACTTCAGTGTAAACGGAATTTTGATGGGTAGAGGAAAAGTAATGTCTCGTTCTTCCAATGGAGCAAATGTGGCATTTTCCGTTTCGGAAATATCGGTGTTGATGGCCACTTGAGATAACCAGTAGCTGGTGGCCGATGTGAAATCGAACATGTCTTTCAACAGATGCGGTTCTGATAATACACATTTCAATGATAAGAATCTGAAATAACAATTGTAGGATATGGGCTCTCATAACGATAAATAAGGCAATTAAATTTGATCAGAAGGGTGCGGTAAAACTCCAAATGTTTTGATGGTATACATACATACATAGATTGATTTTATGAAATCGGATGAAAATTAATGGAGCTGTGAGGCAAAAATTATTAGAGCTAAATTAAATTGAAATCGGATAAAAATTAACGGAGCTGTGAAGCAAGAACTGTCTCAATGTCATTTTTGGAAAATTTTCAATGTTCGATAAATTTAGTTTTGAAGCTTCTCAGGTGCAAAACTGTTGAAACCAAATTCAAATCCTAATTGACAGGTTTGTAGAGAATTTAGTTGGCTTTAAATAGAGCTTAATTACATTGAAATCGGATAAAAATTAACGGAGCTGTGAAGCAAAAACTGTCACAGTGTCATTTTTGGAAAATTTTCAATGTTCGATAAATTCAGTTTTGAAGCTTCTCAAGTGCAAAACTGTTGGAACCAAATGAAAATCTTTATCAACAGGTTTGTAGAGAATTTATTTGGCTTTAAACAGAGCTTAATTACATTGAAATCGAATAGAAATTAACGAAGCTGTGAAGCAAAAACTGGCCCAGTGTCATTTTTGGAAAATTTTCAATGTTCGATAATTTCAATTTTGAAACTTCTCACTCAGGTGCCAAGCTGTTGAAACCAAATTAAAATTTTAATTAACAGATTTGTAGAGAATTTAATTGGCTTCAATTAGAGTCTAATTACATTGAAATCGGATGAAAATTAACGGAGCTGTGAGGCAAAAACTGTTCCAGTGTCATTTTTGGAAAATTTTCAATGTTCGGTAATTTCAATTTTGAAACTTCTCACTCAGGTGCTTAACTGTTGAAACCAAATTGAAATTTTAATTAACAGATTTGTAGAGAATTTAATTGGCTTCAATTAGAGTCTAATTACATTGAAATCGAATAAAAATTAACGAAGCTGTGAAGCAAAAACTGTCCCAGTGTCATTTTTGGAAAATTTTCAATGTTCGATAATTTCAATTTTGAAACTTCTCACTCAGGTGCCAAGCTGTTGAAACCAAATTAAAATTTTAATTAACAGATTTGTAGAGAATTTAATTGGCTTCAATTAGAGTCTAATTACATTGAAATCGGATGAAAATTAACGGAGCTGTGAGGCAAAAACTGTCCCAGTGTCATTTTTGGAAAATTGTTCGAAAATTTTCAATGTTCGATAATTTCAATTTTGAAACTTCTCACTCAGGTGCCAAGCTGTTGAAACCAAATTAAAATTTTAATTAACAGATTTGTAGAGAATTTAATTGGCTTCAATTAGAGTCTAATTACATTGAAATCGGATGAAAATTAACGGAGCTGTGAGGCAAAAACTGTCCCAGTGTCATTTTTGGAAAATTGTTCGAAAATTTTCAATGTTCGATAATTTCAATTTTGAAACTTCTCACTCAGGTGCTTAACTGTTGAAACCAAATTGAAATTTTAATTAACAGATTTGTAGAGAATTTAATTGGCTTCAATTAGAGTCTAATTACATTGAAATCGAATAAAAATTAACGGAGCTGTGAGGCAAAAACTGTCCCAGTGTCATTTTTAGAAAATTTTCAATGTTCGATAATTTCAATTTTGAAGCTTCTCACTCAAGTGCTAAGCTGTTGAAACCAAATTAAAATTTCAATTAACAGATTTGTAGAGAATTTAATTGGCTTCAATTAGAGCCTAATTACATTAAAATCGGAAAAAAATAACCGGAGCTATGAGGCAAAAACTGTCCCAGTATCATTTTTGGAAAATTTTCAATGTTCGATAATTTCAATTTTGAAGCTTCTCAGCTGCAAAACTGTTGAGCCTGAATTGAAATACTAAACACCAGGTTTGTAGAAAATTTTATTAACTTCAACCAGAGCCTGATTACATTGAAATCGGATCAAAATTACCGGAGCCGTTAGGCAAAATCTGTCTCAGTGTAATTATTAGAAATTATTCAATGTTCGACAAATTCAAGTTTGAAGTTTCTCAGGTGCAAAACTGTTCAAACCAAACTGAAATCTCAATTACCAGGTAGGTAGGGAATTTAATTGGCTTTAATTAGAGCTCGGATGAAAATTAACAGAGCTGTGAGACAAAAACTGTCTCAGTGTCATTTTTGGAAATATTTCAATTAAAGATTATTATTATTAAGGTATAAATTTACGATACAAATATACTACTTATTATATTAGGTATCTAAATGGTAAATGGTTTTATATACAACAGCACCTAGATGCAGAGCATCTGTATGTGCTTCTAACTTACTTCATATATATATGTTATTTCCATAGGAATACAAATTTTTCGAATGCTGAGAATTTAAGTATGTACGTTATTGTCATCAAATCAAAGCAGTTTTTCAAACAAAATCCGATTTGTCCACAAAAAAAAAAAAAAAAATGTTTGATAATTTCAATTTTAAAGCTTCTCAGTTACAAAATTATTGAAAATTGAAACAAATATACAATTTTGTGTAGTTAAGGAACACAAAAACCCTACAAAAACTATCACAATAACCTGCAAAAATCCAAAAACCAAATAAAAATTTTCAAAAACCTGGGGTTTTGTCAACTCTGTTTTGCTTCTAGAGGGAGAGATGAAGGAGTTTTGCCACCTATATTTTTACAATAATTCATGCATCTTGAACTAAAAAATAAAATAGAAAATTTACTTGGTATATTCTGCCATTAGCCGTTGATTTAAAGCTGATGCCACATCCGAATGGTGACCTGCTTGCTGCACAGCATCCTTATAAGCCTTCTCCAGCCTACCAATTTCCTAAATATTTTCAAAATTAATCTTTCTAATATAATACAACTCTCACAATATACTAACAATATTCAAGTTCATCATCTGATCCACGGCAACCCTGAAAGATAAATCTACAGCCTTGTGAGCCATAAAAAAGCATTCCGTAATAAAGTTGTATTTTTCAGCAGTTTGTCTTGTTTCTTCCAAACCATCGTTGCTGTCCATTGGAATAAAGCAAGTGTCTGCTGATAATCCAGACATATGGATGCCTTTGGACGATGCATCAGAACCATCATTGATCTTAAAATAAACCCCAATAAATAAATAATTAATTAAAACATAAAGTTTCTTACAGAAGGTACTGCAGGATAAGTAGGATCGACTTTCAAAATTCTGCCATCCTTATAATTAGAACAAAACGGCCTACACAAACGTAGCATTATGCTACCAAAATTAAGCATAAATCCATCAGAAACTGGAGAATTATTGTTTTCATTTGGGTACAAATGAGGTGGAGACTAAAAATACTTCAATATAAAAAGCCACTAAAACAAATTCCAACTAAATACCTGATTCATGTTCCACAATTTTCCTCGCACCGAATTGTACTTAAGGCAACCCCCAAACCAAGTCAATACTTTATTTTTAACAATATTATTACGTTTTAATAAGACCAGCAAAAACTGGTGCATGTAGTCGTTGAGTTTGTCTTGACTACTCCACAGTAATCCTTCAAGTCTAGCATTTCCAGTCTAACAAAAATACAAATTTTTATGGAATATATACAAAAAAAATTAAATCTACCTGATCTGTAGGGCTACTAAAATGCTCATAAGCCTGTCTAGAGTCTTTGGGAAGTACAGACAAATTAAATAAAGCTCCTATTGGTGTATTAGCATACTCTGACCCTTTGTGCAACTCGTAAGGAACACAGCAATCCATGAAAATTTCAGCTAAATAATCGTTTGACGTAAAGACATTGAAATAGTTGAAAATGCTATAGTCCAAGTTAACTAGAGAACTTTTCATAAGCTCTGCAGTGACTTTGCGATTCATTTGGTCAATAAATGAAGTCAGAATTATGTCATCATTATTTTCTTCGTCTAACATCTTTCTAGCAGCTTCAACGAAAAACGTATCATGATGCGCTCCACCCTCTTTCAATAAATCAATCATTTGGTGTTCTAAATCTTGATCCGGATAAATATCTGGCTGGAATATCGCAGTGACAACGTTCTGTATTATTTTATCTTTGATTGATAATCGGTGTTCAGCTTTCAAGTGAAGATTTGTGTGCAACTTTATGTAACTTTTGTACAGGTATTTGATGGGTTGAATTTCTATTGCGTGCTGATTTCTGAAGCCGAGACGTTTATTTTGAATCAGGTTTGGGTTGTCTTTTTGGCACATGAAGAGTCGCTCGAATAGGGCTTGATCTATGTTGTCCATTGTTAATATTGTGGTGTCGAGTTCTTTGGAGATTTCTTCTAAATACAGAATCTGTGGACAATGTTACATTATTGTCATATTGGGTTTTTTTTTTTGGTCATGTTTTGTAGAATACAGTGTATGATTCTTACCTCTTTTGTAAGAATGGCCTTTTCGTTCAAAGTAAAACTGAATAATTCCTCTAGTTGATCGTTCAAGGAAGGTTCAGAGGTTTCAAAATTGTTGCTGAAACTGTCTTGACTGACCCCCCTAAAAAGGGAAGCAAAAGGGTTGGCAGCACTCATTCGTCGCAAATTTTCATCCATTTCAATACTATTGATTGAATTGCGTCTAAATTGATAATAATTACTTATGAATTTGAATGTTTTATTTGTTTTACATGTATATGTTTTTATTGTTTTCAATTATTGATTTTTTGTGACGTTTTACTTTTTAATGAATGATGTGGTTTTCGTTTCGTTGCTTTCGGGTGCCACCCTTTGAGCGCTCCGGAGTTACTCGGGTTACTCCGAAGAACTCCGGTTTCAAGCGTTCGAAGAATGCAAAACGCATGGAGGATGATAGGGTGAAGTGTTCTAACCGTGCGTTTGGTATTTTGATCTCAGTTCTCCGAGCTTGAATTTACCGTTCGTTTATTTAAAAAGTATATTCGGTGCAGGCTCATTCGCGTTCGGTAATTCAAATTTTAGGCACTCTGATACAGCGTTCAACTGCTCGGTTCGCTCGCTGGTCACGTAATTATGCCTCCGATCAGCACACACTGCTGTTTGAGGAAAATACCGAACGCAAGGTAAATAGGAGCTTCGCACTCCAACACCCGAAAGCCAAGAATGATGGCCGCGTTCACCAGATACAAACGTTGGTAAACGATTTGCGATTGTTCTTCTGAACGCTACGTTGAATTTGTGTTGAAACCAATGCTGAAACAACCAAACATGTTTTGCAAACGGTCGCCATTTTTGAAAGCATAATTTAAGAGTTGTTTATAATTTTCAACACTTTGGCTGAGTTCGGCTTTACACTCTATAGACTCTGAGCGCGCTCGAAACGATAAGTTTTTGTTCGTTTTAGCTCTCAGAATGTTCTCTTTTCCATTGGGTTTATGACCGCGTATGACGTCACGATATCCTTGTTCTTACCGTCTCGCTCCGTGGAGTACAAAGCCGAACTTTGTGTTTTGTGTTCGGAATTATACAAAGTGCATGTCGACACTTTTCACACTTTCAACTTTTGACACTGTGGCGTTCGTTAATTGGTAGGAGGAAGTTTGGTGTAAATTTTAGGTTTGTTTATTTGAGTCGCACTAACTTGAACCTAGCTGTAATATTCCAAATTATGGCAGATAAATCATATAAAACGCTCACAAACGAACGTCGTAAAGCAGGAAGTGCTGCCCCGAACAACACAAACAAACCTTTTATTTGCGTTTGGAAATAACTTGATGAATGGTGTAAAGATGGTGGGACATCGTCTACTCGGTTTAAAATGATAGTGTATTCGGCGTTACACCGCCGATTTCAACTTTATCACGTGATATAACCTTGCTCTGCACTACACATTGCACTACACGAACACCGCACAAAAATCCCATTCCGAAATCAAACGTGGGGACATGACATAGGGTGACGGTGACGTTCTATCAAAAAGTTGAATCGTTCAGCAGAAACAAGAGTTTACCCAACGTATTCTGTTGGTATCTGTAAACTGTTTATAATCCGTTTTGGTTCTGGTGAAAATAGCCATACACATTGCTACTACAGAGAAGTGCTTTCCAGTGATCCATTTGAGCTACTCCTGAGCAGCTCCAAGAGTGCTCCACAATTACTTTGCGCGTTCCAGTGCTAAGAGTGTCACTATGAGCTACTCATTTTTGTTATCCCCTGCCCCTTCATGCACCAACCTTCATTTCGGTGTTTCATGCTCCTGAAGTCCGAAATAGTGAGGGCTAAGACGAGAGCGTTCTAGTGCTGCTTATGTTGAACAGTTCCAGAGCGCCACACTCCAGTAGCATGATACTCTACAATTTAGGCACTGGAAAGCAGCTCAGGATGGCCTATCCCAAAGCCCTTCCATCCTCATCATAAGACCTGTGTGTAACAAATCCTCCCCTTCCTCCGCATAGTCAAAAGACCAATTGTGACGTAGGCAGCATGTTATTTCTCGCCTGGTCCTTTTCATCAGTGACCCATTTGAGTTACTCCTGAGCAGCTCAGGAGTGCGCCAAAATTGCTTTGCGCGTTCCAGTGCTTAGAGTGTCGTACACTTGAACTACTCATTTCTGTTATCCCCTGCCCCCGCGCGCACTAACCTTTATTTCGGGGTTCCATGCTCCTGTGTGAAATGGTGGGGGTTAAGACGAGACCGTTCCAGTGCTGCTTATGTCGAACAGTTCAAGAACGCCATACTCCAGGAGCATGATAATCCAATTTAGGGCGAATCCCCACGGGCGTAATTAGCGCAATCGGCATGAACGTCAATTCTACGTCAATTTTGGCGTAACATCCCGCATGTAGTGCATCAAAACCAAAACAAAAACATTTTCTACACAAATATCTTGTTCATTTTTTGCCAGGTTGTAATTGAAATTTACTAATTTGTTGTTGTAGTCCTTTTCCTTTGGTTTTCTGTGATTGTTCTATCGTGTTAATCTGAGGTTCTATCATATATCAGAAAAAACAAAAACAAACGTCACAACTTTGCCACAGTCGCTTTCGGGTGCAAAGTGTGAACTCTTCACACCTGTCATACTCCATGCGTTTTGTACTCGAACGCTTGAAACCGAACGGGTCAAACAGTAGCCAGAGTACTCCGGAGTAACTCGGGAGCCCTCAGAGGGTGGCACGAAAGCAGCTCACGATTACGCCGAAAAGTTCAACAAAATCCAACTTTTTGCGTAACGGCAGCGTAATGTCAAAAATTCAAGATGGCTGCACTGCCGCCAATGAAATCCTACAAATTGAATCAGGTGATTAGTTACGCTTACGTGAATTACGCCCGTAGGGTCTCGCCCTTAGGCACTGGAGAGCAGCTCTTGACGTCGGCAATGGTGGCACACCAATATGGCGGCGATTACCAAAAACGAGGCCGATAACACTCCTTAAAAGTCGTATTTCTTTCACACCTAATCTCCGGAACAACTCCGGGGCGTTACGAGCTAATTCCTTTCGAAAAGTGTTTGTTGAACCTGAGTACTCAAGCCCGAAGTAAACTATTTAAATGCACGTAAGCCAGCAAATCTGTTCCTTTCAAATCGGGGCGACTAACACCGTGCCAGTAGCTCTAGTGTTACACACTCTTGAAAGGAATACAGTTTTTGCGTGTGTTATCTCCTTGCCCGAAAGCGGCTCTGGGTTTTATTCCTTTCACACCTAGGAGGAGCTCCGGAACAACTCCGGGGCGTTACAATTCGACGTTTAATGCGTGTATCAAACGTCAAATTGTCGAAGCAATGTCAAAAAAGATCGAATTTCGCGCAAGTGAGAATCAATATTATCCCTTGAGCGAGTAGTTCTAATGCTTAACTCTTGAAAGAAAAACAGCTATTGCTCCATAATTTCCAATTCGAGCAGATAGAGTCACTAGCTTTGCAATAAGGTTTGACGTATTTGTCCCGACAGTATCTTTCCCGACTGTAGAAATCCCTTTTTATTTCTTTTGAACCGAATTGGGCCTGAGGGCTTTATTTGAAATTGATGCAACTTTGCGTATTTGAGATACTGTGCGTTCGATATTTTGATCTGAGTTTTTCGAGCTCGAATTTACCGTTCGTTTATTCAAAAAGTGTACCCGGTGCAGACTCATTCACGTTCGTTCATTCAGATTTCGGGCATTCTGACTCACCTTGCGTTTGGTATTTTGCTCAAAGAGCAGAGCGTGCAGAGCGGAGCCGTAGTCAGGTGACCATCGAGCGCACTGAGCAGTTAAACGATGTATCAGAGTGCCCGAAATTTTAATAAGCGAACGCGAATGAGCCTGCACCGAATATACTTTTCTAATAAACGAACGGTAAATACAAGCTCGGAGAACTCAGATCATAATACCGAACGCACGGTCAGCGTTCAACTACTCTGTTCGCCCGCTGGTCACGTGATTATGGCTACGCTTCAGCACGCTCTTCGAGCAAAATACTGAACGCAAGAGCCGCTTTCCAGTTACGAATTTTGAGATACTCCACACCCGTAGCTTCACACTCTGGTGCTCCAAACAACTGTTGTATTACTGGAACGCACCCTACTTTAGGCGTCGTGTTTTTGAAGCACCCTTAGAGCAGGTGAAGGTAAAGGAGTAGTAACCTGGATTTGGAAAATGAAGCCGTTTTTTTCCAGGTATCTTGGCCCACAAAAAATGGCGGTTATGGCAATTCAATGCTCTACCTGTATTTTGGTGCCAAACACCTGCCAAAAACTTGGCTTCACTTTAGTTTCATAAGCAAAATGGCGCGTTCCTACTCCTTATGTCCGTAGGACAGCGCTTTACCTGCTCTAAGGAAGCACCCAAAAAATTGCTGGTGTTTGAGAGGGCAGGGGAGAGGAAAAGAGAATAGTTTAGTTGCACAGTTAGTTGCGCAAAACTTCGAAGCACTGGAACGCCTATAAACAGCCCGGGGCGTTTTAGAGTAGCTGAGGGAGTACGTTAAGTGCGTCAATGCTTTCAAATTTCTTATGTAGAAAAGGCAAGATTCCTAAAAAGAGCTGGTGTCCGATGCCTAAATTGTTAGAGTATCATGCTCCTGGAGTGTGACGCTCTTGAACTGTTCGACATAAGCAGCAATTGGAACGCTCTCGGCTTAACCCCCACCATTTCGGACCTCAGGAGCATGAAACACCGAAATAAAGGTTGGTGATAACAGAAATGAGTAGTTCAAGTGTACCACACTCTAAGCACTGGAACACGCAAAGCAGTTCTGGAGCACTCCTGAGCTGCTCAGGAGTAACTCAAATGGGTCACTGGAAAGCACCTTAACCGTCTGGTAATAGTTGTATTCCTTTCAAGAGCTTGAAACACTCGAGTCACTCGCTTCGGTGTTAGTCGACCCCGATTTTAAAGGGAGAGATGCGGGGTGCAACAAACACTTTTCGAAAGGAATTAGCGCGTAACGCCCCGGAGCTGTTCCGGAGCTCCTCATAGGTGTGAAAGGAATATAACTATTGGGTAACATGACGCATCTGGGGGGCCTTATCAAGATTTGCATGATGTTGAGGCACCCCAAATGACGTCATAAACCTACCGCTCTTGAGAAAAGACTTGTGTTGCCAACAAAGTTCTTAAATTTTTGACTTGTGAATTGAAAAACAGACTTTAGCCGATTTGATATGAATATGAACGCACCCAAAAGTAACATTGACGTTTCACATAACCCCAAAATGACATTTAAATATAAACAAACAAACAAAGATGATTTTTTAAAAAACTAGATAATTTAAAATTAAAATGCCTATAAATTATAGTAAATAATGCCTGAAGACGACTGCTCAATATCCCAAAACTTAATCGAAGAAAAATTAACCAACCTAAACAATTACTATTTGCAACGAGGTCTCAGCCACGAAGATCTTTTCAATGTTGCCTTTCCTGAAACAGCAAGTAAACCTAAAAAATCTTTGAAAACACATATAATAATTTACACTGCAATAGCAACTTTACTTATATCTATATTATACAACTGTAATGCCTTTAGTTTCGTTTATGGAATCCGCTGCATCATACCAAACAATTACTTTATATGGGAAGCCACTAGGCCCATTTCAGATTGTTCATTTTGCTCAACCTTAACCGAAGCAATCGAATTAAGTAATGTAACTAGGGAAGAGTTTGAGCCTTACGCATACTCTTCAAAACCAATAATAGTTAGAGGAGCATTTTTACATTGGCCAGCAATGAAGAAGTTCAGTTGGAAATTTTTCAAAGAACTTTATGCAAGCGTGGAAGGTTCTTATAAGAGCGTAGACCAAGAGTGCCAATTTTTACATTTCAAGTCTGATTTTATTTCTATTAGGGATGTATTTGCCATGTCAGAGGCTAGAGTACAAAATCTAGCAAATGAGAAAAGCTGGTATGTCGGTTGGGGCAATTGCCATCCGGTAATTTTACAAGAAATGAGGAAGTTTTATCCTAAGCCGCATTTTTTACCTGCAGACGCTGAATTTCCTCATAAGGACTACATTTTTATGGGGTTTGATGATGGAGCAACCATGCATGTAAACTAATGATTTTTAGTTTAAAATAAAATCTACTTGAGGCTTTTTTTAGTTGGATTATATTAATAGATTAATGTGGCAAGCTCAATTACAAGGATCAAAAATTTGGAAGTTGGTACCTCCTCCCGAATGCCAAAAGATTTGCAAACCTGTTGAATTTCAAATTGGTCCAGGAGATGCTGTATTGCTCGACACTAGGGTTTGGTATCATGCCACTGCCATACCTAATAACCAATTTAGTTTATCTGTTCAATCAGAATACGGATAGAATTATTCGAATTTTAAAAAAACATTTTGTAGCCAAAGTTATTTGTTAAGTATCTTTTTTTTTTTTAACTGGATCTAGTCCATATACCTACCTATGTACCTTTTTATATTATTATTTATTTTCAATAGTATACTTTTACTATACCTACTTAGTTACCTAGTGAATTAAAGTTATGTAGTGCCATTTTTGCCATTTTGTTACTAAAATTAATTATTGTATTATTTATTTTAATATTATATGTTTTTATATTTTAAAAAGGTATTTTGCATTTATACAATATCACTTATTGCCCAATATTTTTAACCTGATTTTCTCTCAATTCTCTTAAATTTCTCTTTTCAATTCTTGTTTATTCCTGGCTCCTCCTTCACTTATCTCCATTTCTCATTTTGTCGGTCTCAGTTTTTCTGTATTCCAGGTTTTTGAATCTTCTTACTGTTTTTCTTCTAGAACAAGGAAAATTCTAGAACCAAGAATTCTAGAAGAAAAACAGTAAGAAGCATTTCAACCTGGAATAAGAAATAAAATAGACATATAGTTTTCAAGCTGTGAAGTTTCAAAGTGTTTTTATTTGGATTTTTATCAAGGTGGATGAACAGAAGGAAATTTCTGATTTTTTTCATGAATTTCAATCTTTTCTTTCTCCATTTGCAAAATTTCAATCCAATCCCTGTAAAATTTTCCTCAAAATAAAATATAACGTTTTCATTGTCATTTTTTTTTTTTAATTTTGATTTTTTCGAAAATGACATTGACACACATTTTTGCTCACAACTTTTTTAATTTCAATCCGATTCTAATGTAATTAGGCTCAAATTAAGGCCAATTGAATCCTCTACAACTACTTGATTTACAATGTAACTTCAACAGTTTCGCAGAGTCCTGGAATAGAATAGTAAAGAAAATTCAACAATATAGAATTTTAAAATTAAAAATCATGAGCCTGGAATAGACAAAAATTGAAACGAAATAATTTTTTATTATCTACTTTCCGATTACAAAAGTCCTGATGCAACAAATATTAATTAAAATATATTTTTCGATTAAAATAATAATAAAGTGAGCAGCAATAATAATATAATTTTCCGTAGTGGTGCGATAAAAAAGTAATGCGTCAACAGAATCATTTTCTAATTAAGATAGATAAGCCAAAAAGCTAAATAAACTTGAACCATACGTTGAAATAAAATTACTCAAATCTAAAGAGAAAATGCATTTAGGTAATTTTGCAATTCGTCTTGATGGTGACATCAAAAATATGTAATTATTACTTTCACATTGCACAATTGCAATTAATTGAGTTTTGAAAACCAATTAAAAACCAAAGCCATTAAATATAATGTTTATTAAAATTTTAATACATTTTTATTTTTTATTCAAAGAAATACGATAAATGGTTGGTACATCATCAAATGTAACAGATCTTCTTTGTTTATTGTGTTCTGTAGGTACTGCCAGCTTATTTCGGGTTGCCAATCCTGAGCTCAGTTTTCTTAAGCTGTTGCGAAAGCTAGTCATTCTAAAAAAAAAAAATTGTACATTGTGCAATAAATTATTTCTTCATCTACCTGGAAAACGCTTGATTTGTTGCATCTTCTTGCGCTTTTTTGATAAAATTAAAAGTAATAATTTCCTCAAGATAATGCAAAGTAATTTCTGGTACTTTGCTGGGACTGGCGTTTGGATTTTTGTCCAAATAAGTCAAAACTTGTTTAAGAACTTTGATTTCTTGATCTTTGGAAATCTAAATAAAAAAAATATTGAAGCAACAACATATTAGGTACATTATTAGCAATTTCTTACTTTACTCAAAGAATTTCTTATTTTAATCTCATCTTTGGTAGACAACCAATAAACTATGTGAGGCTTTCTGCTACACAACCACATGTAATTGTTGGGCTTGCCAAAAATGCATTCTGTATATTTGATGTGCTGAGTTTCCATTAAAAGTTGCACCTAAAAAATTTTGAATCAAATGAAAATTAGTTGTTAAAATATTGGTTTTTTACTTGTTCGATGAATTGCGATTTCATGGTGGAGTATCCGATACATCCAGATGTGAAAATGAAGTGAGTCGATAAATATAATTATGTCCTCCTGGATAATGATGAGTGAGTGGGAAATTAATAATAATTTTCCCCCGTCAATGTACATTATTATAATAAGAGTCTTATCTCTTTATGTACCTATAGATTGAGAGGTGATATTTTTAGGGAAATATTTTGTATCCAGGAATATAATGATTATACCATAATGAAATTATTATTGGTGAAATTAAGTTTGAAAGTAGGAATTTATTTATATAGAACATATTTTGACTTTTTTTTAAAGATCATCTTGGCGAAGTCAAAAATGGTTTTCTGTATCAAAGAAGTGTACGTAGCTTCAAAAAAAGTCTTGTTATTCTAATTCAATCTTTCATTGTAGCAAAACGCCCCAAGTAGGTACTCTATTTAATTAGTTAGATGGTAAATGGCGAGCGGTATATTGATGGTGTTCATTTCCTTGGAGCTGCTACCTATATAATTGTGGAGGGTCTATTCCTATTCGCAAAAGAGAGAAACAAATCATTGAGGTTTACTAAATTTTATTTTATTATATTTAAAACCAAAATTTTAAATAAGCAAATATCATTCTATTCTGACAGCCACTTCTATTTTTCCCAATTAAAATTATTTTACATCCGCTCAAATTTCATTATTTTGGACCAGGAAATATCCATACAAAAAGAAACGACCTACTTCTACTATTCGTATGTAAATATTTTAATTTAATTTGGGCTCAACGCTAATTTGTTCCATTTTAAATTTATCGATACTGATTGGAAATACCGGAAATTCAGTTTTTGATTATTCAATTACATTTAATTTTTACAGTAAAGACATTTGTCAATATCGGGACTATTTTTCCGGATCATTACATTACCTTTTTGGAAATAGACCACTCTTTAGATTCTGAAGTCTGCTGAAACTTGCCAATGATAGCTTTCATCAGCTTTTCTACGCATGAATAAACTGTTTAAATCAAATAATCAGGGCCGCCGCTACCATGTGTGCGGTGTGTTTAAAACACACAGGCGGCCGATTGAAAGACGTGAATTATTTACCATTGGAAAGAGCATTAAATTCTCTATAAATCCGTGCAAAATTGAGTTTGATAGCTCAAATAGTTTCTGAGCAATTGAGCCTCAAAGTTTACTTTTAGTAGTCCGAATTTTGTCAAAAACTTCAAACTCAATATTTGCTCAAAAACTATAATAAATCTGGGAATATTGTAAATTACAGGCCATTTCGAGCTTAATAAGAGCCACAAATATGCTGAAAATTTCCATGCAATTTGCTGAATGGTTATACCGAGCAATTGAGGTTTGAATATTTTGAAATTAGAATACAAAGGGGGTTAGGTACCCATGAGAAACTCATTTTTTTTTTATTTTTTAGTTTTGCTCAACTTTGATTCTACCAATCGATAGAAGGGATCAAAATTAGTGGAAAAAACCCTGATATTAATTTCAAATGGCCATTTTAAGTAGAAACAAATATAAAAAGTGAAATCCTATTTTTGGCTCTAAAGGAAAATTTTCAAAATCTTGACATGGTAATGAGCAATTGCCATATCTTCGTTAAACTTTGAGCCAATTGAAATAAATTATATACCATCGGAAAGAGCATTAAATTCTCTATAAGTCTGTGCAAAATTGAGTTCAATAATTCGAATAGTTTCTGAGTAATTAAGCCTCAGAGTTGACTTTTAGTCCAAATTTTATCAAAAACTTCAAACTCAATTTACTCAAAAGCTATAAATAGTATAAATCTCGGAATATTGTAAGCTACAGGTCATTTAGAGCTCAATAAGATCTACAAATGCTGAAAATTTCAATGCAATTTGCCCAACGGTTACCGAGCAATTGAGGTTTGAATATTTTGAAATTAGAATTCAAAGGGGGTACCCTTATGAAAAACTCGATTTTTTTATTTTTCAGTTTTGCTCAATTTTGACTTTACCAATGGATAGAACATGAGTAAGATTATAGGTCTATTCTCACAGAAAACCTAAACCAGTCAGAGCGAATTTCATTGGATTAAAGATAGTCAGAAAACTGGTTGTTGGAACTTTGTACCAATACGCTCTAACTGGTTTGTGATTTCTGTGAGAACAAACCTTTTGTCTCTTTTTGTTTTAAATTTAAAATAATAAGTAATAATTTTGTTTTTTTACTACTAACCTGAGAAATAGTCATTATTCAATCTATTTTTCTAGGAAAAAATTGAATTTCTCTCCCTAGGTTAATATTAATAATGAAAATAATGAAAAAATACCTAGGTTAATAATGAAAATGACGTCATGACGCAAGGATATTGTCATGTTTTTATTGGTTCAATCGTTGATTGGTGGAAATGGCCATTAGAAAAATTAAGAAGAAAACGAAGACCCGGAAATAGGCAAAATATAAGATGGAAAAATTGAAAAATAAAGAATAAATAAATATATACTTAGATAATAATCATAATACCTGAGTAAACATCAAAAAAATTGCAAAATTATGGCGGCAAGGGCGTGGCTAACTTCTATATTCATATTCAAAATTTGCAAGAATATGGCGGTGGTACCGAATTTATATTTGAAGGAAAGAAAGAAAGAAAGAAAGAAAGAAAGAATTTGCTTTATTGTCAGAAAATTTTACAATTTTGTGGACAAAGCTGAAAAAATAAAAAACAAAACATACAAATGCAAAAGCACAGACAAAACCAAACACTTGAACAAATAGTTCATGGTCAAAATTTGATTAAAACCAACAAACAAACATCTAGGTCTAACTGCTTATACTGTGCGAGTCAGCATATTGTAGGTACTAAAAAAACAAACAAACAATAACTTATAATAACCTATCATGATACAGGAACAAAAACAAAACCTGTGAGTAAGCTGCTCAAAATTTAGAATTAGGAAACCATAAACAACTCGCTTACTGTGTACAAGGCTCTCCCCAGTAAATACACCTTCAACGCCCTGCGAAATTCGAGAAAAGATGCAACGGACCTGATGTTAGGCGGTAGATGATTATGCATCTTTTTAGCATTATAAAGTATTGAACTTTTAACAAACTCTGAGCGCGGGATTGGCAGATAAAGATCCAACTCTGCGTTCCTCAGTGGATAATTGTGAGATGGCCTCTCTGAGATAGCTGATATTAAGTGCTTACGAATTAAGCAGACGGATTCGAAAATAAATAAAGATGGAAGAGTCAATATACTAGACTTGATAAAAAATTCCCGGCAGTGAGTTCTACTACCAAGTCCCAAAGAATAACGAAGAGCTCTCTTCTGCAGTCTAAAAATGCGTTCAAATTGAGACGCACAACACGTGCCCCAGAATGGAAGGGCGTAACGCAAATGCGACTCAAAAAGAGCATAATATACCATCCTGCAAGTTGCCGAGTTAAGCTCCCTGGAAACAGATCTCAGTGCAAAACAGGCCGAACTTAATTTCTTTGCTAAGGCGTCGATATGCAGGTCCCACTTTAGAGATTTATCAACAACAAGCCCCAGGAATTTCACGGAATCAACGGCCTCCATGGTATTGTTATCCAGTACTACAGATTGGAGCGAAGCTCTGTAAGATAAAACTTTGGTTTTAGAGAGGTTGAGGCACAGGAGATTTGAGTCACACCATGATTTGATGGTGATTAAGTCACTAGATACGGTTCTATGGAGTTCCGTAATATCCGGTGGTGGTGTAGTGGGCCGGGGGCATTGGAAAGGGTTTAAAAGGAAACAACCAATCAAATACCTTGACGATACATAAACCCCGGAAAGGGGCGGGGCTCAACTAACCAATTGAATGCCCTGCTGATATCACTCGTATCTGATTGGAAAGGGGCAGGGCTTATATCCAACCTATCAAATGCTTTGTTGATATCCTTACGTTTGATATTCTTTGGTTTGATAACGAGTCAGCCACAGTGTTGCCAGCTTGACGGAATTATCCCCTTTTTGAGGAAATTTTCTATTTTCGTTCGCAAAGGGTAGAAGCGGAAATAGCGGAATTTTTAGTCTGTTATTTTTTAAAGATAAAAGTCAAAATGATGTTGGCAAAATAATGTTAAATTGTCGATGCTTCAAATTTTTTATGTAGAGAAGGCTTGTGTTGCCAACATAGTTACTAAATTTTTGACTTGGGGAATTATAGCTTTAAAAAAAAACAGACTTTAGTTTTTCTTTTATTTAGTCGCATAATTTTCATATTCAATGAAAAATTGGTAATTTTAAATTTCTTGCACACGATATACAATAGGTATACAGGGTGGGCCATTGAACTTAAGACATTATTGAACTTTTTTTTTTCAAAAAACGCGCCATTTTCGAGATATTGAAATGTCTCAATTTAAATGGACCACCCTGTATAAGTATGGGTACAACATCTCATTCCTGACTGTAAGTGAAGGCGCAATAATAATTTTTTTTCCACTATCGCGCGTAAAGTACTTACGTTACGCACCTTTTAGAAGACATAAAATGTCACGCACCAGTGCGTAAAGTAGTTTTTTTACTACTAACCTGAGAAGTCATTATTCCATCAATTTTTCTGGGAAAAAATTGAATTTCTCTCCCTAGGTAAATAATGAAAAAATACCTAGGTCAATAATGAAAATGACGTCGTGACGCAAGGATATTGTCATAATGTAACAGGTTTCTATTGGTTTAATTTCAGTGTCAAACTGTCAATTTAAAAAAAGCAGGTTCTTGTATGTACAATATATAGGAAATTACCGTAAGCTGTTGATAGAGGGCAGCACTTCCGACAAGAGAAAATAATTTGAGGCGATTTTCAGCCTGGAATGATTATTTATCAGTAAATACCGTGGTTATTCTTTTGGTTGACAACTTTGACAGCCAAGTGTGACGTCATAGCCCCCCACCATTCAAGAATCATAACCCAAGGAACTAATCGCTGAAATGATTTGGTTATAGCAGTGTAGGAATATGTTTATTATTCTTATTTGCTTTTTCGTTTCAGCAATAGTTTTTTGTTTAGGTACAAAAAATGGAGCTGAATCTCTCGTTAGTCTCGTTTATCGAACAGATTTTCTTTGGGGATGATCTAAACCTCGATCTAAACATGGTGAATTGCAGTGAGTGAGTGAATGTATACTTCTTTTATTGTGCCAAGCTACAACGCAACTGCAAAATCACAAAACACCAATACAAATTCCTAAAATAATAACAATAACATCAAAAAGCTGTAACCAAAAGATTAACCCAAGTCCAAAGCTGGGTTATAATCGGTTATAAATGGTAAATACCAAAAGCAAATCAGCTGATATGTGACGTCACAACTTCCCCTACTTTGGTTAAAACCGCGACGGCGGAAATGCATTGGTTATAAGGGTTATAACCAAATAATAATCATTCCAGGCTGAAAATCGCCTTTAGCACAGGTTTCAAACCTATTAATTTTTTATTTTCTACTAGCCAGTAGTAAAAAAAATTCTATATATCCCTCGGTAGAGAAAGTCATTATATACCTTACGCATTATAAACCTCCGCGCTTCGCGCCTCGGTTTATAAAAACGCTCAGTATATAATGACCAACTTCTCTACCCAGGTATATAATATACTATTTTATTTGACTTTTTTGATCTGGATAACCATATTTTCAGATTGAACTCGTTTTATCCAAGAATCGTAAACTAACTGGATTGCTCTTTTCCTTCCCCATTAAAGGCGTACGTTCGCCAATCTCGAGTCTGCAGGGTGCGCGTGACGTCATCACTATCAGCAGCTTATTGTGATGATGTCACCCGCAGGCCTCGATGGGATGCTTGCGATTCAGGCTGTGCTTGTGAGTTAATTTTTTCGTCAATTTTGAATTTAGAAAAAGAACCGAATTTTCGCGACGAACTACTTGCATGATTTCATGAACACAAACGCTTTCGCGAGAAACTTATGACGTCATATTGAACGTAGTTCGCCGGAAGCATGGACGCAGTTTCTAGTCAGCGTTCAAAGTCATGAGGCATTTTCTCGCGTCTCAAATGTTTTAAATAGTATATTACAATCCGAGACGGAAAATACTTCATTGCTGGTCGAGAGGTTATTATAGTTATATAAACTCAACCTCGAGACAGAAATGAAGTTTTCCGTCGAGGTTTGTATACTTTTTTATTTTCAACCCTTAATTTTCTGATGCAAAAACTAAAGATTCTGTTATACGAAATTTTCATATAGTGTAAAACTGGCCTTAGAAAAAAATATTTCACTTTTTTTGTCAATGTCATCAATTTTGACGATCTCAAAGGCCCTGTAAAGGCCAAAACAAAAGACGAAACCACAGGAAACCGCAAAATCAACAACCATAGATAAGATCAACAACGCCTTAACGACGGTAGTTTTCGCTCAGTATTTTTGCGGAAATAATAGATTTTCACTAGATTTCTCCCCGTTCTCCCCAAAGAAATGATTTCGGAAAGTGAAGATGAAGCGATGTATTGTACCCCACCTGAATTAAAAGAAGCAGCAGACAGGATTGGAGAGAGTTTGCTTCCAGCAAAAAGCAAATTTCGGTACGAAAAGGCTTTTCAAATATTCGAAGCATGGTGTAGCCAGAAAGGAACGAGAAATACTGCCTCGGAGACCGTTTTGTTGGCGTATTTTGGCGAATTATCTAAGGAAAAGAAGCCTTCGACTTTATGGTCGACTTACAGTATGTTGAAAACCATGATTAAATTGAAAGAGAAAGTTGATATCTCCAATTACGCAAAACTTATAGCTTTTTTGAAGCGGCAAAATCTGGGCTTTCAGCCGAAAAAGTCGAGCGTTTTTTCCAGAGAAAACATTAACGAGTTCCTCACGAAGGCAGCTGAAGAATTCATTAGCATCAAGGTAGGTTTTCAAAAAATATACAAAGAAGATAAAAATGCGAAAATCAAAATGATTTTCTGTATGCTATAGCTAGGTTACCCATTTTATTTTTATCTGGTTTCAGGTAGCGCTAATTGTTGGTGTGTCGGGTGCATGTAGGAGCGATGAACTAGTCAAGATGAAAATGGAGCACGTCAACGTTTTGGAAGGAAAGATCGCTATAGAAATTCCACACACAAAAACTTACACAAGTCGATCGTTTATCATAAGCGATCCAGATTGGGTTGCTATTTTCCACAAATACCTCACTTTGCGGAAAAATTTGAAAAATGACAGGTTATTTGTTCAATGGCGAAATGGGAAATTACATAACCAAGCAATTGGCTATCATTCAATCTCAAAATTTCCACATAAAATAGCTGCTTTTTTGAAGCTTCCAAAAATTGAAACTTTTACAGGGCATGCTTTTCGTCGTACTTCCGCAACCTTATTGGTTGACAACGGGGCCGATCTATTGCAACTCAAAAGACTGGGAGGGTGGAAATCGAGCACGGTTGCTGAAGGCTACATAGAGGCATCTTTGGAGAACAAAAGTAAGACTGCTCTGATGCTATCCTCTACTTCCAAAGGTATTCAGTTGTCCAGTGCATCCACAAGTACATCACATGCGGAAACTCATCCGCAAGCGCAAGAGATAATAGTTCCAAACGAAACACAATTCCAACAGGATGGTCTCAAGATTTCCATTATAAACAACAATGCTAATTTAACAATTAATGTAAATAAGTGAATAGATTTAATTAGTTCCATGTAATACATGTGGTTTTATTATTATATGTGAGAGCTGTATGAAAATTATCAATTTGGAACGAGCAGGGAAATGGGGACGGAAAAGCATTTGCCGTCCCGGACGGAAAATGCTTTTCCGTCCTAGGCAGGCATATGCATTACCGTCCCGATAAATGTCAAAGTCCAGAAATGTGACACTTTCAAGATTTTGAAAAACCTGCAATGTCAACATTACATATGTGGTTGAAAATAAACATTTTTTCTACGAGCGTGAGGAAAAGTGTACTTTTCCGCACGCATTTTAGGTCATGAAAGGATCACTTTTCCACACTAGTGCTTTTTCGTTTTTTTTTCGCATTGAGTGCGGAAAACTAGATAGAATACCTAAAATTTTTAGGTATACAGGTATTTACAGGTAAACAGGTGTACAAGTACGAAAAAGTGAAAAAAAAATATTTCAAATTGATGAACATGTAGGTAAAAATATTACCATTCATCTCGTAGAAAAAATAGTGTTTCTAACTCGTGCGGAAAAAGGGTACTTTCCGCACTAGTTAGGAAATATACTATTTCAAAACTGGTTCAAGTAATGTCACCATGACGTCATAGTTTTTCGGTGCGAGAAAATGGTTTGAAAACGTGGATTAGATTGTATTTCGAAACGGTTTGAACCAATTTTGACGTGACGTCATGCGTTTATCGCGAGAATGAACTGTTTCGAAACCATTTTAAACCACTTTTTGAACCAGGGCTGGAAACACGACAAGTAGAATTCTACTAAAATTCTACTTTTATGACGTCAGGTTGCCTAGCAACCATCATCATCGTCCTGTTCTGTACGCGATAAATAGGTCGCGGGTGACGTCATGAAAGTAGAATTCTACTCGTCGTGATCCCAGCCCAGTTTCAAAAAAGTGGATGCGAGAAAACGCCTAAATATGGCGTCACAAAACGAATAATCATTATCAAAGTACGTCCACTGAATGCACCTACAAACTTCAAGCACTCTCTGACATGTCACGTCACCAATTTGTTGTCGTTTTCATTTTCCAAATTTCTCCACCCCACTTTTTGGTTCGTCTTGCCAGAGATCGGACGTGTCACGTCTTCGGACTAAAAACAAATTTTTCGATAAATTTCCTTAAAAAAAATCAAGCCTAACGATGGCCCCAAAACAGAGGATGCGTATCGCCAACGAAAAAGCCAGCAAAATGGTCACCATGAGGGGCAACGTACCCAAATCTTCCGTAAGTAGTTTTTTTTTTGGAAACATATTGTTTTGGTTTTGGACATTTGTTGCTTTGTTTTTGGGGGAGTTTTCGTGAATTTGGGGCTCTATTGATGGTATTCAAGACAACTTTAGCTTAGAAATTGTTTTGGTTTAGAATAAACTCTACAATCTGGAAAGTTTTTTGCTTATAGCAGCAAAATTTGGGCAAAGCAACTTCTTATCAACAACCAATTGTATTTTAATATTCCCTAATTGCAATTTTATTATTTTTTTCAGAAACAAGAAAAGGAGAGTTCTCCAGTAGGCCCTTGGCTTTTGGCGCTCTTCATCTTCGTTGTATGTGGCTCAGCTGTTTTCCAAATCATCCAATCAATCCGTATGGCGTAAACATCATCAATAAATTTAAACTTGTTTTTCGTTTTTAATGTTCTTATGATTTAATTGTCAATTTATTAATGTAAAAACGTTTTGTGTGCAATTTAATTTTTGTTGTTTTTATACAATTTTTTTTTTTTTTTTTAATCATTTTGAAATGTACAATAAGGTGGATGGTTATTGGAATTCCAAATGCATTTATGCTGCACAAAGAGATTATTTTCTTGTGTAAGAAAAAAAATTACATCATTCCACTGAATTTTAGTAATAATTATTGCAAGAAACTTGTTTAAGGGTTTTTAAAAGTTTAATATATTATTATTTTCGAAAATAATGTGTTTAATTCATAATACAATTGCTTTAGAAAAAATTTAAATTATATATTTGCTTCCAGTGGTCTCCTGATGACGTCATAATGATTAGAAAATTCTTGAAACGGCTTTGTCCAATGTCCATACGAAATCTCAAAACAATTCGATACAGGGCAGGTTCAAATATAAATCTATAGAGCAAGCACATTCATGTTCGACTACACTGAAGTAGAGTTAGTGGAGCTCACTCCAAAAGATCCCCTTAGTGCAAGGAGATTTTTGGAGTAAGTGGAGCAGCTCTCAAATTCACCATACGATGCATGTTTGTTGAGGATGAGGCGTGTATTTTGTTTTGTAATGTTATATAATCATAATAAATGTTCTATTAAATTAATGAAAAAGTAACAGCAACATAAATGAGAAATTTTTGAGTTCAGGATTGCACCTTTAATGATTCTCTATGCTCTACTTGTTCGGGTATTAATTTGAATAAACGGATCAAGAATATTTATATATATTCGCGATTTTGAATCCTCACTACAAAAAGTGTTCCGGATATTCTTCAATGCTTGCTTTACTCTAGAACGCATAACAAAGAAACTGAACTGACCCCATTCCAACTTAAACTCGTTCTGTTCAAAAAGAGCAAGAGCAAAATTGACATTGAAATGTTTGTCAAAAATGTCAATATTTTGACTTCAAATCATCCTCTCCCAAATTGAGTCATCTCTATTTGCATTTAAAGACTTAAAAAAGCGGATCTTCTCATTTCAGCTCCCCTAGTGATTCATTTTATTACTCAAATTATATTCTTGTGACGTCACCTGTCTTTATTTATTTGCAATTCAAGTGCCATAAAAGGCAGTCGCGATTTCACTCGAGTTGAAGATAAAACTGGGCGAGTCTACTCTACAACAAAATGAGCCAATTTGAGGCTGTAGCGGGTGGATTTCCCCTAGCTCAATATCTCAAAACCTCCCAGGCAATTGGAGGTGTGGTTGCGGAACATTCCAAATTGGTCCAAGGAGCCTTCCAGGCCCAACTCGCCTTCCTCTATTTGGCGGAGGGTTGTTCTCGGCCTACTTCACAAGATAGTTTGGTGAGTTTGCTGAAACCCACCAGTGATAAAATCAGTGCGATACAAGAGTATGCAGAGAAGCACCGGTCTCCGGAATGGAACAATCATTTGACTGCAATCAGTACGAGCATTCCTGCATTGGGTTGGGTTACTTTGACTGCCGTCCCGGCTCCGTATGTTAAGGAAATGAAAGATGCAGGACAGTATTATACAAACAAGGTGTTGAAGGAGTGGAAAAATAAGGACGAGAAGCATGTCGAATGGGCCAAGGCTTGGATGGAAACTTTAGAGGGTAATAATTTTGTCTATTACTGTGTGTTTTTATCAATAGAACATTTTCATGTGCTGTGAATTCAGAGAATTATGGTATTTTTTTGAGTAGATACAGGAATGGAATTGAGAATAAACAAGATTTCAGTCAGATTATTAAATAAATAAAATTGCAAATTTAAACACAAAACACCTCACTGAAAACGCCCTCTCATTGGTTAGAACCAATATTCATATTTCATGCATTGTTGCCGAATTTCCATTTAACCTACTGTTCGCATGGATGCCACATTTCCTATTTTTTAGTTCATTATCTAGAGAAACAGATTTTGAGAAATATTTGGCAACACGTAGACAAACCTTGTTCCAAACAATCTTGTTTTGGAATCACTCTGTATACGAATTTCAAATTCTAGGCACAAATTTTACATTTTGCCTAGAATCCTGACGGTGGAATGTACAGTTCCCTGCTGAGTTGGAACAAAGCTTTAGATTCATTTGTATTCACTACTAAGTAATAAAAGTACTCTTAGACATATCCTCTATTTTTTTAAAGCATAGTAAAGGACGCAAATATGTTCTAGGTGAAAAATATTTAATTTTTATTAACATTAGGCAAAGAGGAAGATGCAAACCAAAAACTAAGGTTGTTTGAGGTACACTTGGCCATTCATAAAACTGTTATGCATTTGCCTATTGTATTGTATTGTGTAAATCAACCTTTTCATCACCTCAAAAATGACAAAAAGTATCAAGTCAGTGTCATCTTTGAAGCAAACATAACATAAAGTCTGTTTTTTTTTTTAAAGATAATTCCCCAAGTCAAAAATTTAGTGATTATGTTGGCAACACAAGCCTTTTCTACATAAAAAATTTGAAAGCATTGACAATTTTACATTGTATTGCCAACAGAATGTCACTTTGACTTTTATCTTTAAAAAAAAAACAGATTTTAAAAATATTTTTGACAGATCAAACTGGGGTACCAAACTGAGGCGAAATCGCCTTATGTTGCATTCCTTTTGTTCAGCTTTGACATTGACAAAAACTATCTGACCCAATGAACTATAGCTAAAAACTGGAATGCGCACACATTGCCATATCTGCCAAAAAAATGAGGCCATGAAAGACAGATGCCACAAAGGGGAATGTTGTTTTTTTCTGTTGCTCGCTGACATATGACGTTTTCGAAAGTTTTGTCATATTTCCCTTCACAGGTTTCATCAATTGGAATACGTGTTGGAAGCAATATTCGCCATTTAACATAATGAGTGCGACAAAAACAGGTATCCCCTCCGCAGCAGCCGCACATTCGCCATAGGTGTTCGCATTCCAGTTTTTGGTTATAGTTCATTGATCTGACCTAAAGTTTTCCAGAAAAGACTTTTTGTTGTTAAGCCTGACTCACACTAGGCAAATTTGAAAAATATATATTGCCTGTACCAGTTTTATGTTTGGCCAAGTGTAGGTTGCCTGATAACTTTATGACGTCACCTGGGATGCCTCAACATAATGAAAATCTCCATAAGGCATCCCAGACGCGTCATCAAGTTACTTATTACCAGGCAACCTGAATCTGAAGTCCCCCACCCTGTCAAATCACCAGTTGTGACGTAGCCAGCATGTTCTTAATGCAGGCTGTTTGCACTATAAGTTATAATTCCGCGGGCTTTCGCTTTATGCAAACTTGGCTTTACTACATCAATTAACATTCTAAAACAACTCTTTTTTAGATGTTGTTTTCATCTACCTCTTTGCCATTTATGTTAATCAAAATTAAATAATATTTTTCATCATAAATTTAAATTCTATAAACTATGACCTTAAGTGCAAACAGCTGACAACTTCTTAATGACGAGTTGAAGAGGGCGCTTCTGTACTTGGAGCTTTTTGAATTTTGGCGCGTGAATAATCGAATGTAATTTTAACCTCAAAAGTCAAATTTGATGTGTGGTTTCAAGACAAGCTGACGCTGACACTTTTGAAAATATTCTTCTAGGGCCACTGAACGTTTTGGAAGATATTTTAACTTATTCACTGTTCATTGTACAAATATGTAGTCATCTTTCCTTTCACTTATTAAAACGGTTTTAAAACTATTGACATTTACCGCCAAAATTCAAAGCACTCCAAGTTCACTCGCGCCCTCTATAAAATTTTATGGAACTTAACTGGATATTTGCTGCCATTATGTTTTGTTTTTAAAGATAATTCCCCAAGTCAAAAAATCAGTAAAGTCTGTTTTTTTTTTAAAGATAATTCCCCAAGTCAAAAATTTAGTGATTATGTTGGCAACACAAGCCTTTTCTACATAAAAAATTTGAAAGCATTGACAATTTTACATTGTATTGCCAACATAATGTCATTTTGACTTTTATCTTTAAAAAAGAAAACATATTTTTAGTTTCAATTTACAAAATACAAATCTCGTGCCTATAAAAATTTCGGAGCAAAGGCCGAACGCGACTATGTTATTATTAATGACCGTTTGCATCAACTATTTTAGGGGAGCCTTGATAAGTATTCCCTAAAATGACATTTTCACATGGAGAAATGTCAGTTTAAGGAATACTTATCGTTAAGGCTCCCCTAAAATATTTGGTTGAAGCAGCCATTAATGTACTAAAACCAAGTATGCAATGCATAAAGCAAAAGCCCGAGGAACCTGTGGTGCAAACATCCTACGTCAAGGCGAGAAATAACACGCTGCGACGTCATCGCTGGTTCTTTGGTGTAGTGGGGGGCTTAAAGTTAGGCTGGATTCGGTAATTGCTTCTGCGAGCTAAATGAGCAAACTTTGACAGATGTCACGTGATTTGACACGTGAAAAAAGATAAGTGATCATGTGATATCCATATCCGTCAATTTGCTCTTTTTGCTCACAGATGCAATTACCAAACTCAGCCTTAGGGTGGGTATTATAAAACTGGTTTGACAGTTAACTTGAAGTTAACTTTTTGAATTACATGTAATTCTAGAAGTTAACTTTAAGTTAACTCTCAAAGTAGTTTTTTTTTAAATTTTCGAAATATTCCTGACCGTTTATCGTTAATTTAATCCTTTTTTTTTTTTTTTTAATCCTGGGAATCGGTCACATAATGAAAACACTAGCTTGTAATTTGTAACGTTTCGGTTTAATTAACCATCATCAGACAATATTTTTCTAAAAAAGATCAAAAAATATTTTTACATAAAATTCTTTTTTTTTTTTTTTTTTTTGATTTTGGACAATTCTACATTATAAACATAAAAATAAAAAACAATACAATCATAGGTACAGTACAAACTAATTAGGTGCCACATTTAAAAAAAGACAGATATTAACATTATTTCTATATTTAATTATTATGTGGAAGGGAGTTACGAGTAACACGAGAGAAGGATGAAAAGTATGTATATATATATATTTCATTTAATTTTTTTCTAAAAATAGTGAAGGTTTAGGAAAAAAAAATTCAGAAAGAAAAAGAAATAAAAAATATAGTAATGGAATTCTTACCAGCTATTGTATAATCGTAGTCTACCAATTGTGTATTCAAGTATTATTGTAATTAGATCATCAAACTAAGTTGTTCCATGATTTAATTTTTCTTTTTCATGTTTTAAAAAATCTTTATAATTTATTTGATTTTAACCAGTTCGACCTTTCGCAGTTCTAGTTGATGTTGCTACGTAAATAGGTGGAAGTGTTTGTTTCTTATCATTCAGGGTTTTTTTTTTTTTTTTTTTTTTTTTTAGCCTATTTGGAATTCCATTCTATACACAGTGTGTTCGTTAAACTAATGTATAGGGAGAGCAAAGTTTGTGTTATGTTTATTGAGTTGTGATTAAATTATGGTAAATATCACTTAAGTTTTCTGTATCAGATCTAAAGTTGATAGTATTTGAATTTTTTTGAATTTGGATCATTTCATGAATTCTTCTTTTATGGTAATTGTCTTCTCTTACTAAAATTTGTGCATTATCAAAATTGAAACTATGTAGGTTTTCATGTGCATGGTGTGTTAAAGCTGTTTTGTTTTCATTGTTTCGCCTCAAACTATATTTGTGTTCATATATTCTTTTTTTAAAGTATTGTTTTGTTTTTTTTCCGAATATAGTGTATAAAATTGATTGTTCTGATTGCAGTAATACATATATTGGACAAACAAAACAATACTTTAAAAAAAGAATATATGAACACAAATATAGTTTGAGGCGAAACAATGAAAACAAAACAGCTTTAACACACCATGCACATGAAAACCTACATAGTTTCAATTTTGATAATGCACAAATTTTAGTAAGAGAAGACAATTACCATAAAAGAAGAATTCATGAAATGATCCAAATTCAAAAAAATTCAAATACTATCAACTTTAGATCTGATACAGAAAACTTAAGTGATATTTACCATAATTTAATCACAACTCAATAAACATAACACAAACTTTGCTCTCCCTATACATTAGTTTAACGAACACACTGTGTATAGAATGGAATTCCAAATAGGCTAAAAAAAAAAAAAAAAAAAAAAAAAACCCTGAATGATAAGAAACAAACACTTCCACCTATTTACGTAGCAACATCAACTAGAACTGCGAAAGGTCGAACTGGTTAAAATCAAATAAATTATAAAGATTTTTTAAAACATGAAAAAGAAAAATTAAATCATGGAACAACTTAGTTTGATGATCTAATTACAATAATACTTGAATACACAATTGGTAGACTACGATTATACAATAGCTGGTAAGAATTCCATTACTATATTTTTTATTTCTTTTTCTTTCTGAATTTTTTTTTCCTAAACCTTCACTATTTTTAGAAAAAAATTAAATGAAATATATATATATACATACTTTTCATCCTTCTCTCGTGTTACTCGTAACTCCCTTCCACATAATAATTAAATATAGAAATAATGTTAATATCTGTCTTTTTTTAAATGTGGCACCTAATTAGTTTGTACTGTACCTATGATTGTATTGTTTTTTATTTTTATGTTTATAATGTAGAATTGTCCAAAATCAAAAAAAAAAAAAAAAAAAAGAATTTTATGTAAAAATATTTTTTGATCTTTTTTAGAAAAATATTGTCTGATGATGGTTAATTAAACCGAAACGTTACAAATTACAAGCTAGTGTTTTCATTATGTGACCGATTCCCAGTCTCAAAGTAGTTTTATAATACCCGCCCTTAATAGGTTGTCTGGTAATGATTAACTTGATGTCCTTGATGACAAATCTGGGATGGCTTATGGAGATTTGCCTTGTGTTAAAGCACCCTAGATGACGTCATAAAGTTATCAGGCAACCTGTGTTGAGATTTGATCTGCACAAGCCTTTTATGAGGATAAGTAGGGTTGCCAGATTTACGAGAGGGAAGAGTGTGGCAACGACGTTGGGGGGGGGGGACTACTTTAGTTCAATCCCACGCACAAGAAATTTGGTCACCTTCAGTGGGGGTAAATCTTTTATTTCCGTAAACTCATGAAAGTAGAATTCTACTTTCATGACGTCACCCGCGATTTATTTTTCGCGTACTAGTACAGGCGATGATGACGGTTGCTAGGAAAGGGCTGGGACTCTGTAACGGATAGAGATATTTTCTCTATCTCTATTGAAGCTTCCTCTCTACTGATCCCGAGGAGAGAGAAGAAGACAGCAAAGTGCCATAGCGATAGGGATAACGATCTCTATCCGTTACAGAGTCCCAGCCCTGACGTCTTAAAAGTAGAATTCTTCTTGTCGTGATCCCAGATGGGGTTCTGTACAGGGGTTTTATCTATATATATAAAAATCTTCAATAAAAAAAAACAGACTTTAATATTTTTTCGACTCAGTTTAACTTTCTTTGAGTCTCCCATCATTACACAAACACAAATAATGAGCAGGGCCGTGCTAAGCACGCGCGGGCCCCAGTACAACTATTCCAACGGGCCCCCTTAAAGGGGGCCCCAAACTTTTTTGAGTGTCACGATTCACGAATGCCCAAATTATTACCCAAAAGCCGTTAAAAAAAATGCATCGGGTATAATTTTTTTAGGTATTTTTGAAGTGAAACCTCTGTGCTTCACAAAAATTCCGATCGCGTGAGGACCGTAAGGAAAGTATGAATCGCGCATCAGCAGCGACCGTAGTACTCTTGTCGCTTGATTGAGAGAGATACATTACGTGCCGGTACTTTTGTTCTCAGTTTTCAAATTTGACAAACGTTAAAATTAATCAGGGGTTTGAATGTGCTCTTTACCACATCATACAGATTATGATACAGATTACAGATCTTGTCCCATGCAAAACCTTGTTAAATTCAATGGTGTCAAATTCGTTATCAAGATCAAAAGTATCGGCCCTACATGACTCAAAATTCTAATTAAATTTAATCTCCGGTTAAATTTAGAGTTGGTGTTAAATGATGGTTTATGAATGTAACGGTTTACGGGTTTGCTCTTAAATTAAATGTCTATAGGTTTTACGCCACTGTAGGTTTTACAGCCTGTCAAATCAAAAATAGCATATTATTCAAAGAGCGGGTAATGATGGCTGTTACTCACGATAATTATGAAGTTTGTACTACGAGCCGCAGGCGAGTAGTGTAATCACTTACTCGGATAATTACACTACTTGCCTGCGGCTCGTAGTGCAAACTTCATCCTTCGTGAGTAATAGCCATTGCCTACGAGTTGAATACTATATACTTTTTCTATGATTAATAGAAAATAGGCACGAGTTAAGGCCGGGACACATCTATCATACATTCTTCCGATCCGACTCCGATCATACAATCAGGGTCCTTATTCTTGGAACAGGGGAGCAGCGGAACACCCGCTCTCCTGGGAACGCTGCTTCCTGTTCCAAGAATAAGGTCCCTGATTGTATGATCGGAGTCGGATCGGAAGAATGCATGATAGATGTGTCCCGAGCTTAATGCGATTTTTTATTTAATTTTCGTAACAAAATTAATTGACAATTCTGATAGCTGTATATTGTATATTACGCATATTACTCATAGAAAAAAGTTAATTTTCAACTGATGTCAATATTTCCATTTTCCAAAACAGATGATAGGGTATGTGGGGTATATCACATGAAATCTGCTCAGAATTTTACATAGAATCCGAATATTGAATAAAATATAGGGTATTCCATTCGAATAAAGGAAGTTGGACCATGACCAGCCTTTGCGGAACACTGTGGGTATACATATGCGAAAGTGAGTTGAAAAAAAAAATAGTTTCAACCATAAAACTTTTCTTTCGAGATAACGGGCCGGGCCCCTACGGAACCCGGGCCCCGGTAATTTGTACCGGCCGCACCCCCCTATGCACGGCCCTGATAATGAGTGAATGAAGCTTTTCGGGATAAAGTAACAGTCAGCAATACAATAAATTCAATGTAAACTTGTGAACAAATCTCGCAAACGCGCCAGCTGATTGTTCATTCCGAACAGTGACGTCACAAGCGCTACTCCGCCCCAGGGGGTCGTTTTGCTAGCCTCGCTAATTTCTTTTTTTTGTTTTCGATTTATCAGAAAAAATAAAGGGTTTCTAGGTGTTTTAACGCTTAATACGAGTTTTGTGGACCTAGAACCACCACTTTTTATTACAATTGAAAAATAGTGAATGTTCCTATTCCTCCGCTTCTAGAGCACACCACTGGAGCACACACAATCTTTAAAGAATTCGCCATGATACTAAGGGCGGGTATTATAAAACTATTTTGACAGAATAACTAAAAGTTAACTTCTGGAATGACGTTACTTCTCATAGTATTTAACTTTTACCTGGCCTAATACTACCAAAATTCGACTGGCGAAACATTCCGTTAAAACGAATCCCGATGGAATAGTGAGACAAGTAGAGTTCATCAGATCAAAAGGCATCCCTACTTGCCGCCGCGTTGAAAACGCATAGTGTGACACCGCACTTAGTTATTTCACTCTGCATCATAAATCATAACTTTGATCACCAATCTGAATTATTATTGCTATAACTTACAAATTTTTTTTTTTAGAGTTGCGGAATTTTGTATTCAAGAATCACACTACTGGCTTAGTTTGGGCAGGCAAAACGCCGCCTCCAGCTGGCGGTTGTCCACCTCCTCCTCCCCCTGGCGGTTGTCCTCCTCCGCCGCCAATCATCGATTTCGATTTGAAAGCAGCAGGTGATGGAGGTATTTATTTGCCTCAAAAATTTATTTAAAATATTCTACAAAATCGCTTTCAGGTTTGGATCGTTCCGCCTTATTCGCTGAAATAAACAAAGGCGAAAACATTACTAGAAGCTTGAAAAAGGTAACCTCTGACATGCAAACCCACAAAAACACTGGCCTCAGGCAAGGTCCCGTGCCTCAACAAGCGAACAAACCAAGTATTGGAGTTAAACCTGTGCTGGCTGACAAACCTCCTGTATTTGCTCGTGACGGCAAAAAATGGCTTATTGAATACCAGAAAAATAAAACCGATTTGGTTGTTGAAAATGCTGAAATGAACAATGTGGTTTATTTGTTTAAATGCGAAAACACCACTGTTCAAGTCAAAGGCAAAATAAATTCAATCACAATGGATTCATGTAAGAAAACTGCTATCGTTTTTGATAATTTGGTTTCTTGCATGGAATTTATCAATTGCCAATCGGTTCAGATGCAAGCGCTAGGCAAGGTGCCTACGGTTTCCATTGACAAAACTGATGGGTGTCAAGTTTATCTCAGCAAAAATTCTTTGGATGTTGAAATAATTTCGTCAAAATCATCGGAAATGAATGTACTAGTGCCTGAAGGTGACGATTATGTTGAACATGCCGTACCAGAACAATTTAAGACTCGTATCACACCTAAGAAGACCTTGCATACTGAGATTGTTGAGAATAAAGGCTAATGTGTGTGATTTAATTGTTTTAAACTTAACTATCCAGTAATAATAATTATTGATTAAGCAATGAATGTTTTTGTAAAGTTTTTTTAGGTAAATATACTCATCTGACAAGACATTCCAACAATAAAATACATAGTAACTTATGTAGCATTTAAATAGCTTGATGATCATGTATCTAGTAATCATTATTTATAATAATCATGGGTTGTGGAGAGTGTCTTTGTTGATATCATATCATATTTTTAAATTTTGACTCATTTGAATTTCATTGTTTTGCTTTTATTATTATATTTAATAATGCGTATCAGGTTTAGGTTGCATTTGTAAATTTGTATTTCACACTTTGTCTTGTGACTTATTGTATTATTAGTTATAGTCCTCTGCCAGACTTCCTATTATTATTTTATCTACTAATACCTATGTAATAATAGCTTTTTAATAAAATTTTTCATGAATTTAAAGTACTTATGTGTGTTTTACTGATATCAAAATCTTATTTTTTTGTGTAATAATTTTTACTTAGAAAGAGGAGATTTCAAAGCCTCCTCTGCTTTTCAACAATGATTTCAAATTTGACATTCTTTCTAAAAATAAAACACAAATAATATCAGATAAACATGTTAATATATTTTCAATAAAACCACCATAAAAAAATGCACAACATAAAATTAATATCATTAGGTACCTACTAATAATAATCGAGATTCTGATAAAATTAAAAATTACACTACAAAAAATATTTAAACTTATTCTACAGTATGAATTTTATTTATCTTGATTTTCGGAAATATATTGCAACACATCGATAGGAGTTACGATTCCAACTGGTACCTCAACTTGACCATTGCCAACATCTTTTTTCTCCAATATTATAACGTAAGTTTCCTTTTCCAGCACACTAGACACTAGGCCCAAATGCGCGTTGGTATAAAGTTTTGGATAAACTCTGGCAATCAGCCGTTCAATTGAATCACTGGCGTGAATTTCCTTAGCCATCACACTGGATAAGATTTTTTGTAGACAGACAACTCCAATGATTCCTCTGGAAAATTATTTAGGTATATAAAACTTTTAAACAAAAAAAAAGCAAAATGCTCACCCGTCCTCGTCAACCACTGGAATTTGATCAGTACCCAATTTTTTCATCAGTTGCATTACTCTTTCGCATGTCATCGAAATTGTAGCAGTTTGAACAGGTTTGCTGAGCTCGGTTACTTTTTTGTCCCACCACCAATGGTTTTTAGTGTTCTCGCAAGGCATATAACCCCTGGCCTGCATCCATTCATCTGATATAAACTTAGTAATATAATTCCTAATACTATCCGGTAAAATAACTACCACATTTTGTCCTTCTTTCAAATCTTTGGCAGCTTCGAGTGCAGCTGCTACATTTGCCCCACTACTAGTACCAGCAAGTAAACCTTCTTCTTTTATAAGCCTTCTTGCCATTGGCAGCGCTTGCTTGTCGTGTGTTTTGATCCAAACGTCCACAATTGATCTGTCCAAGACTGTTGGGACAAAATCGTAACCGACTCCTTCAACTTCATAGAAAGTTACATCAGTTTTATTGAGGGCTTCTGGTAGGGCTAGAATCGAACCAAAAGGGTCGGCTGCTACTATTTTGGTTTGAGGCGAAATTTCTTTGAACTTGCGTCCGATACCGCAAACAGTACCACCGGTACCTGAACCAATTACAATCATGTCTACTTTTTGATCGCATTGATTGAAAATTTCTTCTGCTGTTGTGTCGTAATGCGCTAACGGATTTCCAGGATTTGAATACTAGAATAATTATATTATGTAAATGTTACTTTGAAATCGCCTTTTTTTTTTTGTTTTGTGCATATAGTTATTACCTGATCTAAAATAATTGAATTAGGAATTTCCTTATGCAATTTATGAGTCAACCCGAACATGCCATCTGGAGCAAACGAATCCAAATTAACCGGAACCCGTACGATTTCAGCACCAAGTGCTTTCAAAGTGGACACTTTTTCGTTGGACATTTTCTCTGACATGACTATAATGCAGCGATAGCCTTTAACTGCAGCGGCAAGGGCCAATCCAATTCCAGTATTGCCCGATGAAGGTTCGATTATTGTGGATCCAGGTTTCAAGAGGCCTTGCCTTTCTGCGTCTTCTACCATTCTGTAGCCGATTCTGTCCTTGACTGAACCGCCCGGATTGAAGTATTCGCATTTTACGTCTGTGAATAATTCAATCATCAGAGATTGAATTTTTGTTAGTTGAAATTTACTTACAAATATTTGCTTTGATTCCGGCACTTTGAGGGATTTTATTTAGTTTCACCAAAGGAGTATTTCCAATGGTTTTGAGAATGTCTGGTAGGATTTTTGATTTTTGTCTCCTGAAAAAATATAATCAAAAATGGTATGGAAAGTTACACAGAAATTTACGCAAGCACATGTTTGTTTGTTTTGAGACGTACGTAAGCAATTGTTATTTCTTCATAATTATTATTCATTATTGTTGATAATGAAATTTGTCGTAATAAGTGTTAAGGTCAATTTTTTTTTGGACTTTGAAGAAATACATAGGGGGATGATGAAACCACAAATATTGGAAAAATGTACCTACTTATGATATCAATTAAAATATATAGACCAAGCATATGGGGGTTTTTCTATTTCTAATAAAATTCCTATTATAGGTATGTATTTTCAAAAAACTGTCTTCTCAGACAAGTTGAGTACCTATCTCCTCAAAACTTGGACGATAAAAAGTACCTCTTTTCACTTTCCTACGAGCGTGAAACCCCACATCAGAGCTGTCAGGTACTTCAAGAAAAATACTTGAAATTGTACTTCAAGTTCTTGAAGTACAGTAGATAAACGGTACTTTTACTTGGTACTTGAACTATCTTATTTTTAACAATTCTTTGTACTATATTTCAGCAAATACAAGGACTTGCAGTACATCAGAAGTACTTCAAGGACTATAAAAAGTACTTCAAGTACAATGAAAATATTACAAATAGGTACTTCAAAAGTGTACTTGGAGCTCGACTTGAAGTACTTTATATTTTTTAATATTTGAAGTAACATAGACATAAGAGGCTGCTTGTTGGTTAATTTTTGTCAAAGGTTCCATGAAAAATTATACCTGAATGAAAAAATTTTCATGTTTTATAATCATGAGAAAATCCCATTATAATGTATTTGAAGTACAAGTAGGTACTTGAAAAACATACTTCAATTGTACCCAAACTATGAACTCTGGAAAAAAAAAATGTAGTTTGTACTTCAATTACTTCTACAAAACTCAGTACTTTGTACTTGTACTCCAAGTACTTTAATAATGTACTTGTGACAGCTCTGATATATATATATATATATATATATATACAAATATTCTCTTGTAGAAAAAAAAGCGTCGTACGGAAAAGTGGCACTTTCCACACTAATTAGGAAACACATACCTACTATTTGCACAAAATAGATTATATATTTTGAAATTCTCACCAATCATGTACAGAGTGTGGATTAACTTGTCCCTTATCATTAATCCTGTTCCAGGTGCATTTCGATTTATTATCCGGAGGAGCGACCACGTCATTCAAGGGAGAATGGAAAATTGGAACCCCATCAACTTTTAGTTTCTTGGTAACCGGACACTGACCGTTGGTACCGTTTTTCGCTGTTTGTGCGCTCATATTTGAAACTTTACTGGCGGAAAAAGTCAGACAAATAGTAATTTGTTGGTAAAGTAGCTTTCCTTGACCCCCTACCCCTGAATAGAATCAATTAAAATTGTATTAGTACAATAATTTCCGTTTGGCTTATCAGAAGTCCTTGCGATTAGTACGTAGGATTACTCAATTTGAATTTGAAAAGAAAACATAAAAATTGATAAACGCATGTATTTTGATAAGAAATCTAACCTCGGGGAATGTGGCTTTTATTTCCTGTTATTTGAGCTGGCAAATTCCATTTGCACCATTTGTATACTAGTTCGACTCGATCATTCAACATAAGTTCGAATAGAGTCAGAACAGTGCCGGATCTTAGAGTAAAACGAGCGTTGAAGTTTACCCGAACGACCTGGAACTGTTGGAGCGGAAAAATATCGAACAACTATTTTTTTTTCAACGACTTCGAGTACACTTAGTGAACAAGTGGAACCCAGCGTACCCAGGAAGGTCAGTTTGAAATCGGAACGCCGAATAATGTCTACTTTTTTCCATCGCAATCAGGGCTGGATTCCGAACCCACGATTCGTATCGTCTCTATAATACTAGAGTCTGCATGCCTGTAAGTTGAGCAGGCAAATTCCATTTGTTCCATTTGTACACTAGTTCCGTTCGATCTTTCAACATATGAGTTCGAATGGAATCAGAACAGTTTCGGATCTTGGAGTAAAACGAGCGTTGAAGTTTACCCGAACGACCCGGAACGGTTGGAGCGGAAAAATATCGAACAACTATTTTTTTTTCAACGACTTCGAGTGCAGTGAGTGAACAAGTGGAACCCGGCTTACCTACTGGAAGGTCAGTTTGAAATCAGAGCGCCGAATAGTGTCTACTTTTTTCCATCGCAATCAGGGCTTGATTCCGAAACCACGATTCGTATCGCCTCTTCAATATAAGCTGGGTTCGGCTATTCAGCGCGGAGTTGGAGTGGAGTGAACAGAGCTAATGGAGTCACCCTTAATACGGTAAAAAGCAATACCTGAACCTTAACCTGAACGGCTGGAGTGCGAATGGAGTCACTCGGAGTGCACGGAGTGAGCAAGCCGAACCCATCTATAGACAATAGGTCTTTTGTCACGAGTCTGTATGCCTAGAAGTTGAGTTGGCAAATTCCATTTGTACACTAGTTCGCTTCGATCTCCCAACATGAGTTCCATTGGAGTCCAGAACAGTTCCGGATATTGGAGCAAAACAAGCATTGAAGTTTACTCGAACGACCTGGAACTGTTGGAGCGGAAAAATATCGAACAGCTAATTTTTTATCAGCGATATCGAGTACACTGAGTTAATAAATGGAACTCAGCTTATCCAGGAAGGTCAGTTTGAAATCAGAACCCCGAATAGTGTCTACTTTTTTCCATCGCAATCAGGGCTGGATTCCGAACCTACGATTCGATAGTATCGTCTCTATAATATAGACGATAGGACTTTTCTCACAAGAGTCTGTATGCCTGTAAAATGAGCTAGCAAATTCCATTTGTACACTAGTTCTGTTTGATCTTTCAACATATGAGTTCGAATAGAGTCAGAACAGTTCCGGATCTTGAAGTAAAACGAGCGTTGAAGTTTACCCGAACGACCTGAAACTGTTAGAGCGGAAAAATATCGAACAGCTATTTTTTTTTCAGCAACTTCGAGTGCACTGAGTGAAGAAATGGAAGTCAGCTTGCCCAGAAAGGTCAGTTTGAAAGCAGAACGCCGAATAGTGTTTACTTTTTTCCATCGCAATCAGGGCTGGATTCCGAACTCACCATTTGATAGTATCGTCTCTATAATATAGACGATGGGTCTTTTCTCACAAGAATCTGTATTCCTGTAAGTTGATTTGGCAAATTCCATTTGTATACTAGTTCGGTTCGATCATTCAACATGAGTTCGAATGTAGTCAGAACAGTTCCGGATCTTGGAGTAAAACGAGCGTTGAAGTTTACTCGAACGACCCGGAACTGTTGGAGCGGAAAAATATCGAAGAGCTAATTTTTTTCAACGACTTCGAGTACACTGAGTTACCAAGTGGAACACAGCTTACCCAGGAAGGTCAGTTTGAAATCGGAACGCCGAATAGTGTCTACTTTTTTTGAGTGATCCCATTTTCCTCGCCCCTTTTAAGCTTAGTACTCATAACTGCGAAATTCGCACTTTTTTGACATTGCTTCGACAATTTGACGTTTCATTCACTCACGCATAAAAAAAAAACGTCAATTTGTCGAAGCAATAGTTGTATTCCTTTCACACTTAGGAGGAGCTCCGGAACAGCTCCGGTGTTTCACGCGCTTATTCCTTTCGAAAAGTGTTTGTTGCACCACGCATCTGTTCCCTGCAATCGGGGGCGACTAAGCACCGGAGCGAGTAGCTCGAGTGTTTCAAACTCTTGAAAGGAATACAACTAATGTTAAAAAAGTGCGAATTTCGCAGTTATGAATACTATAGGCTTTAGGGAGGATTTTCATGCATCCGTTTTTCCGTCGAAATATGTCCGAAAAGTCTTCTATTTTGACATATTTATATACGATTATGTCAGAATAGAATGTTAAACGGACATATTTCGTCGGAAAAACGGATGCATGAAAATCCTCCCTAAAGCCTAGTACTCATAACTGCGAAATTCGCATTTTTTTGACATTGCGTTGACAATTTGACGTTTTATGCGTGTATCAAACGTCAAATTGTCGAAGCAATGTCAAAAAAATGCGAATTTCGCAGTTATGAGTACTAGGCTTAAGGGAGGATTTTCATGCATCCGTTTTTCCGACGAAATATTTCCGTTTAACATTCTATTCTGACATAATCGTATATAAATATGTCAAAATAGAATGTTAAACGGACATATTTCGACGGAAAAACGGATGCATGAAAATCCTCCCTTATTCCCATGAAGGACTTACCTAAGCTGTGTTCAGCTATTCAGCGCGGAGTTGGAGTGGAGTGAATAGAGCTAATGGAGTCACCCCTAATACGGTAAAAAGCAATACCCGAACGGCTGGAGTGCGAATGGAGTCACTCGGAGTGCACATAGGGAGCAAGCCGAACCCACCTATTAAATTGTCGAATCAGACGTAACTGATTGTCAGGCGTTCGAGTGCAAAGCGCATGGAGTATGATGGGTGTGAAGTGATCTAGGAACTTCGCACTTTGCACCCGAAAGCGGCTTAGGATTTCCAACTCACGATTCGATAGTATTGTCTCTATAATCCGTGCGTTCGGTATTTTGATCTGAGCTCTCCGAACTTGAATTTATCGTTCTTTATTCAAAAAGTGTACTCGGTGCAGGCTCTTCGCGTTCGTTTATTCACATTTCGGGCACTCTGACACAGCGTTCAACTGCTCTGTTCGCTCGCTAGTCACGTAATTACGGCTCCGCTCAGCACGCTCTGCTCTATGAGCAAAATACCGAACGCAAGGTATAGACGATAGGTCTTCTCTCACAAGAGTCTGTTTGCAAACTGTCAAAAAGCATCGCCCATATGTTTTCAGTGCATGCTGGCGTTCCAAGATAAATTTGACTCAGCTGGGCGATTGTTATTGACAGTTTGCAAACTACCAGGCCAGGAAGGCAGAAATTCAAGAATCAGAAGACCCAGTGGCGGCTCGTGGTGTCCAAGTAAGGGTGGGCGACAAAAATAAAAAACGGCCGTAGGCGAACTTTTTTTAGATTTTTAAGGTCGCGGCCTTTCCAAATATTGTATTAAAAGCATTTTTTATTTTTCCATTTTTTCTCCAGGGTGGCGGTGCCCACCTTGCCCATATGGACGAACCGCCACTGAGAAGACCTATTACTATCGATTATCGAATTGTGGATTCAAGCTCTGGCCTTATTCTGTAAGGAATGAACCGTGCGATTCGAATAGAATTTCTTCGATTGTAACGTCATTTTCGGTTTGGTAGCGCGAAAACCAAACCGAAAATGACGTCACAATCGAAGAAATTCCACCGAATCGAACGGTTCGTTCTTATAGAATAAAGCCCCAGAGCAGATCACATTTCGAACAAGGTTTAGGCTTGAAAAACGTAAGAACCAGTTCCGATTTTATTTTAGCTCAAACGAGTTCGGAACACGAACTGCGCGGGCAAATAGTTCAGAGCCAGATCCACGTTTTTTTTACATGTGCCAGTAGGTCTGTTTCTGCAGAAATCACAAACCAGTCAGAGTTAATTCCATTGGTTGAAACTAATTTTCTGACTGTTTTCAACATGAGCTGGGTTCGGCTATTCAGCGCGGAGTTGGAGTGGAGTGAACAGAGCTAATGGAGTCACCCCTAATACGGTAAAAAGCAATACCCGAACGGCTGAAGTGCGAATGGAGTCACTCGGAGTGAGCAAGTCGAACCCACCTATGAAATTCGCTCAGACTGTTTTGTGATTTCTGCAGAAACAGACCTCTAGTGACTTTGAGTGATACATTTTTCATTCAAGTGATTCCCGCCAAAATAAAATATAACAAAAATTGAAAATTCTTTTATTCCAAAGCCCCATCCAGAAAACAGAGTTGGGGTATATTTTCTACAGTAACATCAATGTCTCTTTTCATTACAGTCCTTCGCTTTTGTCCTGCGAGTTGCTTGTAGGATTCTTTGGTTAAAAATTCTATAAACAATTCCTAGAAAACAAATAATGATATTGAGGATTCTTATTCTATTATCTTTCCACTTACTGCTGCTTTTCCAACTAAACTGATTGCGTCCTTTTGTACCAATTGTACGTCCGGATCCATTTTCATAATATGTTTAATTTTTGCATGGGGCAATTGTAGATCTTTTACCGGTTTGAGGAAACTTGCTGGAGATTGTTTTGTCTCACTCTCACTTTGTTCCGAGTTGGGATTAGCTGTTTCATCCTCAGAAATGTTTGCCAAATCTACTACATCATTTTCCATTAAGTTATCTGTTTGCTCCAAGGATTCGGACAATATTTCGTTGCTGGTTTCTTCCATTTTTGATTGAGAACAAATTCAAAATTTCAAAATAAATAACATTTACATAACCTTCAAAAGTTTGTTGACAGTACTAATAAAATCGTAGCGTTTTCAAGTAGTAGTGCACTGGGTTCACTAGTCTGCTTCCACTTACAAGATAAAGATTAGTTGGTTCCACAAACGCAGAAACTTGAATTACAAAACTCAGGAAAAATATCACAAGGATTGATTTTTAATTCACTATCGGAAAATATCAATTGCCGTAGAGAGTTTTCGATCATATTTTCATCAATAGTGCAGTGGTGTAAACCTAGCCTTAGTAGTATTAGGAGGAGCAGTGGACTACAAACAACATTCCAAATTTGGAAATTGATATTTTGTTGTCATTCTCCATCTCCAGTGTCCTTCTGTGCAATTTCTTCAACAAAAATCCACCAAAATGAGTGAAGATCTTCAAAAAAAGCTCCAAAGCGAGCTCACCAGCTTCAAAACCGTTCAAAAAGGTAAAAATTCCCTTTAAATTTCACCCTCCTAACCTCATTATTGCTCACATTTTCAGAACTACAAAAAGCCATATCGACCAGACAACAATTGGACGGCCAATTGAACGAAAACGAAATCGTCAAAACCGAACTGAATATTTTACCGGCAGACGGGAAAGTTTTCAAATCTGTAGGCCCAGTGTTAATCAAAACAGAGTTGGTTGAAGCCAAGGAGAATGTTAGCAAGAGAATAGACTACATAAACAAGGAGTTGAACAAAGTGGATGGTCTCATTGGAACTTTGGAAAAGAAGCAAGACGCTCACAGGGAATCTCTGCAAAAGTATCAACAACAATTGCAACAAGCCCAAGTTAAAGCTGCTTTACACTCTTAGAATTTAAAATCTATTATTATATAAACTATATTCACAATAAACACATTTTTATTTGAATCATTTTACAGATATAGAAATTATCCTAATTTCATCATATGGTTTATCAGTCTTCTGATTGGTTTTGACATTACTAATATTTTGAATAACTTCCATTCCCTTTGTTACCCTTCCAAATATAGTATGCTTATTATCCAGCCAAGGTGTAGGGGTTAAAGTAATGAAAAACTGACTTCCATTACTATTGGGGCCAGCATTAGCCATTGAAACTGTGTAAGGCCTGTCATGTCTTAAATGAGGCCTAATTTCATCTTCAAATTCTCCACCCCATATACTTTCACCTCCAGTGCCGTTTCCTGTAGGATCTCCTGTCTGGATCATGAAGCCTTTGATGACTCTGTGGAAAATGTGTCCATTGAAATATCCGTTTTTACTGTGGACACAGAAGTTTTCTACAGTTTTGGGACAATCTTTCATGAACAATTTTATATGGACGTCTCCAAAAACTGTATGAATTATTGCGTTTTCGTATAGTCTTTGTATGGTGGGTGTTTCTGTAGATGACATCATGTCTTCTTTGGAGGGTTTTTCATTGAAAATGTCCCTATCTTGGCTGGTTTGTAATTCATCAGGTTCTCTTTGGTTGAATAAATAAAATCGGGGCTTTTTATAGGCAGTACAAACTAAAGTTGGATCCGGTTGTATTGAGTCTAAAGTTGGATTATTTGATGCTTCCATTTCCAATGTGACAGCGGCCTTGGATCTCTTGCCAGAGCCTTGATATAAGGCAATATTCAGCATTCTTAAATTTTCGTTTTTGCCAATAATCCTCACAAGTTTATTTGTGTATAAATTTATCAGTTTTATACCTAAAAGGGTGGCATACATGATAAAGTTTCCACTTTGATCGAAACAAACATTGGCTAAATGAAAAGATTCAGATCTTTCCAAATCCCTCTCAACAGCCATTCTTCTACCAAATTCCATATTTGGTAGCTGTTGGGTTTTTTGTTGGAGCTCTGTGAATCTGGGTAGAGTTTCATCATAAACCCGTGTAAGTTTTCCAGTTAAAAAACTAAACACCCTCACCCGTCTATCAGTAGAAATTGTTGCAAACTTTTTACCATCACTTGAAAATGCCAATGAAGTTGGGTGAGTTTTATTTTTGGCAAATTCAAACAAATCAGTGTCCAGTTTTGAATCGAATTGAACATTTTTGGGGAATAAAAAGTCCTGCTTGATTCCTGACCAATATTCTAGAATGCCTGATTTATCCACAGACACTGATACATCATATTTAGGATTATAACTTATCAAGGTTACAGGTTTGAAGTGGATTTTTTCTAAAACATTTAATGGTGCACTAGTGCCTCTGCCATCGTAAACATAAATTTTATTGCTGTCTTGATCAGTTACCGCTAAAGTATGTATGGCGTCTCCACTCCCATGAATCCACTCCACTGAGTTTGGTGTATAATCCAGTTTCATCATATTGATCATATCAAAGTTAACAACATCAAAAATTTTCAATGATTTATCCAAGCTTGCTGAACAAAGTAAACTACCTGCAATGTTGGTGGCTATTTTAGTAATGGGCCCCAAATGGCTTCTGAAATGTTTCACAAACTCTATACCAGTATCTTGCTTTTTCCAAAACTTTATGTGACCATCGCAGCTTGCTGTGACTACAAAATCTGTAGGGGTCACGACAGTGTGGGTTACAATATCTCTGTGCATGTAGCTTTTTTCGTAGGACTCTGCGCTGGGTAAGTTGTCCAAATAGAGACGTTCGAAAGGTAAGACTTTACGTTTTTTAGGCTCGGCTGCTTCGGATAAGGAGGGTCCCACCAAATCTGATTCGGAGTCGTTTTCATCTTCGTGGGGACGTTTTTCTGCTGGGTTCGGTTCGGTATCGTTTGACTCACTCATTCTCAGAGCTTTTAGGTGAACAATTCAATTAGGTTTCTTTAAATGCGATGAGAAACTGTTAAAATAATTAAGCAAATCAAAATCAAGGATCAATGCAATTTTTGTTAGGTTATGTTTGTTTAGGGTTTTCACGTCATGTATATTATAGGGGTTTTCATTCGACCCAATTAGTGCAATAGTTCTCACCAATACCTAAGCTGCTTTCGGGTGCCACCCTTTAAGCGCTTCCGAGTTACTCCGAAGTACTCCAGCTGCAGTGTGATCCATTCGGTTTCAAGCGTTCGAGTGCAAAACGCATGGAGTATGACAGGTGTGAAGTGTTCTAGAAGCACCCGAAAGCGGTTCTAATTTAAATAAACTTTGATGGAATAAATGAATAAAAAAGGCCAACTGATGAACAAATAGGAAAAATTTAACAGCTTGGAGTAATAAAATTACAAAAATAATGTTTCCCACTAAAAACCTAAAATTAATTTTTAAATCAGCCTTGAGCTCTTTGATATTTTTCAACTTCAACAATTCCGGGCGTTTGGGTAAACTTCAACGCTCGTTTTACTCTAGGATCCGGAACTGTTCTGACTCCATTCGAACTCATGTAAAATGATCGAACCGAACTAATGTACAAATGGTTCACATGGAATTTGCCAGCTCAACTCAACTTCAGGACATAAAAACACATTCCCTGAGGTTAGATTTCTTATCAAAATACATGCGTTTATCAATATTTATGTTTTCTTTTCAAATTCAAATCCTACGCACTAATCTACATCTGCAAGGACTTCTGATAAGCACAACTGAAGTTATTAGCTCTTTTCACGTGGCTCCGATTCAACTAACCGGGTTACAAAACGGTTGGAGAAATGACATACCGTTTTCTAACCCGGTTACAAAGTGACGTGATGGATACCTACCACTCGAATTTGAGCGGTATGTGAAAAGGGTTATTGTATTAGGCAATTCAATCCATCTGTCAAAAAGGAAAATTCAATATGGCATAGCGGCCAAGCAAATTTGTTTTGAATATGTTTTTATGCGTATTTTAAATTATTTTGCTTAGAGTTTTGCTTGCAACTTTGATTTTGATTATTTGATAAAATATTTGTTGACCATGTACGTTAACTATTAAATCGGGCAGAAACTAGATATTTTTTTGTATTTTTTGGCCCATGTGTGGCCGCCACGCCATCTTGAAAGTCACGACGCCTCACTGAGGCGGTAGTGGTGGGGATAGATGACCCCGGGGCTTGACGCCCCGTTCAAAATTTAGGTTTAAGCCCGGTCGTAAACCAATGAAACATCAAACATGCAACATGTCGCACATTGCATGTTGCATGTTTAATGTTTCATTAGTTGTATTCCTTTCACACCTATGAGGAGCTCCGGAACAGTTCCGGGGTGTTACGCTCTTATTCCTTTCGAAAAGTGTTTGTTGTACCTGAGTACTCAAGCCCCAAGTAAACCATTTAAATGCACGAAAACCAGCGCATCTGTTCCATTCAAATTGGGGCGATAACACCAGAGCGAGTAGCTCTAGTGTTTCAAACTCTTGAAAGGAATACAGCTAATGGTGTACGACCGGGCTAAGTATACGGAATCAGAACAAACGGAATTCGCCCACTTGCCAAAAGAATACTGTCACATCAAATGTCAAATCTCACTGACACTGACAAAATTTTTTTGTCAATACAATTTGTTGACGTTTCACCGCCTGTTATAATAATTATTACCATTGCAATTTGAAAAAATATAATGTGATAAATTATTGTTAAAATTCTAATTATTTATGGCCAGTTAGTTCTATTATACGTTAAGCCAGAAATGTTAATTTTGTGCCATCAACAAATGTGATATTACAGGTAAGTAATCCCCTTTAATTTCAAATACATTTTTACATTTAGCCCATTGTTAAAATCTCCAAAACTTTTACCTTATATCAACATAAATTATGTTAATATTTGTTAATACACGTTATATACCTCTTTAGAGCAACCCACACTTATTTTCTCGTTTAATAATGCACAGTGAAATATCTAGGATCAATACTTGCCTCAGGAGACCAAACACCTATTAAAATTTGTACACCTATTACCCCAAGTATGTATTACCATGTTTTAGGTAATATCAGAAAGTTTTCAATGAAGTTAGTTAGAAGTAAGTATACAGGGTGTGACACAAAAGTTTGACAAAGCAAAGTTAAACTTTTTCAAATAGAGCACCCCGTATATTATTGACCCATTGGATTAGCCTTTCAAAAGTCCAGGAGAAAATAAGAAAAGAAGGGGTAAAATAATTGCATTTTTATTGAAAAATTTGAAGTATAGAGACCACCAGCCAGCAAATTATAAAGGTAATCCGAGAGGTAATCATTCCAATAAAAAATCTATATTATTTCTTCAAAATGGGATATTCAGTTTCTGGACTATGAGGAATAAACCTAAAAAACCTAGAATAATTGGAATCAGGTTTGAAAGGCTAATCCAATAGGTCAAAAAGTATAACCTCAAGTATAACTTTGCGTTGGCTTTGCCACACTTTTGTGATTTTGACACACCCTGTAGACTTGTAACACTTCATTGAAAAGTTTTTGATATAGATAACCTACATCTTTCACATTTCACATGTCTGGGTATCTCAAACAGATGATATAGGTGTGGATGCAAAATATAGACAATCACCTGGTTCCTACCTACCTATACTTTTCCTCAATTTTATTCGCAACAGCCATACCGACAGTCATACTAATCTTAAAAAATAATTGTTATGAAATTTTCTCTTAATGTTTGTCTATTCTCTAATTTCTCTACCCACTTATTCTTGAATTTCTATTTTCTTCAATTTTGTTTTAATGAAAGAAAAAATCAAGAGCCTGGAATAGACAAAATATTCATATTCTACTTATCAACCAATTTCTCTTAAATTTTCCCTTAATTTTTTCTTTCCATCTTCTAAATTTTTATCATCATTTTCTCTGTCTCAATTTTTGTTTATTCCCGGCTCTTGAATTTCAAATTTGTTTAAATGAAGACAATTCAAGAGCCTGGAATTAGTGTTGTAACAAGCGAACTTCACCGAGCGAACGTTCGCACTATTACCGTAATTTACGGTAATGTTCGCTCCTCTCTAAGCAAAAGTTCGCTGAAAATGCATTTCTAAACGTTACCCAATCATTTGATTTGAATTATCAGAGTCATCTTCAGAAGACGAAGAATAATAATCTCTTCATGTAGCGACTCGTCAGTTGGGTCTGAAGATTTTTCAGAATTAAACATGATGGGCATGGACCCTGATTTCTGAATATTTTTTTTTTTTTTATTTTATAACTACTTGTGTTATTACATTACCATTACCTACAGGAAGTTCGTTTTTTTAGGTCCTTTTTTGAGAGTTCCTATTTTTATTTTTAAATTTATTTTTTTATATTATTTTTTGTTTTGACTTAACATTTTATGTAGTTATCTTATGTAGGTATTTGCATTTGAAGATTTTCGAGTTTTATTTTTTGGTGCTACCACTTATACCTACATCTATGTTGTTTTTTATTATACCAACTCACAAGAAACAAGACTTGTATTTGTTTTATAAATATTATCATTTTCTTTACAATAAATTAATAATACATAGACAAGGGTTATATCTACATTTATGGAAAATTCACCTACTCCTACCAGAGAAAAGAAAAATAGGGAAATTTAGTGAAACTTTATTATTAATAGACATTTTTACATGCCCTACATTAAAAAGTCGAATTTATAGGTGCTTTTGCAACATTTTCCAAAGTTCTCATAAATTCTCGAACATTCTCAAACATTCCCGAAAGTTCGGTAACGTTCGAAAATTACTGAGAATTTCACAACACTATCTGGAATAGAGAAAATATTAATTTATATTCAGACTTATGAACCCATTTCTGTGCTTTTGTGGAATTCCCTTTCAATTTCAATAGATAGATTAGTTAAAATCTCCAAAACTTGTCTTATATCAACATAAATTATGTAAAAATTTATATAACAATTAAACTTCAGATTTTTCTAAAACGACCCACACTTATTTTTATATTCAATTATGCACGGAGGAACATCTAAAATAAAAATTTAAATTTGTTATTGTTCCAAGATCTATTTAACGAAGCCAATCAAAATGAGGTTCAACAAACAAGAATTGGTGACCCTAGCGATGCAACCTTCTACAAAATTCGAAAAAGAAGGCATCTTGTACATCAAAGAAAGACAAGAGGGATTTTTTCGAAAATCAGAAAGTAAGTTGATGTATTTTCGCAGAGGTAAGTATTGGTTGTTGAAATTTTCCCACAAATTAAAACTGTTTATTATGTAAATTAGGTTCCCACATGTAAAAAGCATGTAAAAATATACAAAAATTTGTGTGTTTTAATTTTCTGCATGTGGATGAAAATAATAAACATATTCAATCATTTTTTTAACATAATGTGAATTTTTAGTTGGCTCATTTTTAAGTGAACAACTTGAGTGCCAATTATAAATTCACTAAATTCCATCAAAAAACTAATATTGTTAAATATTTATAATTCTTTGTTGTTTGATGTGATGTACATATTATATATTATCATTTTTTTTTGTGTTCTTTTCCCCTACTTTTTTGTTTTAATCTACAGGAGGCAAGAAGGGCAAACTGGAAAAACACGAAAAAAGACTTCGAAACTTGAGTTGTGTGGGGGGAATAACTAAAGGTACTTGTTTGAGAAAAAAAAAGGCACTATCACCTCTTCTTAAATGGCTTTTAATCAGTTTAGTTAATGTCAATATACAATTTGATATTAGATAAACTGTTAAAATCCATTTTCTAACACTTCAACTAACACCATATTTTAAGTCCTTTAGTCTAACCATATTAACAACATACTTTGCTTGGTATTACAGGTGAATTCACAGTAACGCTTTTATGGGGGATACACAAAAACCATTATTTCACTATTTACTTTTCATGCTTCAAATCGTATTGTATATTGTTGTAAGCTGGGTTGCCACCTGTACAAAATTTAATAGGAATACTAGTGATTTTTATCAGGAATTGTAGCTTTTACTGTATAGATTTTACATTCTGAAATCAGTTGACAACCCAGCCGGAAAGAAAATCACCAAACAGTGCATGCATGAATGTAAAATTGTAAAAATTCACACTTAAAAGACAAAATAAAAAAGCCCACAAACAAACCCCTTGATTATTGTTTTTTGCTTTTGTCCAACAATTTTAGTTTTGCTTTATAAACCTTAAGCATGTCAATGGAATTAATTTTTTCAAACACTCACACTAGGTATATAAATTTTTGTTACAGTCAACCTAGAAAGGTGGTGCAGGCTAAGAGGAAACCTATTATTTTACTTCAAAAGCAAAGACCCTTGGTCAGAACCTCTTGGCGTAGTGGTACTGGAACAATGCCAAGTAAGAATCGATCCTCCCATGGCATCGCCCCCTTTAGCAAACGACGGACATTATCCATTTTATTTAGGTAAAACCTTGAAAACCCTAATCGATTTTTGAAATAATTGATAAAACTGTGCAGTGTTTGACGGTGGTCTGTGCCAAGCTCTAGCCTCTACATCAGAATACGAACGTTCCGGCTGGATGGAAGCGATCAGAAACGCCAGCTACGAAGGGATCAGAGCCGAATTGAACGCACTGAGGCAGTGTATCGAACGGAGGCGCAATCTCAAGCCAAACGTCGACCTGCAAACTTGGAGATTACAACAAAATCACACTTTAGGTGAGTCAGTAATAATAGTCCAGCAAAAATTAGTTTGAGTTTTTATTTTAGACTTCATGGAAAAAGTTACTAGTACTGAGTTTATTGGCAAGTTAATTTGATTGCTGAAATGTTTTGTTATCAATATTATTATTGTTTCAGATATTGCTGAACTTCCAATGTATGAAATGTCGATGGCCTGCGATAATCTTCTTTGTGATGGACATGGGAGACCACCAAATCCTACCCTAGTAGTGGATGCTTATATGCCGTTGCAAAAAACTTGGGTAGAATATGGTCGGACTGAAATAATTGAGAAAAGCAGCAACCCTCAATTTTTAAGCACAATTAGTTTTCGGTCTTCTGACGGTCTCACAGGAGATTCACGCTTGCGCTTTACCATATTCGATGTGCAGGAAAGAGTGTCTCATACAGCTGTACCTTTAGGTTCGTCTTGTGTCCTTTTGAGTGCTATACAAGATTCTACCAGGTGAGAATTTTTTTATAGAAAAAGGCAAGTGTTTGATTATTTGTTTTAGATTAAGGATACCATTATTGTCGCGGCAAAATACTACAGCGGGATTTTTGACTTTGTGCGCTTGGTCACTGGAGGCTGAAGATAAAGGTAGTTCTACTGAACATACACCAGCTAGGTTGCCCAGTGTCAATGCTAACCACGCTCAACAGGTAAGGTTTTTATTTATTCTCAAATTTACTAACAAAGTTTACAAGGCTCATGGTAATTTTTTCCAAAATTTCCGCTGCACTGACTTCAATATAAAAAACATTTTCCATGTGTGGGTCATCTTTGGGGGATCTGTTCTCCACTTGAAAGACTTCCAAAGAATTGCTTACTGATTTGTATAAGTAATTCCAATTTTTGGTTGCTGATTTTACCATGGAGTTCAAGCCCCAATCATTTTTTGTTTTCTTTTTTGTCTTTTTTGTTGCTGGTTTTGTAGGGATGAGGTCTAGCAATGCGTCCCAGGCGTCTATTATAAAGGCTTTTATGTCTTCAACGTAGCTGGATAAACTGGCAACTGCAGTGGATTGTTTTTTCTTTTTGGCTTCAAAAGACTAAAAAATAATTAGATAATTAGTACAGGCGTAAATATTTAATGAAGCCAAGTTAAATAGTGAAAGTCAATGTTTACCTTTAACCGATAATCAATTGGAAATTTTCTGAAAAACTGATGAGAATGAGAGCCATGAAACGGACTTTAATTGCTAGTAAATGGAATTTTAATGTGGTTCAGGGACGTTGTAATAATCGAGTTAATTTGCACAATTATACAATGTTTAAATGAGAAAAACGAGGGATGTGACACTCTGTAAAATTGTGTACAATATTCATTTTTTATTGGATTAGTTAGTATTATCAAGTACTAGCAATATTTGTGGGTATTATTTGGTATTCGATTTGAACAGTTCAACAGTATATTGGTGAGTAGAGAGCTGCGGAGGTCCATCCATAAGTTCCGCAACAATCCACTTATTTGTACTTGAACAATAACTTATTAGGTATATAAAGGCAGAATTTGTAAGATTATCCACTTTTTGTCAGTTTGCCTTTTAACAGAAATTAGTAATGTTACTTTACTAAACTAGTAATATAATGTGACAAGTTATTCAAGTACAAACGAGTGGATTGTTGTGTAACTTATGGGTGGCCCCAGCCATCTTTTCACCAATATACTGCTCAAGTGCAATACTAACCTGATTCACCCATTTGTGAGTTTTTCTCATTAGTTCAAAAACTACACTTTTCAGATGAGTGTCTTATTTGAACAATTCAACAATATATTGGTTAGTAGATGGCTGCGGAACTCGCTGCGCTCGTCCCGCAGAGGTCCACCCATAAGTTCCGCAATAATCCACTTATTTGTACAGGGTGTTTTTTATCTATTGACACCACACCTACAGCCTTTACCTTTGCAGGTAGAAGAAAGGTGTAAATACAAAAGTTGTACAGTTTTGGCTGAATTTTTAGAAACCATGGTCAGAAACAAAATTTGAATGTCAGAAATATGAAATTTTGCATGCTTCCAGCTTTTTTCAAATGGGATGTCCTATATTTCATTCTATATTCTTGAAGAGCACAAAACCCCGATCTATATTTGATTGAGCAATCTCATATATTTGGCTCCAAAAATTGTAAAAATACTATCCTACTACTGATTTTTTGAACCATTTTGATTGTACAGGTGAAAGCTGCAGGTAAAATTTGAGGTACTTTTATTGATTTCTCTGATAGTATTTTAAAATTTTTTAGAACCAAATATGTTGGAGACGGCTCAGCCAAATATAGATAAACTATATAGTTTTGCAATCAGGAAATTGTGCTCTTCAAGAATATAAAACCAAATATAGCGCATCCCATTTGAAAAAAACTGAAAGCTGACATTCAATTTTTGTTTCTGACCATGGATTCCTATATAATAATTTATTGTTCGTTCAAGTACAAATGAATGGATTATTGCGGAACTTATGGGTGGACCTTTGCGGAACGAGCGCAGCGAGTTCCGCAGCCATATACTCACCAATATACTGTTGAACTGTTCAAATAAAGCCCGTATTACTTCTGTGTATTTTTCCATGTATTTATATACAGGGTGTCAATTTTAAAACTTGCCACCCCTATTATCTCGGAGTAGAAAAATTTTCGAAAAAATCCCTGAAACACGTCGACTATAATATAAAGGGGGATGAGTTTTTATGCAAAATTCATCTCCCCTCTTTCAACCCCCCAGCCCCAGAGCCACCGCCTAGAAAATTTTAAATGGGAAGAGGGGTCAAGTGATACATCATTTTGCAGGGTTTTCAATTCCATACATTTTGGTACTAAATTTTAGTCCCTAAGTTCAACTGTTTTAGAAATATTGACAGTTGAAAATTGACTCTTTTGCTACTTTGACAGGCTGTAAAACCTAAACGGTTAATTTTAGAAGAAAACCGATCTTACATTAGATTTTCACAAACTATCATTTGACACTATTTTTAAATTTAACCGGAGATTAAATTTTCAACCGGAATTTTTGATTGTGGATTAAATTCGAAGTTGCTGTCAAATGATAGTTCATAAAAATCTAAGACAAGAATGTAAGACCGGTTTTTCTCTAAAATTAACGGTTAAGGTTTTACAGCCTGTCAAAGTTGCAAAAAAGTCAATTTGCAACTGTCAATATTTCCAAAACAGTTGAACTTAGGAATTAAAATTTTGTATACCAAAATTTATAGAATTATCAACCCTCCAAAATAATGTATCACTTGACTCCCCTTCCCATTTAAAATTTTCAACCCCCCACCCCGCTCTGGGGGCTGGGGGGTTGAAGTTTTTCCGTTGTCACCCTGAACTGCATGAATAAATACACAGATGTAATACAGGCGTAATGGTGTATAATTTATTTTGATTTTCCACATGTCGAAACGACATTTTGACCCTGTTTCTCTTATGGTTACCAAGATCCCCATATTAACTGGAGAATTTGTAACACCCTGTATTCAAAAAAAAAAAAGAAATATATTTACCTGAAACAATAGCAAAAATACCACAAAAAATCCCAACTTAAACATAATTACTCTTTGCACAAAAATTATTCCTACTTATTACTGTACCGCATACACTTCTTTAACCGTGTGAAGTGAAAATGGAATTTAGTTTACAGAAAATTATTTAAAAAAAGAAAAGGTTGATTGATTTAAGAGAGATTTTGCATTGTCAACATTCAACGGTAACGTTAAGACGATAAAATCAACAGAAATGATAATCAGAGAATAAATTATTAGTTGATTGATAAAAGAAAGGTACCGTAAAATAATAGTGATTTTAATTAATATTGTATTGTTTTTTGTTTAACTCTCAGTTAATTCTTCAACTTAAATATTTTGCGTATATCCAGTGCGTAAACTTCTCGAAATACTAACTGTATTTTACTCGTTGATAATGACCCTCCTTCAAAAAAAAGGTAAACAGCAACAGATGTGAAACGGGCAATTGGCTTTACGCCTTCAGGCCATTGATCATCATTTATTGTTTAATCGGTTTATTTTTGACTAATAAGTGAATTTTCTGTTCAGCAACTTCCTTAACATTGTTTCAGATTTGGTCGCATAGAAGATCGCAATCCCTTCCTCCACGCCTAGGCGTCAAAATGCGTCTTCCCAGCCAATCAGACTTGAAACTCCTATTTTCCTCACCGCACTTACAAACCTACAGATTCCACTCTGGACTAGGAGGAGATATTTCAGTACATGAATACATGGCCGAAAGCAAGCTGTGCTTCAGTTTCCCCCATCAAATGCTTGACGTATGGATTCAGCAAGAAAAAGAGCTCCTGCAAGAAGTTGCCGGAATGGGTGAACTCAGAGAACCTTGGCACTCGAGACAAGTCGAATTACTAGACCGTCATTTGCACTTATTAAGATTATACTCACAAGCTCGTGAAAACCTACAAGCTCATAAAGGACCTTATTTCAAAAAAAGCTCCCGCAAAACTGACAGAAGTTTAGAGTTTGTACCAATCAACATGCACTTGCAAAGGATGTGGGTGCACAACGACACCTTGAACAAATCCGGGTTTTACGATTGGGTTACAGTAGGCGCATTCACAGCTCACAGTCACCGATCCAAAAATGGAGGTCTAATACGGCTAGTGCAAATGCTTAAAGAATCGCCCATGAAATCTTACACCAACTATCAAGTAGCCACAAAAATATCTATGGCTAATGATGCTATACAAGCAATTAAGCAGCTACGCAAAGAAGTTGTGGAAGCTATGAAAACTCTAATGCGATTGGCCAAGGAAAAACAAACAAACGGAATGCTACCAATTTGCGAAGACATGATAAATAAAACCAGAATTTTGTTAAGCTTATGGGATCCAGGTTTGGTTGAAGAAGCTTTAAATTTCATTGAAGAGCACAAATTAGTTCAAACTGATGACTCAGGTGTAAGTGACGATATTAGTTTCGATAGTATTAGTAATCGTCCAAGCTTAGTGCTATCTCCTTTTAAACGAATCACTCAACAATTGACATTGGATCTGAAAAGTCCTGAACTAGAAGACTTTGCTACACCTTGCGTCAGCAAAACTGTTGAAGACTTATGGAAGGTGCCCCCAAATGAAAAAAACAATTTATTAAACACTAGTGATGGCTTGAAGAGTTTATGTTCAAACATGAAAACGCCCGATGAGACAAACTTTGTACTGTTTCCTGATGTTGAAGACAGTAATTTGGAAACTTCATTGGATAGTGGCCAACCAGATAGTTTTACCAATGGAGAAACTCAAGATCAAGGCACCCGCCTATTTCTGGATACAACTGCAATGTGCAACTCACCTTCAGCCAATTATTATAAACCCACAGATGAACCTGAACCTTGGGATATTACTCAGCTAAATATTGAAGCTAGTGTTATGTGTTTAGTTAGTAAAGTTAAGGTAAAATTATTTTGGTTTTGCTTATGGAATTCTAATGCTTTTTTTGCTTAGTTTTTGTGTGGAAGATGCGGTAGCCCAGCAGTAAGACTCAAACAACAGCCAATCGGTAAAAGAAAAGTTGTTTCAACGCCAAATATGATTGTCGACGATTCTAGCAAAACTGTCAATAAGGTAACAATGAGAAACGGCAATAAATTCACTGATGGTTTGGATCTTACAAAGATCCAGGATTGGGCAGCCGAGCTCAGACCGAGCATGCGCAAACTGCGGCAGGCCATGGACGGTTTGCTGAAAACGGCTCGGCTCACTCATTCGGTGTTTCGGGTGCAAGAAGACCCCAAGGCCGCTCAGAGGGTTTGCAATGTCCGGTATAGGAGGGATGTTTGTTTTTCTCAAGCGGTAAGTAGACTTTCCAGTTACATGTATATGTACCATAACAGAAACCAAAAGGCTTTGAAATCGATGGATATGTTGGAATTTTGATTTTGTCCAAAATGACATTGATACACATTTTGTCTCATGATTTTGTTAATTTTTATCCGATTTTAACGCAACGAGGCTTCAATTGAAGCCAATTAAATTCCCTACGAATCTGTTTTACATAGTTTCAAAGCAGCTGCAATAGTTTAGCAGCTACGAAGCTTGAAAGTCTTTTGATTTTTATCAAGTTGAGTAAACAGAAGGAAATTTTTATTTTTTTCCTTAAATTTCAATTTTTCCTCTCTCTATTTGCCAAATTTCAATCCAATCCCTCGGATATTTTTCTCAAAAAAAAATTAAAACGTTCCTCAATGTCGTTTTTTGGAACTTTGATTTTTTCCAATATGAGATTGAAACACATTTTCGCTCACAACTTTTTTAATTTCAATCCGATCCTGATATAATTAGGCTTGAATTAGGGGCAATTGAATCCTCTACAAATCTCTATTTGGTAGTTTCAACGCTGCTTCAATAGTTTTCAAACTGTGAAGCTTCAAAGTGTTATTATTTGGATCTTTATGAAGGTGGTTGAGCAGAAGGAAATTTTTTATTTTTTTCATAAATTTCGATCCTTTCTCTCTCCATTTGCTAAATTTCAATCCAATCTCTGTAAGATTTTCCTCAAAGAAAAATAAAACGTTTCTCAATGTCATTTTTTGGAACTTTGATATTTTCCAAAATGAGATTGAAACACATTTTCGCTCACAACTTTTTTAATTTCAATCCGATCCTGATATAATTAGGCTTGAATTAGGGGCAATTGAATCCTCTACAAATCTCTATTTGGTAGTTTCAACGCTGCTTCAATAGTTTTCAAACTGTGAAGCTTCAAAGTGTTATTATTTGGATCTTTATGAAGGTGGTTGAGCAGAAGGAATTTTTTTATTTTTTTCATAAATTTCGATCCTTTCTCTCTCCATTTGCTAAATCTCAATCCAATCCCTGCATAATTTTCCTCAAAGAAAAATAAAACTTTTCTTAATGGCATTTTTTGGAACTTTGATATTTTCCAATATGAGATTGAAACACATTTTCGCTCACAACTTTTTTAATTTCAATCCGATCCTGATATAATTAGGCTTGAATTAGGGGCAATTGAATCCTCTACAAATCTCTATTTGGTAGTTTCAACGCTGCTTCAATAGTTTTCAAACTGTGAAGCTTCAAAGTGTTATTATTTGGATCTTTATGAAGGTGGTTGAGCAGAAGGAATTTTTTTATTTTTTTCATAAATTTCGATCCTTTCTCTCTCCATTTGCTAAATCTCAATCCAATCCCTGCATAATTTTCCTCAAAGAAAAATAAAACTTTTCTTAATGTAATTTTTTGGAACTTTGATTTTTTCCAATATGAGATTGAAACACATTTTCACTCACAACTTTTTTAATTTCAATCCGATCCTGATATAATTAGGCTTGAATTAGGGGCAATTGAATCCTCTACAAATCTCTATTTGGTAGTTTCAACGCTGTTTCAATAGTTTTCAAGCTGTGAAGCTTCAAGGTGTTGTTATTTGGATTTTCATGAAGGTGTTTGAGCAGAACGAAATTTTTAATTTTTTTCATTAATTTCAATCTTTCCTCTCTCTATTTTCCAAATTTCAATCCATTCCGTCGAACATTTTTCTCAAAAGAAAAATAAAACGTCCCTTAATGTCAGTTTTTGGAATTTTGATTTTGTCCAAAAGACATTGACACACATTTTGCCTCATAATTTTGTTAATTTCAATCCGATCTTAACGCAATGGGGTTTGAATTGAAGCCAATTAAATTCTCTACAAATCTGTTTCATATAATTTCAGTGCAGCTTCAATGAATTCGTAGCTGCGAAGCTTGAAAGTCTTTTGACTCAATGTCAGTTTTTGAAATTTTGATTTTGTCCAAAATGACATTGACACACATTTTGCCTCATAATTTTGTTAATTTCAATCCGATCTCAACGAAATGAGGCTTGAATTACAGCCAACTAAATTCTCTACAAATCTGTTCTACATAGTTTCGAGGTAGATTCAATAGTTTAGCAGCTGCGAAGCTTGAAAGTCTTTTGACTTTCATTTTTATCAAACTGAGTGAAGAGAAGGAAATTTTTATATTTTTACCCCTTAAATTTCAATCTCTTCTCTCTGCATTTGCAAAACTTCAATCCAATAAGTCCACAATTTTCCTCAAAAAAAGATTAAACGCCTATTGAAGTAATTTTTTGAAAATTCAATATTTTTCAAAATGACATTAATACACATTTTGCTTCACTACTTTATCAATTTCAACATAATTAGGCTCGAACCAAGGCCAATTAGATCTCTAAGCTCTCGTCAACAGTTCCACTGAAGCTTCAATAGAAAAAAATATCTAATTTTTTCAAGAGCCTGGAATAGACAAACATTGAAACAAATAATAACGAGTAATTAGGCAGAAATTATTTTTTTCCTTACTGATAAAAAGAGAGTTGTAGGAAATAAGTCAGGCCAAGGAAAAAATGAAATAAAGAAGTAAAACAAACACAACAAAAATGAAAATTCAATTGCACTTATGAATGTAGATAAGCGATAATGTGTCTAGTTTTCTAATTGTAGCTGACTTCATTGGTCACTGGCCTGATGACCCGTCTCTGGTGCCACAAACCAGACCCGGCCTACGTCACCACCTTGAGCCAATTGGGACCTTTAGCACATTTCGAAGGCCTTCTCAGCTATTACGGCAACGAAATCGACATGTGGGGCGACATGTCTGTAGCCATCGAAGACCTGCGCACTGTACTTTTTGTATTGGTGCGTAGTCCTAGTCCTGCTGCTGAACCTGTACCTACACCAAAGTAAGTATAGCAGATTGAGTAAATTATTATTGAAAAATTTGTTTATTAGGGTTTCAGGCACAAGAAACAGTTTAACCGTGTCCCTTCCAGTACCTGATAATTTGTACAGCTTGTTACCTTCGAGGCAGTCTTTTAGTTTCCATGTTACGCCAGTATTTTTTAATATAGGTAAATTAAATCAATAATTATATACACATATAATAATTGAAATTGATTGTTTTAGGAATCAACGAGATGGCTTCAATAGCTGAAAGTATAGGAGCTACAAAGCCCCAAGAACGTGCCAACATTGACAATTTCGACAGGGTGTACGAGTACTTTTTGCGCTACAGAAAAATCAATTTTCAGTGCGACAATTCTAGACAGTCGGCTGGTGGATCGAGTGCGCGTCCCTTGTCTGAATTGTTGGAACAATTAAGAGTAGAGGTGCATAGTGGCAAACAAAAAAACGTCGAAGTTTTAAGATTGTCTGCACAGATTTGTAGACAAATGAAGGGTGAGTGTTTTTAGTGGGAAATTATATATAATTCTATTGAAATTGTTTATAGGTATCAGATTTACCAGTTGTAAGAGCGCCAAAGATAGAACAGGAATGTCGATTACCTTAGAACAGTGTAGGATATTAGGTGAAGATTACCATTTGGCTGAACACGAGTTTCAGAAGGCTTTAGATTGCATGAGAAGGTAATTAATTTTTAGTAACTTTTAATTATTAATTGATTAAATTTTTTTTAGTGAGGGTTGCAGAAGAGAAAATACAATGAAAAATATTGGATCTAGAAAATACGCTTTCAACTCGATGCAATTATTAGCTTTTCCCAAGCACTACAAACCACCTCCAGGCACTTACGGTTCAGCTCAAAGTTAAGCAATTTTAGTGACGATTTTTTTTTTCTGCAGGTGCCAATTGACTTATTATTGGAGTGAGGACCTTAGTCGTGCTGTTGATATATACCAGGTTGTTATATTTTAAACATGTAGTTATTTATTTTGTCTTGTGTAAATTTATTAGGACAATCTCTTATACACGTTGAATGCGAGTAAAGAATTATTTTATTTGATTTTGTCGTTGTTTTTCTTAAGGGATAAAATACACAAGCCTTCCTTTCTTCCAAACATTTTAATAGTAGTAATTTTTATACACAATCTTAAGACGTACAACTATTTATATATTATTTTAGTCATATCACTGTCTAAAGTCTCTATAAAAACAAAATCGAACTCTTAATCGGTAAGATAAAATATGTAACTGAAAGACCTTCAGGTGAAAATCAAAAAAAAGAACGGTGCTTTGTACAAACCCCCCTTGAGACAAATCGTTATTATAAGGTCTTCTTTTGGGGAATTGCACTTGAAGTAAAAACAGTATGACCTTAGTAGAACAAGAAAAAAAAACTGAACAAACCTCAAAGAGTAAAAACATAAGAGACTTGTGAAAACATAAAAGCTAGATTAAAGCATTGATTTTTTTATCGCACGGATTCTAGACAATAACTAGTTTTAATTTTTTTTTTTTGTTGAAAAATCTCATTTGTAAATTACCTGTTGATAATAATAAACACCGATTGAAGCAAGAATAAAGGCCGATTTACACGTATCTAGTAGCTTGCATGTCAATTCTTAGCGCTAGACCCGAGTCTAGTAAATGGTGAGTTTTCACTGTGGTATCCTATTGGCAAGAAAAATACACACTCTTTATTTGCTGGCACGAGTCAAGTGTTCACACATTGCTAGAACTGGAACGCCAATGAAACTGGTGCTAGCTACTTGATATATGTAAACCGAATCTCTTCTATTTAAATTCTAATAAATACATACCGGCAAAATTTACACTAAGTTTGACATCAATTTTCTCTTGAACCCTTCGCTCGATGTCGATGAATTTTTCTCAGATTACAAGGAAAGAAAGTCAGTAATTTTCAGAGTTTTTTGAGACACCCTGTAGAGAGAACCACTGGAAATCCAGAACAGTTTCCAACACCAAATTGTAGCCTGATCTTTTCCGAATATTTTCATTTTTTATTCACTCTGATATTTCAATGAATACTGCTTTCAGTTTCACTTCTTATTGATCACTTTATTGTGAAAAGAATGCTCACAAATATACAGGGGATCACAAAGTCCCTTTCATGATTTCCATTTGATGGAATGTTATTTATCTAAATAACTCTCCCTTCACACTTGAACCAGGGTTAGGAGTTCTCCAATTTATCCTTCAACAGCTCTCGTCACATCGGTAAGATATTGACGAATTAAATTTCATTTGAAAAATTACGTTTACGAATACAATTTTGTTCTGAACGGTAGCTAATCAACGCTAAAGCATCAGCTACTGACTGTCATTTTGAATAAAAAATGAAAATGTTCGGAAAAGATTAGGCTACAATTTAGTGTTGAAAACTGTTCTGAATTTCTAGTGGTTCACTCCACAGAGTATTTCAAAAAACTCTAAAAATTACTGACTTTCTTTCCATCCTTGTATGTGATATAAAGACGAATCATTTAATAACGGCAATACGTCAGATGTATTCCTGAAGAATTAAGCTACAATCTGAGAAAAATTCATAGAAATGGAGTGGAGCCTAATTTGCCAGTGTGCAGAGGGTTCAATTAATGTCAAACAAACCCTTAATTTTGCCGGTGTATGTAGAAATCGACATATTTGATACATGTAAATTGGTCTTTACCATCTTTCAGAAACTAAAATCTTATAATTAATATTTCCTCTTTATTGTGTATGTACCAGCAATTAAAATGTTTCTCCTCCTTCGCTTACTGTACATACAGGGTATACTAAATTCCATGTTTCACTAATGGTATGTGAGATATACAAAAGATGCCCTTTTAAATGAATACTTACTACTTAATTAGTCTGTGAAGAATCAATTAGAAAACTTCTTAAAAGAAACTTTAGTTAGTTCAAAGGGCATAAACTCAAAATCCAAAGGACCATGCACGGATCTTATGAGAAAAAATAAATTGGACCTCCTGAACGTAAGTTCTTGTAAGCCCAAAAAGATCCTATGATTAGTTTCGGAGATACAGGGGGTTAACATACAAAATTATGACAAAAAATTAACATTTTTTAAATATGACCGACATAAAATGGCGGATCCAACGGTAAAATGGACCCCGCAAAATTTAAACGCAAATTGTATTTGGATGAAATTTAAATATGTTATTAAAAATGCTGTAAGCAACATTTTTTACCATGGGCGCAACCTTGTAAATATGACAGGTGAGGCGGTATCAGTTGTCAAATATTGGAATCTAATATCACTTAATATACAGGGTAAGGGCGAGTTCTCATGAGCGTAAGTTAACATTTCTGGCGTAATCACATGATAATTTGGTGTAATTTGATTGTTGAAATCTCCAGCATGACGAATATTTTACCAATAAAATTCAATTATTTTATCACGTGATTACGCCAGAAATGTCAACTTACGCTCATGAGAACTCGCCCTGACTATGGCAGATTTCGATGAAGCAAATATCAATTCCTAATAAGTCGACCAAGGAATATCGAAAAATGTCAATCATTTTTGACATCTGTCAAAACCCTGCCAAACGGGAGCACTATTTTTTTTGCAGTTTTCAATATTTCATGATGTGTCATTTGACAGTTTCAACCTTTGTAAGTTCTGAGTTCAAAAATTAAAAAAAAAAAAAATACAGAACTGTCAAAACCTGTCACTTGTTTTAGTAAAAAAAGGATTCCAATTTAGCTCTTTTTTGTTTGACGCTATTTTATTGGTGATAAGACATTAAACAAGGCTCATAGACATCAAATTTTGACAGCTGTCAGAATCTGACATTAGCTTTAATTGAAAAAAAAAACTGAACTCTAGTTCTGTTCCAATTATTTAAGTAATGCTTATTTATTATGAAGCATAAGAAAAATTTATACACAGGTTTCAGATTTTAACAGCTGTCAAAATTTGATGTCGATGAGCTTTGTTTGATGTCTTGTTACCAATAAACTACCTTAAAACAAGAAAGAACCAGATATGAATCTTTTTTCCTACTAAAATAAATGACAGTTCTGTAATTTTTTTTTCCAATTTTTAACTCAGAATTTACATAAGCTAAAACTGTCAAATGACACATCATGAAATATTGAAAAACATGAGTGCTGCCGTTTGGCAGAGTTTTGACAGATTTCAAAATGGTTGACATTTTTCGATTCACCTTGGTCGACTTAGTAGGAATGACAGCCGATACCGTCTCACTCATATATACAAGGTTGTGCCTATGGTAAAAAATTTTGCTCACGGCATTTCTAATAACATATTTAAATTTCATCCAAATACAGGGTGTCCTTAGATAAACTGACACATTTTGCAGGTGAATATCTCGAAAACGGGAAAAGATAACTAGATGCGGTTTGTTCTGAGAGAATAAGGAATTTTTAAAGTGTTTTTTCACATTATTGCCGAATCCTAAAATTTGCTGAAATTTGGTTTCACAGACATGCGATTTTTTGAAATAAAATGACTGCCTTATTTTTAATGAAACACCCTGTATATTTTGTCATCGTCAGAAAGCCTGTTTTTTCTACTTTACCAAAATGTCGAAGAGAACACCATCGACTAACCAAAAAAAAAAAATTGATGATTAAGTTGTGTTTGATACTTTTATTAACTAATTAGCGCATAATTAATTAATAATACAATTATTAAACACAAATAAACTAATAATGCAAGTGCATATAAAACACAAATTAATTATTATTATTTTTTTGGCCAGTCGATGGTACACTCTTTAACAAAGTGCAATTTTTACGATCCAATTTCGAGATAATTGAAAAAAATTATACATTTTTGTAGAAAAGTCACGCTTTCTGACGATGACAAAATATACCAGGTGTTTCATCAAGAATAAGGCAGTATGTAATTATTTCAAAAAATCGAATGTCCTTAAAACCAAATTTCAGGATTTGTCAATGCCATGAAAAAAAACTTTGAAAAATCCTTATTCTGCCAAAACAAACCGCATCCCGTTATCTTTTCTCGTTTTCGAGATATTTACCTGCAAAATGTGTCAGTTTATCTAAGGACACCCTGTATAACGGGTAACCAATTTCTGTTAAAATATTGTGGGGTCCTTATGAGAATAAAAACGCACAAAATATCTGCAAAGGTAACAGTGCTGAGCGGCTGAAAAGCCGAAACGACTCCCCCGAAATATACAGGGTATGTTAGGTTCATGCAATGACATATTCTTGGTTAAAAACGGATGAAAAAATGCGAAAAATGCCAAAGTAATGTCACGTAATGTCGTACTGAAGCTTTCTAAGTTGAAAACTTGTCAAAAAATGCCAAAAATACGTAATTTTTGTTTATGAATTAGATTAATATACTATAATAAACCTGATTTTGGAGATTTTTCTTGTACTATTGTCACCAACTGGGACAAAAATAATTCATAATAATCTAATAATCCCAAGTTAACCTAAACCTAAAATTATTCATAGTTTGACAAATATCTGACACCTGGAATCATATTATAATAGTACAAGAGTCGATATGATGCTGCCCCAGTTACTTTTGGTGACGATAGTACCTACTACTATTTTTTTATCGCAACACTACAATGAACTGTACCCACATTCTAATAATTTTTGACCAGGTATAAGGTTTTCCACAGTAAACTACATGACCTAAAATACATTATGAACAGCCTGAGGTCCTGTATCTGGTACCTCTGAAACTAATCATGGGATCTTTTTGGACCTACAAGAACTGACTTACGTTCAGGAGGTCGAAAAGCTTAACATATTTCAATTTCATTACAATCATAATAGTTATTTATTATACAAGGGAAAAAAGTACTAGATTTTAGCGCGAGGTGTGGTTTGTCATCTTACTTTTTTCCCATCTATAATACACTATTTTTTTTCTGTGACAGGAAAATCTCACCATTTTCCATCTAAACAGTATTCTCTTTGAGAAAAAAATTTGATTGGTACCTGTTACTTTTTTCCCGTGGGAAAAAAAAATCACTTTTTTCCCGTGGGAGAAAAAGTGGCATTTTTCAGGTACAAAAAGTCTACTTTTTTCCCGTCACAGAAAAAAATTTATTTTTTCTCATAAGATCAGCGCGCTGTCCTTTCCTAAAAATCACTTTTCTAATTCAGGAGGTACTTTTCAGTTGTAGAAGCTCATTTAAAAATTTAATATGACTTAGAAGAGTCAAATACCTCTAATACAGGAAACTATAAATAAAAAACCCTGATAAGGTTACATACAAAATGTTAACTAACGAAAACGTTAACTAATCAAAATAAATACAAACAAATCTCTATTATTCTAATTCAAGTTTTCATTGTAAGTCCTTCAAGGCGAGTTAAAATTATTGCCGTTGGAGAAAAAAAGCCTCCTCTGATTTTTGGTGAGTAAATTTTTGCCTCTATGATAACGGAAAATGTGAATGGAGAATTTTACAGCGTCTTTGGATATTTCATTCTTTGACAATTGAATGCAGAAAAGTACTACTTTCCACACGCAAATGGATGCTGTTCGATCTTCTCGCTTAGTAAACAAAACAAAAAATTATAAACCTGACAGTGTTTTCTGTTCTTTTATTAATCATCAACTGAAAAAATTAGATGTTAAAAATCAAACCAACAAATCAATTTTTCTGCCAAAAGTTCATTAACCTATCAATTTTGTCTAGAACCGTGCTATTTTTCATCTTAAGTATACTTTTCATTGGTCTCGTATGTTTGTTTTTGTATTTTCTTTTTTTTTTTTTTTTTTGAAAAGTGCGCCCCATGCCAATAGCAGCAAAATTCAACAATTATTCTTAAAAATATAATATATGAACAGTCTTAAAATAAGAAATTTTTCCTTAAGCAGCGGCACAACAGAAAGAGGTTATTCAATTCCAGTATTAAACTTCTGTCCACTGTACCAACTTTTTCATATACATACTGATAAATCCAAGAGAGAAATAAAAATGGACGCCATTCTGTACCGTTGCTCTGACACCTAAAATGTTGTTATAATATATACAAACACAGCCTATAAACAACGATATCTTATATGCCCCTGTATTAAATTTTTTTTTGGAAATTTTTCGATGAAATATTTGTCGAGGGGCCTAAACTAATAATTATATTTTGCAATAATTTTTTTTTTTAGCGTACAAATACCGTGTGTTATGTTGTTTAAACTAATGCGTAAATTTAGCTTACAGATTATAAATCAATAAATTAATAATAAGTGAAACAAATAATTTTGGAACAAGTTCTAAAACAAAAATCAACGCCATAATAATAATAATAATAATAATAATAATAATAATAATAAAAAATAAAAACACCTTAAATCCCTAAGTATAATAATATTTAAAAAATAAAATAAAATGACTACAGCCCTGTAAAAAGACGAAAAATCTTGTTGATTAAATATAAGTAGTAAAAGGCACGGAGGAATTATCGATAAAAAAATAAAACAATGATTAACTATTTAAATTTTTTTTGCCAAACTCAGGCCTCTGAAACTTTATAGCATTTATTTATTATTTAATAACTACACAAGAAGATTGCAATATGTTTTTTTTCCAAATTGAGTTTCATATTAAATTTTTTGAAAATATCAACACAAAACAAATACACTTACAATAATTTATACAAAAGGACAAATCAAATAGGAATGAATTTTGCCTATACTAGTAGGCAAGAAATTGCTGTTTAGAATTTACAATTATTATTACAATTCCCATATAAATATAATAAAAAATAAATGCTACAGAAATTCAGTTTCAATTTCCTTACCATCTCGAGTATTATATCCAATCAGTAACCGACAATAAATATTTTCCTAATCAATCTCACATTAAAAAACAGGAAACTCACAAGAACAATCCTATTGCAGTATTATTTTGATTCTGTAGAAACAGTAATAGCCTCACGAGTTTTGTGTTAACACTTAAAATGAAGTTTCTACAGTATCACAAGTATATCGTTTTTTTTTTTTTTAGAAAAAATCACTTTATCATCATTATCAAAACTCCCAACAAACACTGCTCATTAAACAAAAAAAACAACCAAGCACTAAAAACAAAACATTGTATTTAGTACTGAAATAACCAATTTAATTAATGACCAGTATTTTGCTTCCTTACATCGTAACAGGACTCAATTTTTAACCTCCCTAACTAAATCTAAAGGTGCCCAATGATTTCATTTAAAAAGAAATATGTGGTCGAGCAACAGAACAGCGCACAAGCGTTCATATCGCTAGAAGGGCGACGAAATTTGTGGAATTTAGAGGAATTTGTTTAAGGAAAATATAAATTTAGTGAATCACATTATTACAGTTGACGAAATTTGCTTAATTTTTGTTCATAACTAAAAATACTATTATTGTCATGCTCTTTGAAATTGTCATTCCTCTAAATCCAACAATACACAGCCTCCCTTAAAAAAAAAAAAATAAAAAATTAATATAATAATGTAAAACCCAACAACTTTTTTTTTTTGTTTACTATACAAGTATTATTAAACCTATAAATTCCCATCTATACAGCTTATGTAGTTAAATGGTAATAATAATAGTCATTGTCAAAAAATAATCTTTAAACATTAATATTATTAATTACTTATTATTATTTCAGCCTGTACAAAACGCGCATACATACACAGTAAAATGGCGTAAAGTGTTTCAAAAGAATAAGCCGCGCGATTATAATTGCGTGACGAGGCCAGGGGGATGCATTTTATTTCTTAAGAATAAACTTTGCCATCATGCATTGACAGTTTTTACTTATGAGGCTTGCCCAATGCAAGCAAACAATTTAAAATAAGGAAACAAAATTTTATACTATACAGAGTGTTATATCATATCAAACAACAACTTTTGAGCATACTGCGCTCCATTATTGGCACTTCAAGTAAATTAAACTTTTCACCCCCAGCCTTGCCAGTCAAGAGAAAAAATATAAACGATTTTACAAAATAACCTTTTAAACATTAGTATTAAAGAGCTCGACCAATCACAGACTCACAAAGACCTGACCGACAACGTTGCGCCGCCAACCTCCCCACTCACAACAGTTTCGTTTTTCTGTTGCATTAAATTTTTTATTATAATTTAAATTTCGGCCGGCTCTAGGAACAACACTTAATAATTAATTTCTCGTCGACAGTTTGTATGAGAGAAATTCTTTTGTGGGGGAGGGTGAATAATAATCATATATATAAATATATAAAGAGAGTCTGTTTATACACTGCTCCCCTTTGCCACGAGTACACGAAAAGCGCCCTTTGGAGCACAAAGAAAATTAGCCGCTTGACAATAACAACAGGCAATTGTAGGCCGCACCTACTAGTGCCATCTAGGCTACTCATTAGCTATATATATCAGCGAAAGAAAAACTATTAGGGATATTTTTAGTTTTGGCTCTATGCAATCAAAAAATTTTAAATATCTCCTAATAATTAATCTTCACACTAGCGCGCCTACGTCAATGTCAAATAGCCCACTAACAAACGCATCATAATAAATGTCCGTTTATGCGTCGATTACTTGGGAGAGCGCGGCGCAGCGGCGGCAACAAAATCGCGCAGTTGCGACTGGCGCGCTTCCGGTTTCCGGCGCGTAGGGCGTTCGTGTTGCCCCTGACGGCTGTTCGGAGCAACGTTACGTGCTCCTAACCGCGGACCATCACCTTTGTGAACATCTATTTAAAAAAAAATTATTCATCTTTGGAAAAAAATATTACTGGTTGACAAATTTTACCTCGATTATCCCTAACACTACTATCACGTTCGGCCTGAGCAGACGGTCTAGAGGAACCGCTCCCCGTTGCAGCTTTTTGGCTTGGCAGCTCGGCGGCAGGCTTGTCACTTTGGGGCGTAACCGGCGAGGACACGCCCGAAGCGGGTACGGCGGAACCTGCTTTGGCTCCGGCCGCTTTCGCTTGGTTGTCTTTGTGGTGCTGCGCAACTTGCGCGTAGCTCATTCGCGGCGGACCTCCTAAATCCTATTGACAATATGTGTAATTTTATTGTTAGAATGATTATGTTCTTGTATTCGCTTTTGATTTTAAAGTTACTCCATATTTTGTTTGTCCATGTAAAATTTTGTTCATAGACAATAAAGCATTTCAACTTTGGTTGATAATTGAATTTTTAAAGAAAGTTCAGGCACTCACCAATGGCGGAGAAGGTGCAGGCACTGGCTGGGGACAGCCCGATTTCGATTCTTGCCTAGTGTAAGTTGACTGTGTGGTAGCAGTGGTGGCAGGCCTTTGAGTGGGTTCAGTTTGGACCACCTACACGAAAATAATTAGATTTGAATTATGCACACCATGTACTGTTTCCTAAAGTTTATTGAATGCAAAAAGACAAACTTACAACAGTGGTCATTGTGGCAGCATTGGTTGTAGTGGGAGCAATATCCCTCTCGCATCCATTCAAGAACACATCATCTGTTTTTGTAGATTTGTCTGACATGGTGCACTTGGCTGGCAAACTAGGCACAGGTTTGCTGAAAAAAAAAATTAAATAACATTTTCAATCAAACCACCTAACGCTGTTTGACTAAATATCAAAATAGCAGACTTAAAGTTTACTCTGGTCTATATACAGAGTGTCCCACGAGGTTCCTCCCAAATGATAACTTCGGAATGCATCATCGTATGTTCCACTGTATAATTTTTCATCATTTTCTTCAACAAAGCCTCAACAAATATGGCATTGCCGATTTTATAATTTAATTTTGTAACGAAAAATGCCATAACATACCATGAGCTACATTTAAGATTCGAAAGTTGACGTCACTTGACCGAAATTGAAGCGAAAGTGGTGAAATGGGATGACAATAATGGTAGAAGCGGCATAAAAAGTTACCCAAAATTTCAATTATATTGGATGACGCGTTCCGAAGTTATTACCTGGGAAAAACGTCGTGGGACACCCTGTATATACATCTATACAGGCCTCATCATACCACATTAGAACAAAACAGGAGGCTTCTGGACACTCTCAAAGGAACATTTGAGGAAAACATAGACACTGTTATCTAGGGAGACTTTAACTTTCCTGAGATTGTCTGGAAAAGTCTTACACTAAGAGAAAACGCTGGGCGCTCAATAATCTTTGTTGGACTTACTGCTGATAACTGACAAAAAAATTATCTCAAATATTGAAGATCACCCACCATGATCTTGAGCATACGTAGTTCCAATCTACAAAAAAGGAGACAAGCTCAACCCTGGAAATTACAGACCAATTAGTTTTACCTGTAACCTCTGCAAAATCATGGAAAAAAGAATAGTTCAGGAAATGACATCTTTCCTTGTTAAAAATTAGACCATTCCACCCACCCAACACGGTTTTCTCCCCCGATGATCTACCACAACTAACCTAGTCATCTGCATAAACTCATGGACGAAAGAAGTGGACAATGGCCATCGGGTGGATGTAATATACCTAAACTATGAGAAGGCATTTGATAAAGTGACATTCAAGAGGTTATTATTCAAACTGCAACACTTTGGAATTGCAATTGGATAGGCAGTTTTCTACAAAACCGAACCCTTCAAGTGAGAGTAAATGGGCATTACTATGATTAATACATGGTCCTTAGTGGGATGCCACAAGAATCGGTGTTGGGGCCACTGTATACATTAGCGATCTTCATTCTCTCATAAACACAAACATCATTTTTTATGCTGATGAGACAAAAATATACTGCAATCCGTGTTGCAGCATCCTGCAATCCGTGTTGTAGCATCACAACCTTTTAGACGACCTGAAAAGACTCGAGAAATGTATCAGCGAATGGCAGCTAACATTCAACCCCGACAAGTGCACTGTACTGCACATTGGCCCTAACAATCCAAACATACCTTACAGCTTAAACGGCACTATCGTGAAGGCTGCCATTGAGCAGAAAGATCTGAATGTCATTATCTCAAATCACCTAAAATGGGAAACCCATATTTCTTCAGACAAACTCTTTTATTCACCTCATACAGAGAGCTTTTAGTGACAGATCCATCCCCATGATTACCAAAATATATAAAACATATATCAGACCTAAATTGGAGTTCGCACATTCAGTTTAGAGCCCATACCTGGTTAAGAACATGGAGATCTTGGAAAGAATCCAGCATAGAGTGACAAACCCCCCCCCCTGAAATCAGAAACCTCTCATACGAAGAAAGACTATTGAGATACGACATAACAACCCTAAAAGCTAGACGAGAGAGATGGGACTTGATTGAGACGTACAAAATCCTAAATCACCATTATTCTCCAGATTTGAAACTGGACATTTTCAGTCTAAATACCAGCAACTCCGAGGCCATACTAAGAAGCTGGATAAGAAGAGACGCACGAAGCTGATCAGAAAGAATTTTCTGACAAATAGAGTTGCCTATCAGTGGAACGCCCTTCAGGAAAGCACAGTCAGTGCTCTTTCAAAAAACGCATTCAAAAACAGACTTTACCGGGACTTGGAGAGAGCTAGACAGAATTTTGTGCATTACATGTGACTCATTACTGTGGGAGATTGTGTTGGGCCTATATGAAGTGATAGATATTCCTAATGTTTTTGGGAATTACTTGGATCTCCTGTTTTGTAAAAGTTGTGATATTAAAGTATCTGTGTGCAATAATCCCTTACTCAAGCTGGACTTACCACACCCAGCGTTTGAATACAATTTTTTATTGACCAAAGAGCCCCGAAACCTTTCTTGTGACAATTTTTATTTAAATTTTAAACGTGCTGATTTCAGCGAAATAAATTTTTATCTTTCCTGTACTGACTGGGATCCAATTTTTGAGTGCACAGATGTGAGTACGGTGGTTTCTAAGTTTTTTATAATGTACTCTACGACATCATTGAAATTTTCACACCCATATCTAGATTCAAAACTCCAAAGTTTCCAAAGTTGATGCCTGATAACTTAAAAAAATTTAATCATACAAAAAAAAATTGCTCACAAAAATTATAAATATACACACACACAAGAACACTATTGATCAGTTTGCTACTTTAAGATCTGAATGCCATAATATTTCTCAAACATCATATAAAAACTATGTGAAAAATTTAGAAAATCAACTGCATGATAGGCAATCTTTTTGGAGCTATGTGAAATCAAAAAAAGGCGGCACAGAATATCCAAAATGCATGACTTTTGATGGATGTGAATCTGACGATGCCCAGGAAATCACGGAGATGTTAAGATCTCATTTCTCTTCTATGTACTCAAATTTTGATGGTCCAGCAACCGATTTCCTTTTGGATTATGACAAATGTGTTAATTTAAGTTGTTTAGAGTTTTCCACTATTGATGTTTTTAATAAGATTGAGAAAATGAAGAAAAATTTGGGAATGGGTCCTGATGGGATTCCCGCGTCTGTGATATAAAATTGTCAATATGTTTTATCTGTCATTTTATGTTAGATTTTTAATTTGTCCCTAAGTACAGGAGTTTTTCCAGATTTTTGGAAAAAATCCTTTGTTTCACCTATTTTTAAGGATGGTGACAGAGCTGATGTCAAAAACTACAGAGCTATTAGTAGGATCTCTTTAATTGCTAAACTATTTGAATTACTGGTTGCTGATAGTTTGTCTCCTCATCTCAATAGGATCATAATGACTGAACAGCACGGTTTTAGGAAGGAGAGATCCACTGTAACTAATCTCTTAACCTATGAGCAGGCTCTGTTGGGTGCCTTTGAGAATAAGTATCAGGTGGATGCTATCTATACTGACTTCTCGAAGGCATTTGACAGAGTGGATCACAGAATTTTGTTATCCAAGCTAAATGCTGTGGGACTTTCTGGCTCTCTTTTTAGGTGGTTCGAAAGCAACCTGAAAGACCGAAGACAGGCTGTTAAAATGAAAAATTTTACATCATCTGAAATTGTAGTGACATCAGGGGTACCTCAAGGGGGGCATTTGTCAACCATACTTTTTAATTTGTTTGTGAATGATGTTAAATTGATTTTCAAGGACTGTGATTTTAGTGTGTTTGCTGATGACTTTAAGATCTATAAAATTGTGATCGATGAGCTGGACTGTCAATCTTTGCAAGAGCAACTTAACTTGTTTACCACATGGTGTTCAGTAAATAATCTTCAACCAAATGTCAAAAAATGTAACGTTATCACATTTAGCAGATTTTAATTACTCAATTAATAATTTAGAGTTGGAAAGAAAAAACCTTAGTTAAAGACCTCGGCGTATGGATAGAGAGTGTGATCTAACATTTAACACTCATATTGAAAAAACCACAAACAAAGCAATGAGGATGCTCGGGTTTGTCTTTCGAACTCTAAGAGAAATTGATAATATTTTAACTTTAAAGAAAGTCTTCTGTGCCTTGGTACGTTCACTGTTGGAGTATGCTAGTTCCGTTTGTCAGCCTTATTATAGTGTACACAGGCAGAGTTTGGAAAGGGTGCAGAGAAAATTTCTTAGGAGGGTTGGGTTTAAGATGGGTATTCCTTATGAAGATATTAACTGTGATGACTTAATGAAGCTTTTAAATCTTACTCCTCTTGAGAATAGAAGACAATTATTTGATGTCTGTACCCTTTTTAAGATTTTGCATGGCATAATAGATACCCCAGATCTTCTTGCAGAGATTAACTTTCATATCCCTCTAGGACCTCTCCTCGGAAAGAGTTGTTTAGCCTTCCTTTTCATAGGACTAATTATGGCGTTAATATGCCCATAGATAGGATGTGTAGGATTGCAAACTTAGTGTTACAAAAAAATGAAGACAGATATTTTTGACTGTGATTATAAGACTTTCTGTAGGCAATCTAAGGATATTTTACTTTAGTGTTTTTTGTATGTTTCACTTTTCACTTTTAAGTTTTGAATTTTATTTATATATATTTTTTTAATTTTAATATTTATGGATTGGTCAGTTCGCCATCTTGCTCCTGTCATTTTTGTTATGTGTGTATTATACAGGGTGTCCCACGACGTTTCTCCCAGGTGATAACTTCGGAACGCGTCATCCAATATAATTGAAATTTTGAGGATCTGGGTAACTTTTTGTGCCGCTTCTACCATTGTCATCCAATTTTATCATTTTTGCTTCAATTTCGGTCAAGTGACATCAACTTTCGAATCTTAAATGTAACTCATGGTATATCATGGTATTTTTCGTTAGAAAATTAAATTACAAAATCGGCTATCCCATATTTGTTGAGGCTTTGTTAAAGGATATGACAGAAAATTATGCAGTGGAACATACGATGATGCGTTCCGAAATGATCATTTGGGAGGAACCTCGTGGGACACCCTGTATATGTATCGACAAGCCGAAAATGTTCTATTTTAAAATTTTAAGTTTTTTTATAATCTGTAAATGCTACATGCGTTAATAAAGATTTTGATTTTGATTTTGATAACAGTGAAAACAAGGATATAACAATACAGCAGTAGTCTCATCGGCGTTGCCGCTTACCGCTGCTCAAACCCATAATAATCATAATAATAATAATAATAATAATACCAACACAAAACCGATAGTATAAACACATCCCAGATCCTATTATAGAAACACCTATATAGCTATAATCTGGGATACTCAAGTACAGACAGACAGGAGAATCGATGCTAACAAACCAGACATAATACTGAAAGATAAAAAACAGAAAATTTGCCTGCTTATCAATGTTGCCATACCATCGGACTATAACATCAGTCAAAAAGAAGCTAAAAAACTCCTAAAATATAAAAACTTGCAAATTGAGGTACAACGAATGTGGAACCTGAGAACAGAGGTTATACCCATAGTGATTTGAGCCACAGGACTTGTATCCAACTATACATGCGAAACAATATACTGAGCATACAGAAGGCAGTAGTGCTGAGCACAGCTCATATTGTGAAAAATAAAACATTAGACTAAATCGAACAGTTTACGTGCACAATGCACCTGGTGATTCTTCAAAAAATACTTCCATCATAGCTGAAGAAAGGCTGTGAGATAAAAGACAATAATAATATTACCTTTTTGGTGAACTGGGCGGGGTCATAGCAACACTACTCAATTCAGGTGCAACGGCAACAGCTTCTTCAGCTCTAGGAGGTGAATTACTTCTGGGCGACGTGTCTTCCTCCTTTACATCACTTTTATTACCGTTTCCTTTAACTTTTATCACCCCCTTGACGACATCCGCCAAACGGTTCTCGCCCCAAGCAGCCGCTGGAGACGCCACCTCTATAGTTTGTGTGGAGCCTTCAGACTTTGATTGACCGGCAGGCGGAAAATGATGGGGCGCTGGATTACTGTAAGTGGCACCAGGGGCACCTGTATGATTGTGGTGATGGTGCGGAGGTTTGGCTACTAATGGACCATTACCAACTTCTAGACCTAGAAAATAACATGGCCAATCAGTACTTATATATGTTTTACTGATTGTTTGAAATTATTGAATCAAGATCCTCATACTTCCAAGTTGTTAAGAAACATAGTACAAAAATATCATAACCTGATTTTTCCTTCTTCTTAGAGGCTTTATCTGAAGCTATCAAACATATTTTTGTATGAAATCTTATATTTTCAACCACATAGAGATACCACAAAAATCTCTTTTGCAATTTTATCAATATGTGTGACTTCCAAATTTGAAGGGTACTGACAACACGAATAAAATATTTAATAAACTTCATCTTGGCCTGGAAAAAATGTGTATTATTTACCAGGTAATGGTGGAAATGCTTCATCGACAAGATCGAACTGCGATCTAGAATTGTGAGGTCCGGTTTGAGTTTGGGCACTGGCGGCTCCCCCTTGCCCGTTGGCTTGGTGGACGGGCGCAGAACTAACTATTGCACCATTTGTCGTGCTCGTAATTTCGTCATCTCGCTTTTTTCGGCGATGACGAGGCGGCACCACCTCCTTCAGCACAAAAGGAGCTGGCGCTGCGAACCTATACATGTCTACAACTGGTCCACTGTCTGTGTGCATTACTGAAGGTATGTTACCAACTGCAAAGAGAAAAATTGCATAAATGTAATTATTTTTGGAGCAAATTTCATAATCATTTAAAGCAAGAAGTTTCTTACCTAAAGGCGGCACACCAGCATTAACATAATGTACCGTAGCATGAGGAATACTAATCTGATGTTCCTGGGGCTCAGGTACAGACCGGCTGGTTGTACCTTCATTGCTCGTCATCTTGGAAGATGTCTTATTGGTCACACTAATGCTGCCGCTATTGCCGTTTCCATTATAACCTCCACTGCTAGGATAGTGCTGTTGATTTTGGGAATGGTGGTGATGGTGATGTACAGGTCCGACACTGGTTCCAGACTGATTACTGTTGCTACTGTTTTGGTAGTGCGGATGTGGACCAGCTGGAGAGGCAGAACGATGTGAGGAGACCGGGTGTGAGGTTGTAGGAACTCGTGAAGGCTGATTGCTATGTGAAGGACCCTGCAAGTTTTATTGAAATTAATTTTTGTTGAGAATAGATTAGAAAAAAAATATTACCTGTTCGTTGCTAGTAGAGGACTGTTGCGGTTGTTGTGATTGCATGCTGTTGCGTTGTTTGGTGTTTCTTGGCCGATTTTGCGTACTTCTATAGGTTTGGTGTTTGAATTGTTGTGGAGCCAAACCATTCACCTGAAAGACACTGCTGATATCGAAGAAACTTGTGTTTGAAGAAGGCCATGTTGCCACGTAGGCGTTTGGAAACTGTTGCTGATACGGACTCTATGAAAAATATCAAAATATTATTGAAATTTATTAATTTGTGATTGAACTTACATAAACAAGCTGGTTGTAGGGAGGGGCGGCAGCTGCAGCAGCTGATACAGGTGTTTGTCCAGGGGCTCCATTGGTATAGACAAAACGCTGTTGTCCTGGTGGATACGCACCCGGATCGAAAACAGCTTGTGGTGGCGGAGTGGTACGGAAACCGTTTTTAGGTGGCGCCGGTACCACTCCAGGTCCCATTGGAGGCCGGCACATCGGTTTGGCTTTGATCCGAGCCATTATAGGCCGACCCTGGAAATATTTCCAATTTATAATTAAGATAGAAAATGCTATAGAAAATTGTTAACCAATATACATTAAAAATTACAATTTTTACCTGGAACTCTCTAACTTCTTCCCTAAGAAACCGGTAGGCCCTCTGAGCGTCTTCGTCAGACTCAAAAGTGACATACCATGAGCTGTTGTGAGCAAATTCGCAGGATATAAGCTTTGGACAGTTTTCTCCAGAAAACAAATTCTAAAAATAAAAATGCAGATAAGTTAAAATTCTAGAAAATCAAATTGATTTACTTTAACATCTTCCAAAGGAGTATTATCAGGGATTTCGCGCAATATAACAATACACCTTTTATGATTAGGTCTAACTTTAACGCCCTCTTCATCTACTTGAACATTAGGGGACTCCCGGAGCACTTCTGTTATTAGTTTGATATCCTTGGTCAGTTTTTTGACCTGATTGAAATTGGCTACGGTCCAGATGGGTACATATTGATCATTATCCATCTGGGACAGCAAATATGTGTCGTTTGCTAAGTTTTCGCTACAATAAATTAAATATAAATGCAAAAAAGGCACCAGTAAGAGATTTCGCACATACCGTGAAAAATAGTATTCCAATTGTTGGGAGAGCATCTGTTTCAGCTGTGGCAAGGGATAGGCGATTTGTGGCCCTGGAGCGTGATTTGGTGGAGGTCCAGTTGAATCGTGAGGTCCCATCATGGTACCATCACCAACTTCCGCTACCCCATTAACTATAGGTTGCATTGGTACCTAAAATTAATAATTTCATTGTCAATTTTATTGGTACTGACTCAGTTTTGAAATTATTTGTGTAGTTTAAAATAAATCAAACAAACAATTCCTTTTTTTTGTTATTATAAAATGACAAACTTACCAGTGAAGGTCCAGCACTTGGTGTTATATACTCGTGAGGGTGATGGTGGTGGGACGTTTGCGATGAGCCTTGGGGACCCGCCAGTGGAGTCCCTGTGGGCTCAGGGACAGCAAACGCCGCCCCCGAGTTGAGTTTGCCAATGTCCCCATTCATGTACACGTAGCCTGCAAGCCAAAAAAAAACGATTATTTAAATTTCATTTATAAAAAATTGAAACAGTTTATTCATTATAACCGCACCTTTTCCTCAATGTTTTCAAGTACTATACACAAATAATTGACCTTTGATCTTTGCGGTGATAAGACTAGGTTTACTTAAAATTCCCTCACGAAAATCGCCTCCCAAACCAGAATTCCAGTGGGATGAAAACTTATTTAAAACTAAATCAGTAAGCTACTTCTGTGAAATTGCACCATACTTCTTAATCTAATAATAATAAGCTACTTTTGCCAATTCCTCAAAAAATTTAACAGATAAAGCAACAAGCAATTTATTCCAAGAATATAAATCAGGTATGTACAGGATTTCTGATAAGAAACAAAACCGTTTCCTACGTGATTAAATGCATATTGAAAATAATGAGTTTTTGAAAGTCATTTATCAGTCATTGATGGTGCAATAAAATTCCTACATGAGACATTGAAAATATTTGTATTTTTCAATTATTATTTGTTAAAAATATTGTGAGTAGGTAGAGACTTAAAAAGAAATTATTAATATTTAATGAGCGTCTGCCAAACTGATAATGGGTTTCAAAAATATGAGAGTCACGTGTCAATAAAATTAGTAAATTATTTCCTTAAAATAACGTACCGAGTGCTTTTCGGAAATTATTCGTAGGTATTATGTTTTCAAATACATATCTGATGACAATAATTACATAATAATAATAATTACTGGATACAAATAATTCAGTAAGTTTAAAGCCACAATAAATTTAGATAATGTCTCTGTGTAGGTAAGCAAAAAGGTATCAAGTTATTTAATCAAAATATGATAACAATTCACGTTTATTTGTCATTGAAAATAATTTGTTCATGTGCATTAAACTCTTTGGATGAAATTTGTAGCGAAACTTTCCACCTGGCATATTTCCAAAAAGAACTAGGTTTAATATCATTACACAAAATTAATGCCGGGCCAAACAAGTCAACAATAATTTATTATTAACTGCAATCCACAATAGTAACAAATATTTATAAATTTATCAAATAACAAGACCAAAATACAACTTTCAAGTGAAAAATGCCATTAAAAAAAATATATATATATTATATTTTGTTGATTTATAATAATACTTGTTGCAATTTAAAATTATTACATTTTTATTGTACTTATAATATTGTGCAAGCAGCATAAATTAATAAAAAAAATCGTTACATAACTCCAATGCAAATTATCAACATTTGACATGAATTTATTTATTAATCACCAGGTTTTTATCATGATGACTTATTTAATCAGGTTTGCACATGTGGTGTATGTTAAATATCCTCTCTAGATAATATGGAATTTGTTGAGAAATAAAATTAAGAAAATTGCTTTTGCCAGCTTCAACAAAGAATCTATTTATATCCCATGCCAACTGTCAATATTATGAGTCAATAAACAGTAATAACTTGAACTTTGAGAGATAATTTCTCTATATCAAAGTCAATTAATGCAACATCAATGTACCTTTATCCATTTTTTTTTATATACTTACCTTTAAAACTGGATGAAGGTGGGATAATCAAAAATGCTTCAAGTTTAAAAGGAAAATGGGTCAGGAAGAGACTCAACAATATCTAGACATTTTCTTTTATTTGGATAACACAAATAGATATTCTTTTTAAGGTTGTTTTCTGTACTTCCTTGTTAATTTTCTGACTTCCCCTTTGATTCCTTGAACTTCTCATTGACTGCCTTTTAAGCTGAGATTTCAAGCAAGATTTTCAAAACGGAACTTTCCCAACTCTAAGGTGGTTGGTTTCTTTTCAATTTTCAATAAGACTTGCTGCTAGTTCCTGATTGAATCTCTGACCAAGAATTGAATATAAATTAACTTGAAAGGTTTTTGAAGGGAAATTCTTTCAAGATAAATAATCCAAAATATGTATAAACTCACATTTTTGTTGCTTTCTGTATTCCTTTTCCTTCCTATTTTTACCAGTGACTTATAGAATGTTTATAAATGCAGGTAAAATATGTAAATGCTTGCATTATTGCAAAAAAGGTTGAGGCCTCCAAATAATTATTTACATGGATTCTTGTTAGACCCCTATTTCTAATTTTTAATGTCTCACTGAATACCGGCTACTTACCATTCTATTGGAAAACCAGTTTTATAGTTCCTACTACAAACCTGTTAGTATCTTGAATACAATACCCAAATTGTTTGAGAACATTATAACTGAACATCTGACTGAATCTCTTGGTGGTTTGATCATGGATCAACAGTTTGGATTTCAGTCTGGAAGGTCCACCAATATTAACCTGCTTTTGTATGATGACTTTCTGTCGGAGACCTTGGAGAATGGCGGTGAGGTGAACTCTGTGTATACTGACTTTTCCGAAGCTTTTGACAGGGTCAATCATGGGGTTCTATTATCTAAACTTGAGACGGCGGGCATCAGCGGAACTTTGTTAAAGTGGTTTGGAAGTTATCTACAAGATCGGTGTCAGATCGTTAGGGTTCATAACTTTAATTCCAAAGTCATTAAGGTCACATCAGGTGTACCCCAAGGGTCACACGTGGGACCATTACTTTTCAACTTATTCATTAACAATATTCAGAACTGCTTTAAATTTTCGAGATTCCTTTTATTTGCTGATGATCTTAATATATTTCTTAGAGTTGGCTCCCATCATGATTGTGAACTCATTCAGTCAGATTTGAACAACCTCGTGAGATGATGTGAGCAGAATGGCATGGCGCTCAACACCTTCAAGTGTCATTTGATGTCATTTTCCAGGTCTCTAGACCCTTTGCTTTTTGAGTATATAATTGATGCTAGTATTTTGGATCAGGTGTATACTATACTGGATCTGGGCATTTTGTTTGATCGGTCACTCACATTTATCCCGCACATAACATCAATAAAATCCAAAGCACTCAAGATGCTGGGATTTCTGGAGCGATCTTTGATTGACTTTCAAAATGTATCTGCTCTAAAGTCACTATATTGCTCATTCGTGATATCCCACCTAGAGTATGCATTCTCAGTCTGGAATCCTTTTTATGCAACTCATGTAAATGCTTTGGAAAATATTCAACACAAATTTCTTAGATATGCAGCATCAAGGGTCGCCAATGGTTATGCAATGAATTATCCTGAGCTTCAGATTGTCTTGGGACTATCCTCGCTGAAGGCTCGCCGTGAACAGCATGAAGCTTTTGTTTAATGTTTTGTACCATGTTTATCACTGTCCAGATTTATTATCAAGAATAAATATTCTTGTTCCACCCAGGACCACACGCTCCAATATTACATTTCATCAACCCTTGAACCGTACAAATTGTGGCTTTGATTCATTTTTGCCTAGGTCTAGCAGAATTTTTACTCAAATGAGTTTTTTCTTCCTCCTCCAGTTTTTATAGGGATTTGAAGGCAACTGTGATCTGAATGTAAACTAATTGTAGCTTGTAGATTGTGCTTTACCATCTATTGTTTGTTGTATATTTTAATAGTTAATATTGTTGAATTTTTATTGTATTGTATGTATGCATTCGTTTATCAATTATCTATTGTGAAAAATGGGCTTTGCTCGTTAATGAATAAATAAAATAAACGAGGGGTGTTTCACCTACTAAATTTTGTACGCCTACTGTATTTGACTGCATTGATTGCATCGAGGATTACATAAAAGATGATAGTTGACTGCATTGACTTTTGAGCAATTTTTAACAAGATCGCAGTGACTGCTTACGATTTTTCGTGAGTGTATATGGAATGTACGCTACTGCATGTAACTGCACACAGTTTATAACGATTGCAAGTGACTGTATTATGACTGCATGCGACTGTATTATGACTGCATCACTCCAGTATGGACTGCAGCAGAGTTTATGAACTGCATATACATGAATGTATGATATTTGTACACCTGCACGAGTGAAACACCCCTCGGATTTAAATTGTTTTTTTTTTGCTTATCTGCATAAAAATAGGTTGCCAAAAAGAGATTTCAACTTTAGACGATCATTTCGAACCCCAGAAACATCATACAGTGGTTTTTCAGTAGTGAACTAAATTAAAAAATTGAAAGGACAACAAAAAAACAGCCAAAAACAGATCACAGAGTAAATCATTAGATTACAAAACAATATCACAGTGAGAGCTTCATTTGGTGCAAAGTAGCAGTAAATATGTCTACTTGTATCTCATTGGCATAAGACATAGCCTGATTAATGGTTGTGTGTTGGCCATAAGAGGTACGATGTCTCTTCAACGAAAAACAGCGAACAGCTCTAAAATTTTTCCCTGGGACATTCAAGTTTACAGCCGAGAGCAACTCAGGGAAATTCAGATAACCTCTGAGCAACTTAAAAATCAATAGCTGATCAAATTTTCTACGCCTATGCTCCCATTTTTCCAATGAAAAATTCTGCAAAAGATGACCATGATCAATAAAATCTGAAGGTATTCCCATTTTGTACCCCATGTATTTCAAGAATTTTCTCTGTACACGTTCAACTAATTCAATATAAATTTTATGTGGTGACCACCAATGACGTGACCACACACAGCTATTATTTTCAAGATGGGAACGAACCAATGACACATACACTTTAGAGCAGAAACATTCTTAGGCCCAGTTTCACAAAGTGTAGTAAACTACTAGTTATGAGATAACTACTAGTTAAAACGAAAACAGCGTTTCACAATTGACGGTTCAACGTGACACCTTTAGTTAACCAGTAGTTGAATTAACCCAAGGATGCGTATGAGTTAACTATGAGTTAGCTGAAATGCTTCGTTTTTAGAGCAGTTCAAAAGTGTCAAGTTTGAAAAGGTAAAATTATTGAAAGAAAACTTTTGCACTTTTTTTTCCGTCAGTGATACAATAGGGAATTTTCATAAGAAATAAATATGGTTCATTTTGTTTTTATGTAGCACATTTTCCTGTAAAATATTAAATATGAGCAGTTTTGCGTTTAATTTATCGATATTATTCTCATACG